TGGGTCCCCAGCACTTGTTCATCGACATCGAGGCCACAAGGTCTTCTTTCACGTGGGTATACAGGATCGGCAACTCGTCGTAATACCGGGTATTCATTATTTCGATGCCCATCGGTTGCAACCGGACCTCTTGGACACATTGGATCGCCAGATTGATCCAGGGTCTATGAAACTCGCAAGCCCCGAGGGTGCAGGAGACACAGTGAATGACCCCTCCTCGGATGAGGAAGCAGCCTCTACCGATGACGAGAGTGATCCAGAAGACCCTACAGTTGCATGGTGCCCACCCATACCTGATGCAGCTGAAGATCCCTCTGAAGATGAGATCGCGAGTGCAGCTGACAAGCTAGCAATCCTGATTTCTAATGTCCAACCCAACGGAAACCCTTTTTGCATACCCGAAAACCTTGGAGCTCTCCCACCGTTGTGGCTACAGGCAAGATTGACGTTGTCTTTGACTGCCATCCAAGAAAAGTTTGCGCGCATCTTGCTGAGTGTGGCCTGTGAACTGTGGTTGCGCGGGCAAATTGCCAGGGTGGAGGATGTCCTCCTGCAGGTGGCAAGGGCTCTCACAATTCGTTTGGCAGAGAAGCTCGCCCAGGCGATGAGCTCTTTGATGAGATTGGCTGAATCCATGGTGACTCCAGAAACTGAATGCTTGCTGTATGCCACGTACTGGTTTCGGCCCATCCTGTCTGAACTCATTGGCTCGGCCCGAGAGAGCTCTGAGGTGAACCGGAGTCGAGCGCCGAGTGGCCCAGTTAAAGTCCTGGTCACAGATCGGCCGCATCGACGCATGTGGGCTAGTGGACCTTACGAGTGGTGCCTCTGCCCTACTGGCATGGTTCCCGGCCAGCTGGGCCAGCAAAATTGCTCCCAAACTTCTCGAGAATGCTCCTGAGAATGCGCAGAAACCACAAGAAATTAACATCGCGTGCCCGAAACGTTCCTGTGACGAGACTCCGGTGGAGGGAGCAAAGCAGTTGCTCCAGGCAGTTAAATTTGCTGCCAAAAACATGCCTGGTTTTCGTCTTGGTTTGGATGAAGACTTTCAAATGGCTGGATGTTTCCAGGAGCTCATCCATGGATATACAACAGGGCTCGTTGAACCATACATGATGCGAGGTCTCCAACCACTGGGACCGAATCGCACTACTCTAGAAATTATCATTCCCTCTCAAGCAGGGCTCACACCCGAGAAGTGGAAAGAAACAGCCACACTGTGCCCACTTGATTGGCCTTCCAACTACAGTCTTTTGCGATTGTGGCATACCAATGGGAGCCTCCATCAAACGGAAGCGCGACTCAGGAATCAACTGTCGCAGAGCCATATGTTTGCTGAGTGGACAGTGCATCTCCACAGATTTGCAGAGCGTGTCTTATTCCAGCAACCTGCAGTTTATGTAGCGGGACATGCCTTGCAAACCAACCTGCGGGAACGAAACTTCCCAGACAGGAAAGTCCGCAGGAGGGTTCCTCCGGAAGACCTGGACGAACATCAAAGGGCGATCCGAGCGCTTCTGCAGCGTGCTAGTGATCAGCAAAGAGTGAACCCAGTTTCGTTTGGGCTCACCAACGAATGGAACGACACCATTACATCAGATAAAAAGCATCATTTGGAACATTTCACGAGAGGTATGACATGATCCCCCGCTCACCCCAATTCGCATCACTTTTACCCGTTTTTTGAGTGTCCACCCCTTCTCTCTCTTCTTCTTTCCCCTCTTTTCTGTTTCACTCCGCATTGTCCCTCACGCAATATGTGGCTTTTGCTTCATCAACAATGCTGGTGGGAGTTGACTTACTTTACATTTGGTCCTTTCGTCATTTCCACTTAAGGTTACTGTCCATATCGGTGTGTCTGTCCAAAGACGTGACAGGTGCACTGGTATGTAGCAGGGGACTCAGGATTCCTCATGTATAATTGTCAGGTTCATTGTGCTGCGCATGCCCGGCCCCTACCTATTCAGACCACTCAAACAGTTGGTAGCCACACTCATATTACAGTAGGTATGAGTGCCAGCTAAGGGGTAACAGATCGGGCAGTATGGGTCACCTTTGCACTGGTGTTTTGAATGTGCTGTCCAGTCGAGAGCTTAGATTATACTAGGGTCTCTTCCACCATGAAGCCTATTGCACTGGCGCGTGCCCTCGCATCCTTTGCCTGACAATCATAGATGGGTGACGAAACTGATGTTATTACTCCGAGACTTAGTATTGACGAGACAACCATTCTCCCACCCTTCCCACTAGTTAAGGTATTTGAATTCGTTTATTGATCCCTAGGTTTTGCCCTTAGCAGAGCTACCTTAGGTGTTGGTGCCTTGTATTATGGTTCTGTTTTGTTTGTTTGTTCCCTGCCTGACGTGGCCCCCCCTCCCCCTCGGATGGTCCTCTTTGGCGCCTTGGTCCAGGTTTTACTGGTGCCTCCCTCTGGGTATCGTTGCTTCCGGCGACGGCCTGGCTGCCTTGCCTCTGTGCGTGGAGTGTTGTGGCGCATTGTCTCCCCTCTTCATTGTGTCTCATGGCAACAAAGGCCTGTGGCCCTGTGTGGGGATCTGTCCCTCTACACCATGCTTCCTGTGTTGTTGGGGTGCTGTGTGCTCCCTCACTGAGGTATTCATCCTTGTATGATCCTTGGCCCCTTTTTGGACACCGCTAAGGCACGTTCGTACCCCTTCTGGTGCGTGTGTGTCACGTTCTCCATCTGTCCTCTGCTGCCTCCTGGCTCCTCTCCTCTCTTCTTCTGTGTGGTTCGGAGTGTGTGGTGCTTTGGCCGCCCCCCTCTTTCTCTTCCCCCCCTTGATGGCAGGTTTCTTGTTTGTTGGTTGCGTGTTGTTTGTTGCCTCTTTTGCCTGGATACCGAGGATACCACCCTGCATAATAGCTCTGTCGTTTCACCCTGGCTACATTGGTCTTATGTTTTTGTGACTAAGGATTCGTCCGAGGCGGGGTAGCTTTTCACTGCCCCCCCCTCTCCCCTCCCATTTAATTCACGTTGAATTTGTTTGTTTTCTTTTGTGGCTTCTTCTTCGGCTTTGTATTGGGGAGGGCCCTTCTCACTTGTGTTGTTTCTGCCTTTGTTCCGAGAGGGGCGGTAGATTCCCGGTAGAGCCATGGACTAGGCTGCACTGCAGTGAGCTTTACTGGCGCTGTCCAGTTGAGCTTCCTGCAGTTCAGACTGGTGCGCCCGCGTGCAGCAAAGCCTGCCCACATGGTTCGTTGTGCGGATGTTCTGTAGTGCCTTGGCGGATGGCCCACTCGGTGGGAGAGTGGCCTGGTCTGGAATACACTGCTAACGTACGGTACATCTGGTCCTCTCCGCAGGTTGCTGGGACGATGACGCCTAGTGACTCCTGTCAGAGAATCTGGTACTGGCACAGCGAACCATTTCAACCTTCATAGCTTAGGGGGACGAGTTCGACTGCAATGCGAATGCAACATGTGCTTACATTTCGGCAGTAGCATACTGGTTGTGCTCACGAGCCCATGCTATGGTCAGAAGCTTCGTCTGTCTGCAATGGCTGTATAGTGACATTCAGGCTTTTTCAGCCACCTTTTTACCCACTGCCCATTAGGGTCTTGGGCCCTTTACTATATGACGGTTCCTGTGAGGGCCTACACCATCTGGCATGTCTTACAGGCCGTCAGTACTCTCCTCCCCATCTAGGGGGGGCAATAGATCACAATCCCTTGCGGCGGTGTATATTGACTGGAACAGACTTACTTGCGTACGCTGAACGATGCAGGATGAACAGTAGCGATGCGGGAGTTGATATTGACAAGACGTCCATACAAGCGGCCTCTGTCGTGCTCCACATCAGTCTGCCTGCAACACTGGATTCTCTTATCTGTTCTCAGGTGAGACATTCTGGGCGATCATGTATTATACTTCACGCACTGCCGCAATGGATAATTAGTTTGCATGTTTTTGAGGATGATACGGTGGCTAAGGTCACTGTATCTAAGGCAAATCTGAATGCGTTTTTTGGTTTTGTTGGGCCCTGCCCCTTTCTTTGTTGCTTCGCTGTTTTGCTTTGTGGCGAAACGCAAATCTGGCTGGGGGATTTGCGGGTCGTTTTTGGTTGTGGTGGTTTTTTGTTTTTTATTTGTCGTTGTTTTCGTGATGATTTGCCTAAGTTTTTGGACCACACGTGTCCTTGTACATTCCTGCTTTTCACTGCTTACGCAATTGTAAGGACCGAGCCTAGTGCGAATCGGCCAAACCGGAGGAAAAAAAAAGAAACATAACAGGACGAAGCATGGGACGTCTCGAGGAACTTCAATCAGATTGATTGCAAGGGAAAACTTGGCAAACTTGGATGTCATCAGGTCACAAGGTGATTTGGACAATTGAAATTCTAAGGTTCTATTCTTACGATCTCTCCATAGGATTACCGACACTTTGGGATGGTCAGCCTCATGTTTGCTTACTTCAATGTGATACTGATAGGGGACAAAAACATCAGTGATAGGGATGGTGTTCAGCTCACTGCAATGGGTGCAGAGTGTGATGACCCCCTGCTTCACCTTATAGCTCTTATCACTATCGATCACTTCGGCATTGGCGAGCACCTTAAATGTCGATTTTCCTGTCCAGAATTCATTCAGTTTGTTTGTTGTTTCATTGTTGTCACCTTTGAACCTCCACATGTCTTTGACCACTCGAGTGTTTGTCTTGAATCTCTGCTCAGTTTCCCTTTCATCACATATGATCCTGTGGTCACAAGGACAGTCTTCGCAATCCTGTGGCACGAAATTCTGCCGTCTAGGCGTTTTGTGAATTCGGATCAATGTCTCTTCCCCTTCCCACTGCCAATAGTCTTCATTTTTCTTACTAAGCCCTTGGGATCTACGTGTGGGGCTCACATAAGGAATGTTATCATTTCTGCAAAACAGCTATCACAAGAGACTGCTATGCCATTTTTCATATGGGGGACCCCAATCCCCCATTTTCTGACAAAGAGTTGGAGCCATTTCGACAGTGTTTGGTGAATTGGATGCAAGAGCGCCACTTGAAAGTCGATTGGACGATTCGAGAACATCAACCAATGCATTTGGGCATCTGGCAATCTATTTCTAAATTTTTGGACGATGAGGACAGTGGTCTTTTTGATTCGCTCATCGAAGGTGTCCCCACCGGATTCAGCGACGATATTCCTTCATCCAACTGCTTTGCTAAGAAACAAGATGACGACAATCTGGGTCGTCAACCACTCAGCATCCACATGGACAATTGGCGTTCATCTTCAGATCGACCAGAACTTACAGATGAACTTGTGCAGTCTGAAGTGAATCAAGGATGGGTGGAACCATTCAATGGTTCAATTGAAGACGCTCAGACCCGTTGGCCAACTGGAGTAGCTATTGGTCGCTTGGGCATTGCTATTTCAGACTCGCGTGATCCCCGCTTGGTGGTCGACAGTTCGATTTGTGGTACCAATTCTTCATGCTATGTTCGTGAACATCAAGCTCTGCCCACCTCCAAAGATGTCTTGAGAACTTTCCCGCTTCGGGATAATGACGACGAACTTGGTGGCCTTTCTTTGGACATTAAAGCAGCTCACAAACGGGTAATCATCCGTGAATCTGAAAGGGGGCTGCTTGGATTTTTTCATGCTGGCCGCCTTTATTTTTATCGTGTGGCCCCATTTGGCGCAGTATTCAGTGCACACTGGTGGGGAAGGTTAGGTGGCTTTCTTGTCAGACTTTGGCATTTACTGGTGTACATCAAACACGCCCTTTGGCTTTACGTTGACGACTTTTTGTTTTCACAAACTTGAAAGGTCCTTACTTTGTCATCGGCTTTCATTTGCATTTTCTTTCAATTGATGAAAATTCCCATCAGCTGGAAGAAATCAGTCATTGCCAAAGAACTGCAATGGATAGGCTGGAGATTTAATTTTTCCGCTGGATTGGTATCGTTGGACCCGAACAAACGCAAGAAACTGATCAACCTGATTGATGCAATTTCTGGCAAAACCTACATCCACAAACGTGACATTGAAAGATTTCTTGGACTGGCGATGTGGGTTACTCAATTATTTTCGGGTATGCGACCCCTGCTTCAGCATTTTTATGCTGATTTGTTTTCATCTCCTGCTTCCTTATACAGCATTGACCCTGGAATGTGGCCCGGACTTTGGAACCATTTGGATGACAGCCTTCATTTCGTGTCCATACCTCCAGGCACGGGGATCCCGAAAAATGGTATCTTAGTTTCAGTTAGACATCAATCAGTTTATGACAAAGCAGACCTTGAACGCATTCGACTTTCAGAACGTCGACTTTGGCTTCGTGTTCGAAACCCCAATTCTAGCAAGAGATCCCTGAGCAAATCAAGTGTGAGATGTCTTCAGCTTTTTCCATGTACCCTAAGCCGATTTGGCCAGGTTTCTCAGCTGCCGATGCATGTGCAACGGGTTCCACATTTCAAATTGGCGGCTTCATCGAATTGGACGAATCTAGACTTTGGTTTTCAGAAAGATTTAGTGCTGCAGGAGTCACGGCTTTGGGATTGCCAACGCGATTGGAAGCTCAAAAAGACATCGCCTGTTACGAGACTTTGGCCCAGATGGCTTTGTTGCAATATCCTCACCAACGACTTCGAGTGATTCTGCCTACGGTGAGTGATAATACTTCAGCTGAAGCCGGCGTCAACCAACTTTTCACCACTAGCGAGCAGCTGTGTTTCTTTTTGGAGAAAATTGGCCAACTCAGTAGTTCTTTAAACGTTGATATGGACACTTCTCACATCAGTGGAGTGGACAATGTCATAGCAGATCTTTTAAGCAGATGGGACTTTGAATCTCCTCTTCCAACAGGTTTCACACCATCCAATCGTGTCAGACTCACTTTATCCGAATTGTGGATGATTAAATCATCCCTGCGAGTAGTTCCACAGAATCTTCAACTCCTTTGGTCATTACCCACTTCCTAGCTTTCCGGTGCTGATTTGATCCACTCTTCGTTTGATTGATTATCTATGCGTTTCAAACCAACACCGTTTTATAGTTTCATTTGGTCGAATCGATCCATAAAACTTGTGTTGCTGGAAAGGATGCAGAAATGGCATCCTGAAACAGATCAATCAACAGCACCGGAAAAGAGAGCTTGCTTGAGTAGCCTTTTGATTTGTGAGGGAAGTGCATTAAGTAGCACTTTTCATGTACTTGTTCATGGATGTTTTAATTAATCAACCCCGCAACGCTGGTTCAAGCGCTTCACTCACAACATCATTTGCTTATGGAAATCAAAATTTTTCCCACCCACCCTCAACCTTAGATTATCATTCATTCTGGGTTTATCATTCATTTGTTTCCTCCTTGACCATCATTTGAAAATTCACAACTGATTTTGTCTTGAGGATTGAGGGCCTACCAGCTTCATTTTCACCTCGGCACTTTCAGACCATCGGTGACACATTGACTCTAGGTGGCATTCATTACATTATTGCTTTAGCTGTTGTTTTAAATTTGGGTTCCCTTTTTTATATCGAAAAAATGGAACCCAAATTATGTCGATAAATATCTCTTGTATGTGATATAACGCATAATATAATGAATGTCCACCTTGAACATATTGTTTTCATGGTGTTGTTCGGCTTTTGCTTCCAACTCACTTGGCAATCCATGGTCTTTGAAAGTTGTAATGCGTCCGAAATGGCCATCTCCAATAGTTTCTAGCCATTGGAATCACATATTCAGCTGTCAGTTACGTCTCTAGCTGTTGCTTTCATTCTTCACCGCTTGTGATCTACATTGGGCTTTAATTTCACTCTGAAATCTCGATGGATCGGTCAAATCGATCCATCAAACTTGTGTTGCTGGAAAGGATGCAGAAATGGCATCCTGAAACAGATCAATCAACAGCACCGGAAAAGAGAGCTTGCTTGAGTAGGCTTTTGATTTGTGAGGGAAGTGCATTAAGTAGAACTGGAACCGATTTATTGTTGTTTGTGCGGCGCAACTGGATTGACCATTGGAGACAAACCCTGAACATTGTTTTTTTTAACCAATTTTTTTACCTCACGTTTGCGTCAACAACCTTGGAGATGTTTGCCGTGGAACTCTAAACTGTGCTGCGTGTTTTTCATTGAACCACCTGAGCCACAAGACTTGACAATGGAACACAACAGATCAGTTGATGCAACAGCATGGTAAACGTCAGGTTCTCGGCACTATAGCTCCATATGAACATCCAATATGGGGCGAAAAATCATCCATGCCGTTTTGTATTTCTGCTTGACAAACCCATGCAAAAACATCAAGGCTAAACCCAGAAGAATCAACACAGTCGGTTCATTTCCCGGTTGGATGCACCATGCCAGCGGTGCCCAATGACGCAAAGCTGCAGATCGGCAAAGTGGCACGGAACTCAGCTGTTGCAGATCACACCTGAGATTACCCCTGAGAAAATTTCCCCATGGGTAATCCACCACGACGTGTAGATGTTTTTTCCAAAGAAACCATAGTTATGGATGATAAACCGGTTTACTTCAGATTATCATAGGAGTACAACCCAATTTTAATTCTCAACGCCTGACCAATTGGTTCATCTCACCTCCAACCAGCTTTGTGCATGAGGAGTTAAGCGACTCATGGCTCATTTACCAACGATAGAAGAGATCTATTGAATAACAAAGACTGTTTGAATTTTGAATCCCCATACACAATCATAGCCAGAACATGTGTTGAACTTGCATATCCTGTTTCAACTATTCCCAAACTTCAGTCTCCTGAGAGCGAAATCTGGATTTTTCGAGGAATTCCAGAGTTGATTGACCAAACCTTTTCCATTTTTTCCATGTTGATTGACTAAAAATCGTAGCTCTTCTCAGGACGGTGGACAGGATTTGCAGGGCGAAGTGGTACGGAAGAACTTCCCTGACCAGGTGCTGAAGCGCCTGGAAACCCAGCCCAGTAGATTTTAGGAATTTTAAGTGGTTCATAGCCATAGTATCGCCAAGTTCCAGTGTACATTTTGGGGTATAGCCCACTTAGATCCACTTAGATTAGGGGATTATGACTCATATGACCCACTACGACCCACTTACTAAATGGAACCTCGAAATCCTGCCGACCAATTAATGAACTTTCAGAAGAAAACAGTGCAACAGTGTCAAACAGATGTAGCAATCGAAACAAAATGAGCAGAAACAAATGCTCTGTACAGAGTTTCGAGCATTGTTTGAACAGCCGGGTAGAGATCTGTGACGCAATGTGACAAGTTTTTGAAGGACTAGTCAGCAATGTTGTTGACATTCTACGGAATGTGCTGTTGGCACTGCACAGCGCTGGTGGGTGGTGATTTCCCCAAGCAGCCGGAGCCAAAATCATCCGCTGGTCCCGTATCATCGGTTCAGCCAGGAAAAATAAATATGTTGATGATGATGATTGATGTTTTGCACATGTCCTTTGGGATCTCCCCTTCTGTTGAATGCGAATCTGAGCCGAGGTCTCAAGGTGGTGAACACGAAAACTCACGAGTTGATCCAGGACAATCCCAACTGTTGCAGACCATTTCAACAGGTCCTGGAACAGCCCTTGCCGTTTCACGAGTCGCCATTTCCACGAGTTCTGGTACAACGACAAGAATGATGTTGTTTACAGCTCCTTGGCAGTGGAGCAAATTCCAGCGCAGAGTTTCAGAGTATCTCCGATTGCCATGTTCTGCAGCTCAACTAATTTAGTTGGATCCTTAGTTCCCAACTCTCAGGGTTGAAACTTGAGCAGCATGGTTGGATTGCCATGTTTTTCTGGTGGCATTCACTCAGCAGTGATTGTTACGGCATACCCAGGCGATTCTAGATTTTCAGAAGATGTGGTGGAAGAGGATGAAAAGCTGCTGATATGCATATAGCATATAGCATCATTTTTTGCATGTGTTATGCAAAGGGGCTGATTTGAGGTTGTTCGATACACAATTTGACGCCAAGCACCATGAAGATTTGATATGATTTGATTCAGTTGGCCAGTTGGCCAATGAAGAGTGTTGGACTGTTTTGGTGCCTGGACTAAGGATGAAATATGCCAGAGTCATCGGTTTGGACTCTTTGCAGGCCCAGGGTATTACTTCAGGTTTTCCACGTTGTGACCCGAAACCGCAACAGTCTCCCAGTTGAACGCTGCTTTGCGGGCTTGAAAAAGGCCCCCATTGACACAGGGGCCACAATTTCCATGATACTGCGCATAGGACCTTCCAACTTTAGAATGTTCACAACATCACCTACCATTTGGAAAATTTGGAAAGATCACAAGAAAGGCGAATTCAGTGGAAGCAACTCTCATCGTTCAGTTGAGCACAGCGATTTTTCTCCCGGTTTCGATGTCGCCGATGTCGCCCTGTCGCCCTGTCGCCCCAGTTGGAGCTGAGTGGCGAACTCATCTCAGCGTGTTTGACGGTGGCTGGCATGACCTCTCAGTTGGCCTTTGTGGCCGTGTCTTGGTGTGTCGATGTGTGTGTAGACGGGGGATACCTGGGATCCAGTCGTCTTAATGGGCACAATGATGCAACCGATGCAAGCGATTTTTCTACACTTGGGTACCCAATTTTCCAACAAAGCCAGATGAATGGTTCGATGTTTGGCAATTTTGGCAGGCACCCCCTGGTTGGCCATGTTTGGATTCTCCAAGGTAAACATTCCACCCTGACTTGCCCCACGATGTAGATAGGTCATCATGGAATTCACCATGGAATTCACCATGGACAGTCCGTTTGACAACGACACTGGGTATGGCAAGATTGAAGATCCTTGATCTTGCTGACTTGCATGGCTAGAGGTCGGTATGATGTATTGGTTTCTTGTGGGTTCTAGTACCAGCATTCGCCCCCAGGTTGGTTGCCCCAGACATGGATGGTTTTGTTTGGGATCCATGGGATCCTGCCAGTCCTGCTGTTCCTGTTGAAAGCTGGGGCGTCATCCAAGGATCTCTGGAACACACCGAAGCACGTCTCGCATCATCAAGACAGAGACACCTTGCGGGTGGCGCAGGGAATGGCAGGGAATTGGAGGGATGGTACCTGAGGTTTGGAGATGGAGCTCGTGACGTCGACCATGTCTAAAGAGGAAGATCTGTCACCATGTTTTATCTTGCTGCAACAGATTGTAAGAGATGAACTTGTGGATTGAGAATCCCCGATTTGAACTCCATCAAACCCTTGCTGTAACTCTGACAGAAAATAACAGCCTGTCTCAGTGGCTCACAGTGATCAAGCATAGTTCATGGCAAAAAGAAGTTATATCAAGTATATCCCAAATCATAATACGGTCGTATATGAGTCATATCCCCATAATCTGGTATAACCCATCATATCCCAGTGATATCCCCATGATATCAGTGTGCCTTTCTTTGGGAACAAACTCTTCACCCCAGCTCCAAGCCTCGCAGGTGGCCTACACGGCCGTTTTCTTCGTGAGTTTCACTGCCCAATGCCTCGCAGTGCTGTGCGACACACTGCAACACATGAGGCACTGCCAGCACTGCGCGTCCTGTGATTTCAAGTGACCGTCCAAACCTCCAGCTGGCTGAGTTGAGAGGGTTATACTATGATTATAGGGTTATTTTATAATTATAGTATATAGGGAACATTATAGTTATATTATATTAGTGATATGTTCCCAATATATTATAGCTGTGATTATACTAATTACTATCCAATATATTGGGAACATATCACTATGAAAAGATGCTTCCCATTGATCCGCATCCGGGCTGGAGCACTTGGGCTGGAGACTCGTAGCAACCGGTGAAAGCACTTGAACAGATGCAAGTTGCGTGTTGGGTTGGAGGTTTGATGTACACAGCTGCCACACACACACACAAAAAGGCCTCAAATAGACCTCTGGGGAAGAACATAAGTTTGTCCAGAAATATGAGGCGTGCCTTCAAACTCCAATTCCAATGGGGAAAATGATGATAGACCAGTGGAACTTGATGTATCCTATTTAGACCAAACGTATAGCAGAGGATGGTAATCTTTGCTCCTAAAGACATGCTAAACCACCAACAAACTGACCCCAGGAATGGAATACATCATCCACAGGCCCAGCCACAGAGTTTCAATTTTCGGTCCCAGTTGTTTGAACAACCTGATGGTAAACGCCATGTCCCAGCAAAACATTTAGCTGAGCAGAGACAACTCCCTAAAGGTCCTTCACCATGGTATCCCCCCATGTTTTTTACCTGGTGTGGCTGGGACCATTGGACCATTGGTGATCTTCGTAGCATCAATCTGCAACATCCAGCCGCGCTCTCCTGTTGCAGGTCGAGCCGCTTCCGAGCAGATGCCTGGCATCTGGGCTGCACAAAAAATCATTGCGGCAGCAGCTGTGAGAGTTGGAACAACTTGTAGTTGGAACTAGTTGGAACGCTTGTTAACGCTTATTGGAAGTTGATTTTACTTCATTATCCCAGCAAGAGACCCCAGACAGTGTGGAGTGAGGATTCTAAAGGGAAGGCGGAAAGGATTATAAAGCATGGTGTTCATTCAAGGTGGTCTCTTGGAAGAAGAGATGCCAGGTTAGATTCTGCAAGTTCCCTTTGTGAAGATCTCTGTAGAAAGTCGTCCGCAAGATCTCCTTGACAGATGCAAAGTCCCTTTGTAAAGCTATCGGTAGAAGGTGCCTATAAGAGATCTCCACGAAGATGCCTGAAAGAGATCGCGATGTAAGATCTCTGTTCAAGCTCTCTAAAAGAGCTCCCTTGGCAAGATCTCTGTTCTCTTCACCAGGTCTCTGCACAAGATCTCTATAAGAGGTCTCCTGGCAAGATCTCTGTACAAGGTCTCTGCAAGAGGTCTCCTGGCAAGATCTCTTTATTACGCATCAAAAGCATTGATTTATTAGCACGTGAGATCTCTCTAGAAGCTCTCTATAAGAGCTCTCCTTGCAAGATCTCTGTAAGGGACCCCTTGGCAAATGAAATATGCGAACAAGAGCGAACATGACGGTCCAAACAGGCAGAAAATGGCAAAGAATGGCTATAGGCCAAAACAACTTGGTTTGATCACGCAGAACTCATCACCTGTGACCTGTGAGACTGATAACAGCAGAATTACCACCAATTTGGGGTAACGATAACCAACAACAACAGTGATAACAGCTATGCCTCGAGCGGTGCTCCGTCGGGGAACTACTTGAACGCCCATGAATGCCCTAAACACTCTCGGGCAGCCCCTCGGAAACAACAGTCATGCGAAACACATGTTTTAATGAATATAAGAAGCCACGTGGAAACAGATCGAGAAAACACACTGATGCGAAGCAGTTTGTAAGAATTTGGAATCATTTTGCGTGTTTTCATTTGCCAAATTCTGTGCTGAGGAGACTTGCCAAATACTCCCATTGTGACAATGTCTTCGATTGGCAGCAGCGAGACAATCTCTGGATGATTTCCATTTCCTCGAAGTATCAGTCTGAAGCAGGTCAAGCATCGCAAAGTCACGGTATCGGGACCAAGAAAAGGGATGCTGCAAAGGACTTTCTGAGCAAACCCGAGGTGAGGAGTCTTGAGGCAAGACTTCCACCATCTACACGCCGAAATAGAACGAGAAACCCGTCCGATAGAGCGATTCCAGAAGTCACCAGCGATCCCAAAGGCGAACTCCAGGCAGTCGCAGCTTTGGCAGGAGACGAAGGCGTACAGCTTATTGCTCCAGGCAGCAAGAAGCACAAGGCCTTGGAATCTCCGAAAACCATTTTTTCTGGAAAGAGCTGCTGAATAGTTACTAACTAACTGCTAAGTAGTCGCTAATCAGCTGCTTAATAGTTATTTAAATAAATAACTGCTAATAGCTGCTAAATAGCTGCCGAATAGCTTCTAAATAGCTGCCAAATAGTTGGTCAATAGCTGCTAAATAGCTGTTAAATAGCAGCCAACTAGCTGCTAGATAGCTGCTCAATTTTCTGCTGAATAGTTGCTAAATAGCTGCTAAATAGTTGCTAAATAGTTGCTGAACAGTTTCTAAATAGCTTCCAAGTAGCTGCTGAATAACTGCTAAATAGCAGCTGAATATGCACCTAAAGCCACGTTTCAGACTTCAAAATGCCCCGAAAGCGTCACGCTTGCCACGAAAAATGGACATAGCTCCAAAAACGAGCACGGTGCGCTAGTAAAACGAGAGATTCGCAAGAGATGTCTCCGGGGACACCATTTCGTGCGAGATGTCCTTCGAAAATGGAAGTTGACAGAATTTTTGTGCTGTGTGAGGGTCATCAAAAATGCCGCGCACGCATGAGACCACCTCGACTGAACACCAGGCCTTAACCCCTACCGTAAGAACTCCAATTGTGGCCACACTGTTTCGGGAAAAATTGTTAATGCACAGGTTTCATGCCGGTGTGCCCGTACAGCTTTCATTTAGCTGGCGCGAGCGATGTGAAACACCCAGGATTTCAATATTTTGAGTGCTCCCTGCGACTATTGAACTTTATTGCTGGAGATTGCGGGACATCTAGACATCCAGTTATCATCCTTGACGACACTCTCACCTTTGTACCTCAGGACCAAAGGAAGCTGTTTCGAATCAGCGAAGACTTTCTTTAAAATCTACGTTTTAAACTTTCTAGGCGCAAGGGAAGTGTGCTGGGGACGCTAGGGACAGCTGGAACATTGGGCGCGTTCCTCAGGGTAGTCATGATGGATAGGTATTTAGTTTCCAAAGAATGTTGGAATCCAGGATATCATGCGATGACCTTACGCATTCTTGAGTGCTGCTTCAAACACAGGCCACGTTTAGAAAATCTAGGTTGGAAAGAACGCAAAACTGTTTTCTGTCAAGTGTAGAGAGTATGCTCCAATCCATTTGCTCTTGGTTTGTTGTCGAGGTGAACACAACTTCAACGTTTGAACAGAAACAACTTAGAACATCTTCGAACCTTGTGTCGACAAGAACAGATTCATGCTGTCAATAATTTTCCAACGATTGATGTTCGTCATCACATCGATATGGTCGGATGTCTCTGGACACAATTGGATACAATTGGATTCACATGGATGAATGGATGTAGCCCGCTGTAGCATGTAGCCCCAGTGTTTTTTTTTCGGCGCCAGGTGTGGTTCACACCATCAAGACCATACCCATCATTTTGCATCCCAGGAAGGGCGTGCAGCACCTTGGTGAATCAGAGTGGGGACAATGGCACAGCAGCTGTTCAAACGGTGCTTCCATGTCTCAACTCACTCCATCGAGGCCCTTCGCGGCCTTCAAAGCCAAGGACATGAGGATGTTCGCAGTAGGTGCGATCCACTGCGGGAAGGGAAAAAGATGACCTCACCACAAGCGAACCACAAGGTCACCATTTTTTCTTCCAAGCCTTTAATACGTTGTCACTGCAGATGGTGTTATGTTCAGTCAGATTGCTCAGCTGCTCAGTGACTCCTGTCCAAACTTGAACGCCACATGATTCATCTCTTGATTTTTAGTGTAGGGTTGCGGGGTCCCGGAGCTTGCCACGTGCTTTGTTTCATTAGCAGTTTTAACACGCGCATAGGGTATGACTTGCGGGATGGGCGCTATTATAAGTCCCCTGTTAGGCTTTTCAGACCTGACTCGTGTTCCGAGTTGGTGGATCGGTGCTTGCACTGCAAGGTTGGCCAAGCAGGATCATGTATTCCTACGAGAGAGACCGTGGGAAGCAGACTGGGTGACTTGGCCAGCACTTTCCGGGATCACAGGGCCAACAGCAACATTTCAATTGAGCCTTTTGAGGATCAAGCAATAAAACCTGTATGCACCTTGCATTGACACTCCTGACAAACAACCTTTCTGATTTTGGACGTCAAGCCTCTTGTGTTTGCCGTCCCTTCGGACAGAGTTACCCCTTGCGCGCCTTGTGGCGGTGAATCAACAGCAAAACTACACTACGCCTCTACCTGCATTGTACTGGAGGATCTGTCGAAGGGTGTCAAGAGGTTGTTGGGGCCTTCGCAGTGACCAAAATCTGCGGTCATCGTGGAGACTAGAGAGACTAGAAAACATAAGAAAACCTCCACCACTACAACTGTGTCACACTTTCATTCTAACTCAACTGACCTTCACGTAAGATACATAAGCAGTGACCAACCCCCTGTCAATACTGCTTGGTTTTGATGTTTGTGCTACATATTGCAGCAATTTCGATAATCAAATTTCCGATGAACCGTAGCCAACCCAAATGGTGTCTCAAAATTGTGGAACCCCCTTCCATCCCATGGTTTTAAACCTCATTTTCTGAATTCAACCTGGGGTATCCCTAATGCTGAGACAATATCAGATGGTTGCAACATATCCGATCCGATGTTTTATCCTATCATATAGATACATACCTGTATATATATATGACAGAGCATGTACATCAGTGAGCTGGCTGCAGCTTTCGTTGTTCAAGTTGATGCACCGGGCCTTATCCCACGGTTTAGGCACCGGCACTTCCCTAGCTCTCTGGTGGAATTTGCTAGGGTTAGATCATCCCGCGCCCTTCTTGCCATACGATCTCGCTTGCCCAGTGCCTTCAGTGCTGGACTTTCATCTTCCCAGCCTTCTTTTGGGCATTCTGGTCGGGCTCTTCATTGGGCCGCTGCTTGAGGCTCTGGTGAGTTTGAGGGTTTTGATTTACCACAGTGCACTGCGACGCTCTTCTGGTTTTGGTGGGGCTGAGACAAGGCCGCGACCTTTGTATCGCATCCACTAGGGGTGCATGGACCAGAGGATCACAGACCTGGAGGTGCAAGTTGAGACTTTGCGCTCTGAGGTGTGTGAGCTGAGACTTCTTGTGCAGAGGTTGAAGCGTGAGTTGGAAAGGAACTCATCGCGGCGGCAGTCTGACAGTGAAGCAGACCGAGGGAGCAGCTATAGCTCAGTCCTTGATTCCCCTTTGCGTGGGAGCTCTGCCTCTTTTTCTTTGGTCACTGGAGGTGGCGGAGATCAGCAGTTCAGCCGGAGCCCTTCTTTGGCTGAGAGTCAGTGTGCAAGAGCAGGATCCGATAGCAGGAGTTCAGCTGGCTACGGTCCTGCTCCTCCTGGCTCGCGAAACCCTGAGGAGTCTGGAAGTCGCTCTACGCGGCCCACCTTGAGTTGGGGAGAGCGAGAAGCCATTTGCGACGAGATTGGTGAGTGGTTCCTTCGTTGCCTTCGCGGTCTTCATCGCAGCAGCAGCGGCAGGGACAGGATTCCTCTTTCGAGCAGAGTTTGGATTGTGGCCCGGGATTTCGACGGCTTTGTCTACAAGCCGTGCCAGATCTACCACTCCTTTTCTGAGTGCAAGCATTTGGTGAAGCGTGGCAGCGAGTGCGGAGAGTCAGTGTTCATTGGTGTGCCCAGCGAGCGTGAGGCCAGGCGGATTGTTGCCGTTGCTCAGCTCGGTTGGCCCTTTGACAACTAGCAATGGAGAGTGAAGAGGACGACGTTGAATCCCATGCCTTTGACGTCGTCTGCAGAGAGGATTTGGGTGTGGTTTTTGATTATCAGTGCTGTGTGCTGCCTGACCAATTGGGAGGGCTTTGCGAGATTGTGCCTGTCTGCTATATCGACACGAAGCTGTTGGTTGCAGTTCCTCATAGCGTTTGGAATCGCGTGGTTGCCAAACGTGCACTTAGCGACAAGGCGCTTTCAAAGTTTGTGTTGGTGGAGGTTGGACAATGTGCGCCCTATCAACGAGACACACCGGAAGCGGGGGAGGTCATGAAAGTCTGGATGGGCTTCCTGAATGCCTCCCTGGAGAATTTGGTGCATGTTCCTTTGGAGTCCGAGGTCCCGATCTCAGTTTTGCGGATGGCGACTATGTTGGTTACCTTCCCTTCGCTGGTGGTCTGGAAGGTGCAGCAAAGGATCACTTTGCGTTCATGACGGCCACAGAAGGTGCTCCCACTCCTCAGCATGGCGGTTCACGCCCTCGAGCAGCCGGAAGTCAGGATGGCCGAGGAGAATCTGGATCGGCCGCCAGTCAGGCAGATCGCTTGACGAAGTTGGAAGAGATGATGGAGCGGCTGATGGTGAAGGTCGACAGCAGCTTGAGTCCCTCGGGACCATACAGTTCTCAGCCGCGGCCCTCAGCTCTCCGGCCGCCAAAGGATGTGAGCCGGAGGTCTTCCACTCTAGCAGGGCAGTTTCCAGATTTGGATCCCAGTGTGGTTGCGGCAGCAGTCAGTGCTGGGGTCGAAACCGAGGCCCTCCAGGAGATGCAGAAGCTGATGCAGGTTGGGAAGAAGAAACAGCAGAAGCTCCGCGACCCTGGCGGACCAAGGGTGCACTTCAGCAGTGGCAAGGCAGAAGATGTCCTGTCCGACTCGGAGACCGAGCACGACGAGGGCGAAAGCGGAGACGTTTTTGGCGGAGCTCCAACTGGTGGCAACGTGTCTCCTGTTGCGGATGCTGTGACAAAGTTGACTCAGTTGGTTACGGTGCTGACGGCGGACAAGGTGAAAAAGAGCCAGTCAAAGATAGAGGCTGCGTTGGATGGTGTTTCTGCCTCTGGTGTCAACGAAAGTGGTGGTCTTGGAAGTGGAAAACGTACAGCTGCAGCGAGGCGAGCCCTTCGGCAAGCTTTGCAGGACAATCCCGAGGAGATTTATCAGCTGTTGGAACGTGCTATGATGGAAGACTTGACCAGCCAGACCATCACCCCTGGGCAGCCTGCCCAGGCGTTATGTGCCCGAGCATGGGTGGAACACCGAAGCCGCATAGGCCACTGGAAGACACCGGCTTTTTGCGCCTGGACGGTGAGCGGAGCCCTGGACAAGCTGATCAAGGGCGATACCGCCGGTTGCCGAGCCCGACTATGTCTCATGTTTCTGATGCTCGACCAGACGGCTTGCGACCGAGGGAGCTGGGCGCTTTCAGCCGAACTCTCATTAGAGAGCAGTCCCCCCATGTCAGTGCTGAGCCAACATGTGCCACCGTCAGTGGCAGACGGGGAGCAGCCCTTCAGCAGGTTGCTGGACCCTCGATGGGCGGAGGTTGCCATGGCCCATGTCAAAGAGACGGAGGAGTTCGTCACCAAAAGGCTGAAGCTGGGAAGAAAGGATCAGAACGAGACGGCAGACCCGAAGCCAAAACCAAAGGGGAAGCCAAAGGCCGGCGACAAAGCTGGCCATCAAAGCGCAGAAGTATAGAAGAAGAAGTATAGAAGAGGCTGGTGGTATGAGCAGTCCTGTAGCTGGGTCGTCCGGGCCTGATGTTCATGTCCCTGGCGCAAAGGCTCCTGAGATTGACGTGCCAGCCTTTGTGAATTCATGGCCGCGCCTGATGCTGAAATGCCCTGGGCGATACCTCCTTTTTGCATGGAATTCTCAGCGGTACTCCCCTCCACTATGATGAGGAGACTCCAGCTCATGCTCTCTGGCCTGTTCCTCTTCCTTACCCTGAGGTTTTTCGTAGCGGAGCTGATGGTGCTACGGCATGGAAGAAGAGGCGGCTGTGTTTACAGTTGGTGGTGCTTAACTGGCTTTACCTTGGGCAAGTTTGTGGTCCTCCTTCCGCGTTGCGGTTGGGTCGGAAGTTATCACCTGGACAGTGGAGGATTGTTCGCCTCCTCGAGAGCTTGGCGGAAGATGGTAATTCAGTGCAGAAGGTTGATGCTTTGGGTATGGGGAGGAGCGCAGCAAAAGCAGAAACTCAAGATGATGAAGTCGCTGCTCTCCACCGTGCCCTTTTGCAAGTACAACAGTCCACCTCTTTTTATGGAATGGACCGCTCTTCTTTGTCTTCCAGGCTAGCAGAAGCGGATGAGCAGCGTTTTTCTGGTGAAGTTGTTGGCAAGTTGCAAACAAAACCTTTTGTGACAGCAAAGCCAATTGAGGCTGACAGGCTGCAGTTTGGTCCTCCTCCTGCCTTCGATCCTTTGCCCTACATGGACAACAAGACTGCCGCCATGTACTTGGATCCAGGCCTCTTTCACAGGCCAGAGCCTGAACCCCCACCTAAAGTTACGGTGAGGGCTGCAATGAGCGAGAAGCTTCGCCTCTATGAGAAATTGGCGGCCACTGGCAGGCTGCGGCTGCTGGACCTTTCTGAGGTGGAGGAGCTCTACTCTTCAGGGCTTTTTGCAGTGGTTAAGGATCTGGAAAGAGACAGGTTGATCATGGACAGTCGGCCTGCAAATAGCCGCGAGATAGGGCTGAACCACTGGTGCGGGAGCTTGGCAAATGCTTCTATGTTGGGGCAAATCTGTCTTGCGGAGGGTGAAGAGCTTTGCATGTCGGGCGAAGATGTCAAGGACTTCTTTTACCAGTTTGTCGTTAGCAGAAAGAGAGCAGCAAGGAACAGCTTGGTAGGAAAACTGACCAGTGCTGAACTGAAGCACCTTTTTCCTTCTCTGGAAATACCTAGAGAAGGAGGCTACGTTGGTTTGAGCACCATGGCCATGGGAGACCTCTGTGCGGTGGAGTTCGCTCAGTCCAGCCACCTTGGAGTGGTTTTGCAATGTGGCGGCATTCACCCCTGCGAGCTTTTGAGGTTGCGGAGCCCTATGCCGAGAGGTCCTTTCATGGGTGGTATCGTCATCGACGATCTGGTGCTTTTGGAGCGGGTCATGCGGAGCAATTTGCAAGCAGCTTCAGTTGCCAGCCTGCGTTTGGAGGCTATCAAGGAGAAGTACAAGGAGGTGGGTCTGCCTGTGAACCTGAAGAAGGAGTTTGTGGATGCTACTTGCGCTCGTTTTTGGGGTGCTGAGGTTGATGGGAAAGCAGGCATTGTGAGGCCGAACAGTTTTAGGGTATGGCCCCTGATGTTGGTGACCTTGCGAGTTTGCTGCCTAGGTGTCACAAGCGTGAGCCTTTTGGAAAGTTTGTGTGGCTCCTGGATTTCAGTGTTGATGTTTCGCCGAAGGACTCTCAGTGTGCTGAATGAGATCTTTGGGGCGCTGCACAGTGGGCTTGCGCAGAATGACATCATCAGGCTTTCTGAAGGCCTGAAGGATGAGCTGGTTTCCGCAGTTGTCTTGGGCAGTTTGTCCTATGTGAACTTACGTGCAAAAGTCTTACCAACGTTTAGAGCCACAGATGCCTCGGACTGGGGCCTTGCTGCTGTTTCAGCTCACCTCCCAGCTGAAGTAGCGAAAGAAACCTTGCGTTTTAGTTTGTCGCGGAGCTTGTGGACCAAACTCCTTCCTCCAGGAAAGGCTTGGATGAAACAGAAAGGACTGCTTGACCATGGTGAAGAACTCCCTTCTGATGAGTGTTATGATACCCACCCTTTGTGGGAGCTGCTGGCGCGGTGTTTGGTGTTTGTCACCGAATGGCGCAAGCCGCATGCCCGTGCGGTGCATATCAATGTCGCTGAACTGGCGGCCCACTTAAAGGAAGAGAAAAACTTGTGCAAGCGGCACCAGAGTTTTCGCTGCTTGTATGGACTTGATAGCCAGGTTTCCTTGGGGGCTCTTGTGAAAGGCCGCTCTTCTTCAAAATGTCTGAGCAGGCTGCTGCAGAAAAGCCTGCTCCCTATGTTCAGCGCTGATGCATATAGTGGGGTGGGCTTTTTGCCGTCAGCCATCAACCGAGCTGATGCCCCTACAAGAGACAGAGAAGTTGAGCCACCTGACATGGCTCTGCCAGACTGGTGGGAGGAGCTCTCAGATGGAGGTTTTGTTGGGTTCGACTTGTGGCTTGAAAGCTTGAGAGCTAGCTTGCCTGCTGCTCGAGACCCGTTTGACTTTACTGAGCTGGGATACCGTGAGCCTATGCGTCTGCGGTCTGGGCGACAAGAGAAGACAGCAAGCCATTTTGGCAGAAGAGTACAGCAGCCCGTTGCGGTTGAACCTTCTTTTTCTGGCGACTTTCGCCTTCCTGAGCCTGCTGCTGATGGTCTATGTGCTGAGGCAGTTTCTATGTTGCAGGAGCTTGACCGCCGAGGGCAAGTTTGGTGGCCAAAAGACTCCGAGCGTGTTTTCCGAGAACCAGGTGCCTTAGACCTTTACTCTGGTAGGGGCGGTGTTGCAAAGCAGCTTTTGAAGAATGGTGCGCCGTTTGTCATCACCTTTGACTGGAACAGGTCTGCTAAGGAAAACTTGCTCTGGCAGGAGAACAGGGAGATTGTCCTGCGCTTGGTGGAGCTCAAGGCTGTGGCAGTTGTTGGGTCGGCAGTCATTTGCAAGAGCTTCACGCGGGCTATCACGCCTGCTGTCAGGTCGAGGAGGCACCCTCGTGGAATCCCTTGGATGCGGGCTACCATGCGACAGTCCGTCGAGGAGGGGAACTCACACAGTGACTTCTGCAAGGACGTCATCAAAGCATGTGAGAAGGCTTCAGTTATTTTTTGGCTGGAAAACCCTGACACCAGTTTTTTGTGGCTGCAGCGAGGGTACAAGCGTTTTTCATGTCCCAACAGCAACTGGGTGTTCCGGGCTGACTTCTGCCGCTTTGGTACAGCCTGGCGAAAGAGAACCCGAGTGGCGACAAGTAGTCCTTCGCTGAGAGGTTTGAGGATGTTGTGTAGGTGCAAGAAAGGGCACCGAGTCCTGAGAGGCATGCACCCAACTTTGAGGAAGCCATGGACTTCTGTTGCCGAACCCTACCCTCATGGTTTTTGTGCAGTTGTTGCGGGGGCCCTTGCTAGCGATGTTGGGTGGTGTCGGAAGTTGAATGTTGCTGGGTGCAGCCGGTCAGCCAGTTTGAGAATAGGTGAAGCAAAGAACCCTGGTCCTCGTAGGGCTAGACAGCCGCGTGAGGTGTCGCTTGAGCACATGCCGCAGCAGCTTGCTGCGTCGATAGCTTTGGGAGATAGGTGTTGGGCGGCCTTTTTCAGATGGGCTTCTGAGAGTTTTGAACATGTAGACCCTTTGCAGCTTTTCCTTTCAGTTCCTCTTTTCCTTGCGCATGCTGTTCGTAGATACGGAGACTTATTGTTTGCCGATGGTGGCGCCTTGCTCTACTACCGGCACCTGGTGCTTGCTGCTCAGCGACGAGTCCCGAATCTCCGGCAGTATGTGCATTTGTGCTGGGAGTTAGCTGGACGATGGGAATTAGCCGAGCCGGTGACCCACAGAGTGCCCTTGCCTTTTCCAGTTTTACAAGGGATGGTCTGCTTAGCTATGATGATGGGTTGGCGACAGTGGGCAGGTATCAGTCTTTTGTGTTTCTTTGGTGTTGCTAGAGTTGGGGAAGTTTTGCGATGCAAACGAAAGCATTTGCTTCTCCCTGGTGATCTTCTGGAAGAGTCAGGCAGCTCAGCTTACCTGCTCCTGGAGAGCTCAAAAACAAGTAGAAGATCATCCTCTCGCGTTCAACACCTCAAGATAACAGATGAGTACGTTGTTAGGTTGCTGGGGCGCATATACTCCTTCCTTGACAAAGACTGCTTTTTGTTTGCAGGTTCTCCAGCTGCCTTCAGAACTAGATGGAATTCCCTCCTTTCAACCTTGGGTATCCCTTCTTCAGCAAACTTGACACCTGGTGGACTTCGAGGAGGGGGCGCCGTTGAGAGCTATCGACGGGGACTCCCTGTCAGTGATATACAGTGGCGAATGCGCCTCAAAAACCAAGCTACTTTAGAAAGTTACCTGCAAGAAGTTGCTGCCCTCTCAGCTTTAACAAAACTGCCAGCAGAAGCTCTGACTGCAATTCGTGCCGCAGCAAAACTCTACCAGCACCTTTGTTGAGCACGGGATGGTTGGACACCGCTTTTTTAAAGAAGCCGTGTGATGCTGAACGTGTCACAGTTCCTCTTTTACCCGTTTCGCCCTTGTTTGAGTTGGATGCGTCTGGCCAGGACCTTGCACCACTTCATAGCAGAGCTCTACGGCATCTTTGCACTTGCTCTGCGCTTTGGTTGCTGCGGATCTCTGGCGCTTTGCACAGGACATACAGGATGCTGGGAAAAACAAGAGCAGCTGAGCGCTCCCACTTGCAGTGACAGATCAGGATTTACATGACAGAGCATGTACATCAGTGAGCTGGCTGCAGCTTTCGTTGCCCGGACCCTCCCCCCCAGCGGGACTCTTTCAGCTGGTGAGGGATGCGTCTGGCCAGGACCTTGCACCACTTCATAGCAGAGCTCTACGGCATCTTTGCACTTGCTCTGCGCTTTGGTTGCTGCGGATCTCTGGCGCTTTGCACAGGACATACAGGATGCTGGGAAAAACAAGAGCAGCTGAGCGCTCCCACTTGCAGTGACAGATCAGGATTTACATATATATATATATATACATATAGATCCTTTAAACATATAATGATATGTGTTCGTAAAAATGTGTGTATACACAGTTATACCCCATGATAGATCCGATTATGTATCCATATGTATAATATATACGTATATATATATATATAGACATAAATATACATATATATATATATATAGATTCCCATAAGATGGTTGCTTTTTTATCCCCCTTTCTGATTGGAAGTAGATCCCATGGGTTTTTCACCTCACGGGCTTCAGAGGCACTTGCGCGTGGTGATCTTCGCATTACCGCTGTTCTTGCTGCAGATGATCCTCGGCACGGGTCTCAAGAACATGAGCTACATGGAAGCTTGGTTGAATGGGATGGTGGTGGTTACAGCCCGGATCTCACCTTGAATGATGATTGAACACCAACGAATGGAATGGAGGTACAATCCAAATCAATCCATAGGAAGCTCGGTTTGGACATGTGCGATTTCAATGGTTGCTTGGGGCAATTTAGATACCAAGATGTTTTACAAGGGTACCACACGATCATTACAAATTCAACTCATGGGGTGCTGGGGATCGGTTTCTTTCATGTGGGATTGTCGGAAATGGCACCTCGAAACTGCCGTGATGTGCTGATGTGCTCTAAACCATGGGATCCATTGGATGAGTAGGTGGTGATTTTGGCGCTTTTCTACAAAAAGGCCATAGAAATTGCTGGTTCACTGTTTTTTGGCTCTCCCAATCAATCCAACCAATATTTCATGGGCATGGAAGCTTAGCCGCAGCAAAATGTGTTGATGGTTAATTGGTGTCCATCAATTATATGATTGGGACCTGCACCATTTGGGCTCCATTGGTGGCCCAAGTACTTGACCACGGTGACCACAAATCCTAAACGGGATCTGGTTTGCTAAGGCTTCAACCCACTGGAATGACTTCTGAATTTAAATGTTTGATCATGTTTCAAACTCAACACTTTTTGGATCCAAAGACCAGTGTGGAAATTTTCTGTACCAGTGCTATATTGGTTTCTGAACAGGAATTCAGGTACATTGCGAAGTTGGAGATGGGTTCATCTTGACAGACCTCTGCCCCTAAGGAATCCCTGAGCGGCATCCTGACAATGGGACAAGTCATGAGATCCTTTGTGGTTTACATCCGAATCAAGTGCAACTCGACACGGGGAACAGGGTGGCCATAGGGTGGCCCTGAGCCAGAGCGAAGACATCAACATGCAGATTATTCCAGTTGTGCCAGACCCATGAGAAAATGTCGGGCACAAACTAGGCACAAACCATGAAGGTAACCGAACGTGAACGTATCTGCACTAGTTTCAGACACGGAATTATCATGAACCAGCGGCTTCCATTAGCTCAACAGTGAATGAAAGACAGGCTATGTCTTGGGCTCGCCCTCGGCGATAGCTGCACGCATTTGATGTACGACTTCGTTGATAATTTTTTGTTTCTCTGGCAATGAAAGCTCACCCATTCATAGGTGATTTTTTCAATCCACCACCATTTTTTCCATTGCCCCCTTTAGATAACCTATGTGTAGCTCTGTGCATTGGGAACTTCTCACAGCGCTCTTGGCATGGGAGCCACAGGTCAAGAAGTGAGAGCGAAGGAGTACTTGCGCATGCCACTGGGTCTCGTTCCATGGGGCCAAACTGTGGGAAAGATATGCAAAGATAAAGCCACCCCACCTTGGCTCTCCGGAGTTGCGCTTCGATGTTCACACTGACACCCTTGCTGGGATCTACAGGAACATGTGCACGTCTCGAATGCATTTTAGCATTTGGGCATTTTTGGCTATCAAATCTATCTAAAACATCCAAAAGTTGATTTCCCACTATAACTTAACTCCAGGAAAACTCCACATCGGGTCAGGTTTGTCAGATCCAAGGATGACAGAGGAGAAGTTGAAAGACTCCAGGGAACGACAACGCTTACAGTTGCTCGACAGTTGAATCAACGGAACCAGGGCTTTTAACCGGATGCTTCCCGTATCCGATAGTCGGTGTGGATGTGTCGATTGTCGATTTTATTCGATTGAGCCATCCTGATTTGGGTACGGAATTGCGACACCGATGTGAACTCCCACGATCAAGCCTCCCCCAAAACAAGGAAGCCTGTTGATGCTCATTGTCAGAGACGTTTTGGATTCTGGGGGTGACCATCTCTATGAACTCAAGAACCATGACCTTTTCAGCGGCAGATTTCCACGCGGGGCAACCATGTTCACCTGTCCCTTCGCTTCGTCTGAACGAATGTCCGGTACAGCTATTTCCACTCACCTTCAGAATACTTTGGTAGCGTGACCACTCAACCTGCCAGGGGTATTTCAAGTCAAGCCTTCAATATTCTTAATATCAGTAGATATCAGCAGCCAATGAGCTCTACGTAACCTCACCAGAAATCACCCACTGAACGAGTCCAGCAATGCCGCAGGAGTGACACGGGGGCAAGACGAGAAACTTCGGCTTGACTTAGTCAGGGGATTGGACAAATCGCAGAATTCGTGTTCTCCTGCAGTTCCTGAGATGCGTCATGCCACTGATCATGTCTTCACATGGGTTGGGTGGGGTGGGGTGGGGCTAATAACGTCATGTGCTTTGTGTTCTCACACGGATGCTGCCCCAGTGCACGTTCTCCTGCAGTTCCACTGACGCGTCGTTCCACCTAATCATGTCTTACGTTGCTTTAATTCCTGTAGAAAGATATCTTCTACACTGCACCATGCTCTCTTGTACTTAACATACTTAATATTTATGCTACGCTACATCATGCTCTCTTGTACTTAACATACTTAATATTTATGCTACGCTACATTATGTTCCCTTGTACTTAACATACTTAACATTTATGCTACGCTACATCATGTTCCCTTGTACTTAACATACTTAACATTTATGCTACGCTACATCATGTTCCCTTGTACTTAACATACTTGAACATTGATGCTACGCTACATCATGTTCTCTTGTACTTAACAAATTGAACATAAATGCTACGCTACATCATGTTCTCTTGTACTTAACAAATTGAGCATATATGCTACGCTGCATCATGCTCACTTGTACTCAGCATACTGAACATATATGCTACACTACACCATGTTCTCTTGTGCTTAGCATGTGTAACATGTATGCTACGTTACACCATGTTCTCTTGTGCTTAGCATGCGTAACATGTATGCTACGTTACATCATGTTTTGTTGCACTGAACATACTTAACAAGTATGCTGTGCTACATCATGTTGCGTTGTATTGAGCATACTTAACATATGTGCTACACTACACCATGCTGATTTGCCCTCAGCATGCTTTACGTTTCTCCCACGCTACATCATGTTCTCTTGTACTTACCATACTAAACATCTATGCCACGCTCCGCTACATCATGTTCTCGTGTACTTAGCATACTTTAACATTTATGCTGCGCTACATCAGGTTCTCTTGTATTTAGCATACTTAACATTTTTTGCTGCGCTAAATCATGTGCCCCTGTTCTTAACATACTCAACATGTATGCTACGCTACATGTTCTCTTGTGCTTAGCATATTTAAGTAGTAGGAGCAGTAGAAGCACTAAGCCCCGAAGAGCCTGGCAAGTGACACTGTACAATCCATTGTCACTGGTGGCACTAGTGAGGAATGAAGGCGTCCCGCCGCCCCCATCCCTATGCATGGTTAAACAATCAGCAACGAATTGCCACGGAACGGCACCAAGGCAACACACCCAGAGAGGTGCTACCCGGGCCGCCAAGCGGTTCAAAAGGCCCAAGCGACAAAAGGTCTGCATGCGCTGTGGTACAGACCGTCCACTGCATCCAGCCACGCTGAGCGGCGCAAGAGGATGCAGCGAGCCTTTCCAAAATCAAAACTTAATTGCGCACCAAATCCAAGTATCTTTAAAAAGGAAGAAGAGGCAAAAACAGCCTTATCATTTCATCACCAGTCCAGTCATTCGAAAAGAAGGTGACTCACCGATCCCGGATATGACCTGCAAGCAGGGGCCGCACGTCCGGACGCGACCTCAGACTAGGAAGTCTGCAAAGCGGTGTTGCGGTGTTGCGGTGTTGCGGTGTTGCGGTGTTTGTTGTTTCTTTTTTCTTTGCACAATTGTGCTGCCAACATTTTGGGGGACCAGATTGACCACTCTGGTTGGGCGCCAGAGCTTGTGATTCCAGGGTGCTGAAACTTGCGACCATGTGACCATGTTGGTGAAAACAATTTGCGCCACAGTCATAGGATTGGGTGCTTCACGACACTAAAGTTAGCCTAAAATGATCACTTTTGCCAGGAAGTATTTCTTGAGATGATTTAACATGCTTTAAAACTAGAAGTGACATGAAATGACATGACATGATTGTGGACTCCTGGGCCTTCAAATTGCACCATCACCTTTGTTTCATGGCGGTTCTCTGTGTTTTGTGTCGCTTGGTTTGGGGTGTTCTTGCATTCTGCTTCGTTGCTAGTGGTTCGTTCAATTTTAACAGGGCCACAAACAGGACAATTGATCCTCTAGCGCCTTCTTGTTTGAATGTGGGTTGGTTTTTCGATCTTGAAACCCTTCAGCAGTTCGGGCTGCATGAAAAAAACGTGGTGAAGGGGTTTCTCGTAGGCTTCCCCACCTGCCCATGTGTCATATTGAACTGCAGGGTGGCAGCCAAAGCGTGCTGCGAGGTTGAACCACTACCGCCACCGCCAAAGACGAAGTCACGTGCAGCAGCGTGCCCCAGGATTTGGGGCACGCACTTTGGACAATGTGGACGATTTTTTCTGGACACTTAATGGACTGAAATTAGAAGATTCAAATTCATTGTATCTTGAATCTTGGTGCGTCAGTGACTGTAGGCGCCTGCTTCACAATTTTTTGGGAGACATTTGGTGACGGAGTGACTCGCCATTTGTGATGATAAGGCTTGGAAAGGGCCTCCTCCTGAAGGCTTTGAACATCTGGTGGAGACATGGGAGGAGCATCTCCTGGCTTACGCAGAGCCGAATCCTCAGAGAGTTTGGTGATATGATGTAATTAATCTTCCTCGCAGTGACCTTTTGAACCACAAACATCCACAAACTAGAAGTTCAAGTTTCATTGGTGATTGGATTTGCGGCATGTGGTTTTACATATTTTTAAGTAATGGTTTTGTCTCCCTCGTGCCACATGGCGTTGCCACTTGTTGAATATGTTTGGAGCTTCAAACCCCACTGCACCAAGGGACTTCGAAAATGGTTACGTCCAGAACGAGCTGGACGGGATCCTCTGTGTTTTGTGTCGCCTGGCTTGGGGTGTTCTTGCATTCTGCTTCGTTGCTAGTGGTTCGTTCAATTTCAACAAGGCCCAAACCCATGGAAGGACGAGGAATGGATCTTGGAACAATACCGCCGAGAGGCGTGGAAAAAATGAGTTGGACATTTGCATGCTCTGATTCTTTTGGGGGGTAAATTTAAGGCGGAAATGGTACTTCGGGAAATTTTTGGTTGTCAGTCATGCGAGAGGTGGGGCACACATCAATAGAATATCAATGGGGCGGGGCCCACTTAAAAATAGTATTGTGTTGGTGGCTGAAACCCCAACCATCACCAACAGCATCCAGTTTCATTCAATGGGAACATCATTAGGTTGGGTTTGGATTTGGTCAGAAAACTTTGTTGCCGTGACTTGTCAGGGTGGCTTGGACCGCATTCGAGAGATCCTTGATATCCTAGGCAGTTGGCGCTGTCACCCTCGAGGCATGTTTGAACAAAATGAGATGGTGCGTTAACCCACTTCTCCTTTTGGGACAGAAGGAATGGTGAGACGTTTCACCCTTGGGGGTGTGTCTCTAGGAAGAGCGCGAGCAGAAGCAACGCGCACAGGAACGTGCACGTCCACCTCAAACCCCAGGCAAAGACACTCTACACTTTACATACACTCTACACTTTACACTCCACACTCTACACTCCACACTCCCCACTCTACACTCCACACTCCACACTCCCCACTCTACACTCCACACTCTACACTTTACACTCCACACTCCACACTTCACACTTCACACTCTACACTTTACACTCTACACTTTACACTCTACACTTTACACTCTACACTCCGCACTTTACATTTTACACTCCTCACTCCACACTTTACACTCCACACTCCACAGGGGTTCTGTTCCATCATGATTTGCTGGTTCCTCCTGGTTCCAGCTGGGGTTCCGGTGCTTGTCTCCCTTCTTCTCTCTTCTTTGGTTCCGGTGCTTGTCTCCTTTCTTCTCTCTTCTTTCTTACCCCAGGACAGGGGTTCTGTTCCATCATGATTTACTGGTTCCTCCTGGTTCCGGCTGGGGTTCCATGAATTTTGAATTGCACATGACCTTGGTGGAAACATGCGTCGTTGCTGTTTGGGGTCTATGCCGGCGTATTGTGATCATTACTACAATTACTACAATTAAGGTAGTTTGGCAAGGGGTAGTCCAGCGAAGAGTAAGCTGGAGGAAGACAATCGAAAAACGATACGTCAGCACAACCCCGTTTCTTCGGAGACGTGGCCAGAAATCAGGTGCTCTGCATCAACTCATCTCTCAAGAGACTAGGGTGCTTCAAAGCTTGCAGGCGCCGTTCGGTGGCGTCGACATGGCACAAGCTGGCCAAAAGCCAGCTCGCTTGGCTAGCGAAACAAGCTTTACAAGAGAAGCTGGTCATCGACTATGAGTGGTCCGCTGGGTCGCCCACGAGGAGGTCTGTCGACATCAAATATGCTACGCTGCATCATGTTCTCTTGTGCTTAGCATGTTTGACATGTATGCTACGTTACATCATGTTTTGTTGCACTTAACTTAACATATATGCTACACTACACCATGTTCACTTGTACTGAGCATACTTCACATGTGTGCTGCGCTACATCATGTTCTCTTGTGATTAACATACTGGACATGTGATGCGCTACATCATGTTCTCTTGGACTTAACATACCTTAACATTTCTGCCACACTACATCATGTTCTCTTGTTTTTAGCATACTTAACATATATGCTAAACTACACCATGTTCACTTGTACTTAGCATACTTGACATTTATGCTACGCTACATCATGTTCTCTTGTGCTTAACATACTTTCACATATATGTGTCACTCTTGTCCGTAACACTTGTGCTTAACATACTTAGCATTGGTGCTACGTTACAACACGTTCTCGTGTGCTTACATACTTCACCCGTTTGCTGCACTACATCATGTTCTCTTGTACTGTGCAAACTGAGCACTTGTGCTATGCTACATCTTGTTCTCTGGCATGCTACGTTACATCATGTTCGTTTGTACTTAACATGCTTAACATGTATGCTACGTTACATCATGTTTTGTTGCACTTAACATACTAATTTTATATGCTGTGCTACTTCATTGTCTTGTACTTTGCATACTTCACATTTGTGCTACGCTACATCATGTTCTCTTGTGCTTAACATACTGGACATGTGAAACACTACATCATGTTCTCTTGTACTTAACATACTTTAACTTTTGTGCTGCACTACATCATGTTCTCTTGTATGGAGCATGCTGCATACTGAACATATTTGCTACGCTACATCATGTTCTCTTGTACTCAACATACTTAACATATATGCTTCTTGTGCTCAACATACTGAACATATGCTACGCTCCATGATGTTCTCGTGCATCTAACATAATTGCTCGCTGCAGCAGAAGCTCGTGGATTCCCAGTGCAATCTGTAGTGCACCGAGTGAATAGCAATCACTTCGGTATGTCCTGTTCGTTGTGAAAATGTTTCTAAATGTTGCAAGGGAACAGATGCTAGATAGAGATTGGAAAATTTTGACCAGTTTTTTGCCAAAGCCAATGTGGCTTAAGTACAAGGAAAGGGCACAGTAAGATGCACCCCAGTGTTCCTGACTATCTGTCTGTCTGTCTGTCTGTCTATCTATCTATCTATCTCTGTTACCTATGTTATCTATGTTATCTACGTTATCTACGTTATCTACGTTTTCTATGTTATCTATGTTATCTATGTTATTTATGTTGTCTATGTTATTTATGTTATCTATGTTATCTATGTTATCTATGTTATCTATGTCTTCTATGTTTTCTATCTATCTATGCTATCTATGCTATCTACGTTATCTATCTATCTTTCTATCTATCTTTCTATCTATCTATCGATCTATCTATCTATGTTATCTATCTATCTTTCTATCTATCTATCTATCTATCTCTGTTATCTATGTTATGTATGTTATGTATGTTCTCCAGGGTATCTATGTGATCTATCTTATCTTATCTTTCCTTATCTTATCTTATTTTCCTTTTCTATCATTCTATCATTTTATCTTTCTATTTATCTATCTATCTACCTATCTGTCTGTCTGTCTATTCATTTGTCTATTCTATCTGTCTATTGGAGAAATTGCGCAGTGATCATAAATGTTTTTTTCCTGCCATATTAGGCGAGCAGTTTCACAGAATCTCGCCGAGGAAGTCATCGTGAATTACCGCTTGCGGGAGGAGCCGTCAAGCTTGAACCCACGGGTTTCAGAATATGAGTGCGGTCGTCAAAGAATGTGTTTTTTTTTGGTTTCGCATTGAATAGTCGAACTTGTAGTTTGAGAGGCTCTTGGCCTCCGACATGGAACAGTTTTTTTTTCCGGCGCACGGTTCCACATCGTAACGATGGCCACCAGTAACTTTTGCAAGGGCCCCATAGCACACGTGCTGGTTAAGACTGGTTCAGTACTCTGCTATGCGCATGCGTCAAAATGAGAAAGACAGGAGTATTTCAACGAAGTCATTCCCGATGAAATCCTTGAGCATCTTGGTTGAACACTTCAGTGTTTCTTTCACCTGAAGACACTTCCCAAATTTGTATCATATTTTTGTTGTGCGAAAGACATGTTTCAATGAGGTGGGCGAGGAAAGAGAACATGGCTGGGACAAAAGATGATGAGGAGGACACTGGATGTGGATCTGGGTCTTGCCTTTTGCCGACCCACAAGACATCGGTACATCACCGACATCACCGTGGTTGGTAGTGGAAAGTGATCTTTGGGAAGGGAACCGTATGGAACCGCGATATTTGATGCTGCCACAAAGTTGTGGTTTCAACATGTTTCAACCAACACTTCCACTTCCGTGCAAGGATGTCTGCACCTTGATTGACCCATTCAGGTTTTGTTGAACATGTTTCAAACCAATCAAATCAAAATGACATGTGCCTAATAGAAGCTCCGCAGACTGTTTCGTTTCTCTAGCAATGATTCTTTGTTATGCTACAGGTCCAACAACACTCAAACAGTTTTTCCTTCTTTGGTTTTTGCACTCCAGCTGTTCACGTTTTGGCGATGTTGTTTCTCCAATTTGGCCAGGGATTCTCATAGGGGGAGAAAGGGATAGCAGTGCATCAGATCCGCGTTGCGGCAAGGCAGCGAAATTGCTGTGCACTCCACTGCTTTGACGCTAGCTGGCAATGGAACCGGGCATGTCTTAAGTTGGGTACAGTACCCGATGACCACTTCCAAACTTCAGTGAAGGAAACACAAGAAATATCAAGAAATCATTGAAGGTCTTGATTGTTTTCAGCAGACTGGGATTGTCAGGGCACCCATGGTGAGATGAGGCGATTGTGATGAGCAGGAACACGAGATCCACGACCAGGTACAGTTGGTACAGTTTTGTGAATGACAGATAAAACATGATAAATTAAATAAACATTGGCAAATTTGGTGTTCCAAGATTTTTCCATTTCATGTTGTTCATGTTGCAGGGCCCCACAGCGGACGAGTTCTCAGACTCCGACTTCTCTGAGACCTCCGCTCTCTGCAGTAGCCCCAAGCGGCGCTAGCGGCCGGCCCGGTAGCGAAGTGCAGCTGCGATTGCGTCTGATTGGTGAATGGAAAGATAACAGTGATAACATCATGAAGTACTTCTGGAACAGTAATAATATGTAATAATGAATAGTCATAACTTGTAATGACCGTGATATTTCTGGGTCCAAGCGTCCCCAGCCCGTGCAATTTGCAAATCTGGATCTGTATTTCTAATAACATGGGCTAGACGGTCAGACGGATATGCCAGGATAGACCACTAATGTTGGTTGATGTTGGTGTCTAGTCTAATAGTGGCACAATGTTCAATCATGGGTCATGGTTTGATGATGGCTTTTCGTTTGAAGGAAGTACCAATTCAGTTGAAGATGTTGCTTTCGCTTTGTCCTCTGGATCTCACTGTTCGTGTTTTTTGATCTCAAGACAAGCGTTTCAAGATACAGGGAGATTTCAATTTGCTTTCAAGAAGATGCACGCGGTTCCTGAGTGGTGTTTATTTCCCTTAACACAGATGCTCCGGACCACCTGCAGATCACCTACATTTGCACACTTGAGTTGTGAGTCCCTTGCCCATGGCGACAGCCAACTTGCCATCCAAAGCTTGATGCAGTGGGTGCTGTCGATCTCAAGATTTCCACGGAACTTTCCGCGTGACTTGCGCAGATTTCTGATGATTTCTGTCTCACCATGTCTGGCTGACAATTGAATCAACTTGTGATATACTGATAGATTTCACAATGATTCACATGTTGGTTGGCTTTCCCAAGACATTTTCTAATCCTGCTACATGGTCACTCACCCCTACTAGATGTAGCTCCGATTCACTTTCCGCCAGATGTGACACCATGCGCGTAGCGCAGCGACGCCGGTGGAAAAAATGGCCGCTCCGAGTCTCCGAGCTGAGCATCCATGGGTTTCACTGGGGGAGCCACAAACATTGGACCTGGAGAATCACACACCCATTGTGGAGTTGTGGGGTCTATCCCTTTTTTTTGGGTTGTTTTTCGGGGTTTCCCGGATTTGCAAATCTCTCTGGAACTTGGAACATCTGATGAAAATCATGTTTTCAACCTGATGAAAATGGTGCCTGTGATGCGGCTCGGGCCCACAATTGACCAATGACACCGGCGCCGGGCTCAGCATTTTCCGCGCGACCTCGCGATTTCGCGGGCGCGAATGTCCAGGGCCCCCGCAGTTCCATGCAGGACGGGCAGGGTGAGATCAGTTTTGAGGGACAAATCAAGAGATCTACTCTTCATGTCGCGATGAATATGTGGAATGCCGATCATCAAACTCAACGTCATCAATGTCATATCAATGAACCAATTGCTATGGTCAGTTCAATGTCATTCTTTTCCAAGCCGGGAGAGATCGCTCCTATAAGAGCGACCACGTGGCCAATCTCAGATATCCAAGAGAACTTCAAAAACATATTCAGCTGCTGGCTTCATCCGGCCTCTGCATCAATTGTGTTTTTGTTTTTTGTGGATTAACATGTTTGGATGTTTCCGGTGAAGGGCCTATTTGGGTTTAAGGTGCGAACCTGCACCTGCCTCAGTGAGGCTGTTGACCCAGCCGAAACTGCTGGAAGCCGATTTGGGGCCAATCTCCAGTTGATACCCAGGTTCTCCCAGGTTCTTCCCGATTCTGGAAACACACTCTGACATGAGCCCCCAACGGGAAGCTCACAAAGTCCTCAACTCACCATCAATTTATCTGTTCAATCTAGGTGCCTAGGCCATAAAACCATCCTGTATCCTGGGCAGCACCCAAGCTAACGACTCCATTCGCAAGCCACGCACCTCCCCAAATACGATTCACCACCCCAATCCCAACGAGGCAAACCATCCAACAATCCATCCATCCGTCATCCAGTTCCTGACCATCTGATCATCATACGATCACTATCCATCATACCTCCATCAAAACATCAAAAAACCAAGAAACTATCAAAAACCCATCAGAGTTCATCAAAAACCACAGAGTTCCCAACCATGTGACCTGACCACCTGACCACCTGGCCACCTGATCCACCTGGCCATGGTGAACGATGCCGGTGCTGGGCGCCCTCGCGCCGTTGTCCTTCGCGCCGCCCGTGCGCCGCCTCACCGCCGCGGGCACCGCGGCGGCGGGCGCCGCCAGTGCGGTGCTGGTGGGCCGGGAGCCGTGCAACGCGTGCGCCCGGGGGGAAGGGGGTGGATGGAGGATGTTGGGGTTGAAAAGATCAATATGATTACAAAGATAACCAAAGATATCAATCATGAATATGAAATATTAAATACTTAGGTTTATTTATATATAGAATATCTATTCTCTAGATGATAGGGCCTAAGTTGGAATGATTTTGCCAAAATTTGCAGGGCTATAGCAGCTACAAGACATATTTGTTTGAAGCAACGACCAAATTTGGGAGAATCGAATCCAAGTTGAAGGAGAGAAATTGAAGAAGTCGCAAGAAGAATTGGAACATCTAAAAAAGGTGGTGATAGTGCCGTAACTTGTTATCACCTTTGAAGATGGCAACAAGACCTGGATTTCATTTTGCGTCGGATTGCGACGATGGAACAGGCAGAATTGAAGGATTCTGAGGCAAGTTCTCTCCCTCCCATCCTGACCTTTGAATCATTCGAATCATTCGAGGTTGCAGGAGACTTCGGACCAGTTGGAATGGCCAAACACCAGACTGGCAGCTTGGTAGACGTCCTGTGGTTTGCATAGTGGATATGGCCGATCCATACTTCCAATAACTCATCATACGGTATCCATTTCTGGCCAGTAGAAAGGTCACTGGCTCCCTGTTTCTGTGTGTGTATTGTGCTGGAAACTAGGGTTTGCTTTTCTAGATTCCTTTTCAAGACATTCTGCTACGTCGTAATCAGAGCATTGAAGGTTTTAATCGGCTCCAGATGTGAACTCCAGATGACCTGAGAATGATCTTCTTTCGATCGCCGAAGTTCCGCTCTGATCATTTTCGATCTCTGATCTTTCCTGATCTTTCCTGATCTTTCCTGATCTTTCCTGATCTTTCCTGATCTTTCCTGATTCAGGAAGCATATCTCAAGAGTCGAGGATTTGATCCAGGCGCAGGGGATGTTCCCTTCCCCCGCAACCTAGCAATTCTATTAGGGGAACTAGCTAGTATGGAGACATATTCCCAGAAAAGTAGCTCGTCTTGAGACTTCAGGGCACATATGGCACATATCCACAAAACGACATCTTTGCAGTGTGCAGGCTACCAAAACAAAGCTCCAGCAATTGAAAGCAGCAACTGGTGCAGGTAGCTCGACGCGCCCACAGCTGGAGATTGTCGTACGCATACATGATGAAGAATATGGACACACCTGGAACTCTGGCTGGATTTCTTGCTGGCAATCCTTTGGTCAACGTCTACCACTCATATCCACTCATTCTCTCACTGTGGTCCATCATATCAATTACCCATTTGAAAAAGAAGTAAGCTTAGAGATGAAGATTTTGATATCGGCTGCACAAGCCTCAAGGAGAACCATCATGTTTGTAGGTCGAGACAAGCGAAAACCAAGCATACCAAAGTCAGCGCTGAACTTGCCAAACCCTTCAAGAAATCATGTGTGATCACTGGCAATTTGTGAGGCTCTAAAGAGGGTGATCTCACTCGAAACGACTCTTGTTTGGTGACCTTTCGCGACTGGACCTTGTGAATCAACAAAAAAGTTACGGCCAATTGGAATGTTTTGAATCCGAGGTATCGATTAGATTGCACCATCCTTTACCCAGGCTGGCACAACTTGGACATTGGTCATTCAGTGAGAGCCATGGTTTTCCTTGGCAGTTCACCCATTGTCCACCCAGGTTGAAAAAACATATTCCCCCACCTGCCAGGTGAGGGTCTCTAGATTTTAACAAAGGTGCTACTCTTCTTCCTCCGCGTCCTCGCCCTTCTCGTCTTGTCCTCCTTCTCCCTTCCTCCGCCTCGCTTGCTGCACTTGCTGCCACATCGCCAGCTTCGTTGTTGTGGGGCACGCCTGGACCCGAACACATGCCAGAAGAGAATGTCAGATAGAATGTCAGAATAGATGCCAGACAATGCCAGAATGAATGCCTGAAAGATGCCTGAATAGATGCCAGAAAGAATGTCAGCATAGATGCCAGAAAGTATGTCAGAATAGATGCCAGATAGAATGTCAGAGCATGTGCATCATATGCCAGAAAGAATGTCAGAATATACACGCCATATATACTTCCAGATGGTATGTCAGAAACCATGTCAGAATGCTGTGCCAGGGTGGCGATCACTCGAAGAAAGTATGTTGTTTCTGCAAGCATCAAATCTTTGCACTCAGATTGCAAAGATTCCATCTCCAACACATGCCACCAGTCCTCGCAAGTGGTTATTGTTATCAAAGCTATCGAAAATCAGGATCACTGTCCATGACGGTCCATGTTTGAAGTGATGTTGGGATATCGGGATATCGGGATGTCCTGGATGTCCTGGATGTCCTGTGTCACAGGTGGTGAGACCTATGTTTGGTTCAGCAGCAAGCGCCTGTGCCATTTTCGGCAACGCCTTCACGACCGGCTGAAGGATGCCATGTGTCGACTTGGACCAAACTGGAATGGCCTTTGCGAAGAGGGAGTTCTGGGGTGGCTATTGGTGGCTATTAATCGAAATGGGAATTGACGTAGGAAATGAACATGGCCTGACATGGCAGTCCTTTCAATCCTGGTTTTCTAGACCTGATTTTATACATTTTTGTACTCAACCTTTAGAATTTCGAAATCATCCTGGGCTCGGTGCTCATGACGGGCTTGAGGTCCTGAAGACTATGAGAAACTCTTTGCTTCTGCTCCCTTCGCGCGACATGGTGGGCTGGCGGGTACGACCAAGCGTTTGAGTGCCTGGTGCATGAACCTGGCAAGGAGCGGCTGGAAATCAGGTGATCCGTAAAGGTGGAAACTGATACCATAAAATGGGTTAACTGGAGAAAGGATTGTGTGTCAAAGGGAATCATTGCAACCTAGAAACTGAGAGCTGTTCAGCGTTTGGGCACCATCAGCAAGCCCTGGAATTCGCAGCAGGAGTGCGAATGGCGAGACCTTCCCTCCACAATTTCTGGTTCTGGTTTTGTGCTTTATCGATACGCCACGGTACAGAGTCTCGGTTCAAAGGTTGAAATGGAGACACCGCAAGAGGTGACACTCGAACAGCTGGGGGGGTGAAGCCACTCATTCTTACTGGGCATTGGGCACTAAAAATGAGCCAATAGGTCTAGTTCGAGCCTGGTCACAAAGTCGTGGCTCCACTGGACAGATCTGGACAGTGGCTTCATCAATCCTATTTCAGCCCCAAAAGTTTGTGAATGGCAAATCTTCTTTGAGAAGACCGCTTGCTACAAGTTCTATCTTCCTCACTATGGCTATACCTTCTGAAATGTCTTGTCTGCATCTCCCTATTTGTCAGTGATATTCTCACATTATTATCCATGTTCCACCCATTTTGGTTTGTCCAAACATAGGGTCGCCCAAACTCCGGTGTAAAACCTCACTCCTGAAAAAAGGCTGATCCAACATGCATGGGAAAATCCATGACTTGGTCTGCATACCAACAGTTTACACTTTGTATCTCATCATTTTTTATAAAAGTGTCAGAGAATTGCCATAGATTAGGGATGATAGTGGAAACCTTCCATTTCTTGCACAGACACCCTCCATTTTTGATGACGATCTCATCGCCCAGTCGCTGGTGCACTGCCGTTTTGCATCGATCGCTCCATGGAGCGTTTGGCCTATCGCATCGAGGAGCGATGGCGGATGGGCCCTGAAGAATTCACACTTTTCAAATTTCCCACTTCACAACACTCCAGACTCACTACACACTTTGAACTCCACACTCACTCCAGACTCTACACTACATGGACTCTACACTTCACACTGCACACTCCACACTTTGCACTCCACGCTCTACACTCTGCGCCCTTCAATTCACACTTGACACACTCCGCACACTACACTTCACGCTTCACCCTTCCCACTTTACATACAAACGCGAAAGCTTTTTAAGCCGGAAAGGTATCGCTCTTGCTGTTCTGCGAATTCCTGCCAGCCAAAGTGAAAAAAATAGTTTGCTCAATTAATTCACCACCAAACCGCCGGCCGGGGCAAAATGGCCAGCGTTAGTTCGAAGCCTTCTGATTTTTGCCGTCTCGAGACGGCAAGTTGGGAATGGAATTCTTGGGCCTTGCTATTTTTGGGCCAACTAAGTGCAGTTTTTCTGATTCTATGAGTTCTGTGTTAGTTTCCCCTGCTGCGCAAGAGTTGAACATGCTTCAATGATTTGGAACAGCTTCGTTTCCAGCGCCCAAGAGGAGACATGTGGAAAGAGCCCCAAAGCTCCGTAAGCATTCCCAGAAGCTCCTGCGAGGGATTCCTTCCAGAAAAAAAACTGCCCAGCGTCATCTTCATCATCTTCTTCACAATAGTCTTCATCATCATCATCTTCATCTTCTTCGTCATCATCAACAGCTACACATCTACAACTGCATTTATGCAGGTGTCTAGATTCAGGTGTATAGATGTAGTGAAAACGGCTACACATCTACAACTTTACAAACTTTACATATACAGATGTATAGAGACAGTGTCTTAGGTGAAAACATCTACACATACATCTACAACGCACGGTAGCTTTGCCATGCTTCAGTTCTTGGGGCCAAATGACACAAAGACAGGACACGTTTCGCAGCTCTTGCTATAGGTGCCACATTGGGGACGGCAAACACCAAATGACATGGCACATCTCCCCACGGAATTCAGGGCGTCAGGGAGGACTTCAGGTCCCCATGGACCTAGCCATGATACCATTCCGATTCGCTGAACGCCAGACGCAACACAGTCTTCTTGGTGACGCCCCCACTTTTGCGTGGACCCCATTTTCGTTGCAAGTTTCCGGGGTGCATAGCGAAGGGCTCTGGTTTTTCTTGGCATGCAAAATCTGTAATATACGGCCATACACATGCAAAAATGTTAGGCGATGAGGGAGCGCCAAGTCGAATTCTGCACCAGGACAGTGGTTGGTTTGTGCGCTTCAACTCTGTGCAAGTGCTCTGGGGTTACCCAATTTCCGGGTTGAAACATCCTAGCGGTCCTAGCGCATGCTTGTTCATCACGCAACCCAACGGATTTTGATGTGTTGGCATGGGTAGATCATGTCAAATGTGACATTGCTGAGAGATTTATTGGCGGCATTGATCATGTTTTGGTATGAATATGATCATTTTTCTCTTGTGAATTTGTTTTCCTCTTTGTGCCTCGTAGGTACTTCCTCAGGTTGCCCGAGCCTCAAGTGCCAAAGGATCCATGTGAGATCCAAACCCAGAGGATCAGCTCATGTTTTCGCATGGGAGCACCCCGCCTGCTCCAGGAATTCATCTTAGGCATGTGCTTAGCCTTTGGGTCATGATGTGTGGTCGTTGTGTCGTGCCAACGGTCCTTTTTTCTTGCGTCACGACTTGGTACCGAGGCCGATACCGGGGACGATCGTGCCATCTCAGTTCTGATCGACATGCTGGCCGACAAGGATCCGGATTTCCGGATTGGAGCGCTCCGGGTGTAACGGCACCACAAAACGCGGCTGCGATTGGTGAATCCTTGAAAACCCGACATGGTTTCTATTTTGACAGATTCTGTTGAGGTCTCAGTCTTGTCCTCACAGCCGCAGGATCAACATGTCCGCAGCGCGGCGGTGGAGTCTCTGTCAGAGGCAGACCAGGGAGCCTTGGGAGCCCGGGGACAGTGGGAGCCTCGGTGCGTCAGGTGGTCTTCAAAGATGACCGCTCTGTCCATCAGACGTTGAGCGTTTGTATGGAGGACGGACGCACATCTCCGCACATCCGCTCGCATTCACGATGTCCATCGTGGATTTTGGCTGTTTGGAGTGACGTTGGATCAAGGGAGTGTTCACTGCTCCAAGTTGACATCTTCTAAATTTTCTTTGCAAAGCTTCCAGGACCCAAATCCTTTGCTCCGTGAAGCCGCTACTCGCCTGAAATTTGGGCATTTGCTGATGGCGCCTCTGTGGATCATTGTAGGCTCACTGTAGTCACTGTAGTTCCGCAAAATGAAGCACTGTATTGGGTCCTGTTCTGGATGATGTCGTTAGATTATGGCGGCCCTGTCCTAGTTTGGGAAATGCGAAAAATGCCAACTGCTTTGGACAAAAAAACAGCAGGTTCAGTAGATTGTACCCTTGGTGAACCATGTATGAACCCTGATATGTCAGGTTCAGTTGATTGTGCCATATGGTGGCAGCCCCGAGGCTGCACAAGCCCTGCCACAAGTGGCAGAACGCGGAGATGAGCAACTGACCTGCAGACCAGTTTTGGCTTCTGACTTTAGTTTTGATGCACACGAGAAAGCCAGAAATATGGGGCAGATTATGGTCGATGAAAATTGTGTGTGTGTGTGTCACGACAGTATTAGCCCATAAAAGTTGTCTAGAACTGAGATGTGAACCCACAACCAATCTGAAGTTTTCGGATGAAATCGATGTACAATGTGAGGTTGGCTTGGCTGAGGTTCGTGGCATCAGTGTTGTTTCCGCATTTGGAGGATGTGGATGCCAGAGTCAAGAAAGCCGTGAAGGCGCGCGAACTTTTCGTCCTCCTGTGGGAAAATCATCGCGTTTCTGTGATGTCGACTTCGACGCGCAGGAGTCTTTGAAACTCCTGGGCCGGGATGACTTGGTCAGTAGCTTGTGCTGGCCCCCAGAGCCATGCTGTGATGGTTGGGACGTTAATCATGTGCCCATACTCCGTAGTTCCTTGCGGGTTTGGTGAAGATGGTCTGCGGGGCGTGCAAAGAATCAAATTTGGCGGATGTTGGGGCTTCAGGACTTACCAAATTCGTCGCATATCGGGTTTTTTAGGCAATGAGAGTGGTTCCTCCCAAGATATATCAGATGAATACATCAGATAATGATGTATATATATATAATTATATATATATACATCATACTATTACATATTATATATATACGTATATATATACATATTATATATATATGTATATATATATATGTATATCATAAATAAAATCGGTAAAAGCTTAGTTAGGCCTTTGAGGATTGTGCTACTGATGATTTGCTGAGGCGTGCGGCAGGGACGGCCAAGAAACGCTAAGGGCGATGCGGCGCTTCCAAATGGAAGCGTGCTGGTGGGCCTGGGGGTCTCAAAAATTGATCCTCAAAAATTGATCACATTTCATGTTCCAATTTGGTTCCAATTTGGTTCCAATTTGGTTCCAATTTGGTTCCAATTTGGTTCCAATTTGGTTCCAATACGTTTCTTCATGTGACAGTGACGGAATGGAGTAAAGGCATGGAAGGTGTCGCTTTTTCCCGAGACAAGGCCCAACATTTGGCCCCCAAGTTCCGACACCGAGACACCCTGGGTTCAAGTTGCAGAAAACTCTGGCACATGCAATCGCAAACTTGGAGATGAAAGCATGGTAGGATAGAAATGCAGTAACTGCATGACCCCACCAAATCCCATAAGTCATTTTGAGCAAAAGCTTGTTGTAGCCTGTTTTCTATTGCCATCAGGCAATTCCCGGTTGACACTCCTGTATCGCTGCAGTTTGCAAACAAAGATTGGCCTGAGGCTTGCTAAATGTTGTAAATTCACAGGGCAAAGTTGCAGATTGGGCACCACTATGCGCCGGGCTCGGGGTTGTACAGCCTCAAAGAGGTCACCACTTGTTTTGGCTTTGCACAGTTGCGCGCAACTTTGATTCCATGGGTGTCCATTGTACAAATTTCGTTTGCGAGCAGCGTGAAGAGCGGCACAAAGCAGCCGGTGGAAACCAAAATGATGTCATGTTCAAACCATGCATGTACCCTCCAACGAAGGCATGAAAAGATGTAGACAATATCCATGGTTCTTGGTGCCAGAGACTGATGCCTCAGAATTTTTTTGATTCTAAAAGTATTACTGTGACCAGGCGACGTGTTGGCCATAGCTGACCGTCAAAGGATATTTCCAGACTGAATTAGTGGTGCACATCGAAACGTTTATTGCATCGATTGTTTTTTGGTGTTTTCTTGGATTCTCCATGATTCTCCCCCTTCTGCAGACACAGTGAAGCAAATCTGGTGGTTTTTCTGCTTGCCTCTCAAGCTGCTAATCGCTCATCCATTTGAATCCGTTTGAAATGTGATATACCCTCTGGTAAACTAACATATCTATGGAAAATCACCATTTTTAATGGGAAAATCAACTATAAATTACCATTTTCAATAGCTATGTTAAATTACCAGAGGGTATGTGAATCATTTTTCAACTTCAACTTGGATTCCCATGGCATATCCCCCGTCTCAAGTGTCGCCTCGTCTCGTAGGATGCTTGGAGCTTGTGCCTGCGGAGGGGCCCATACAGGCCGGCAGCAGAGTACATCATTCCTGTTTCAAGATATGTTTACTGCAAAAATCAGTTGAGATATGTTTATAATATTTTGAAAAATAACTGAAAAATCATGGTGCCTTTCTGTTAGAATGGCTATGCAGGCCCTGTGTGTACCTGTGCACCTGTCGGGAAGCCTGATGCCTTGCGGCACGGGAGCATTGATGGAAAGCAAAGCGCTTTTGCTGTTGGGCGTGGGAGCGAACTGGGGAACACTGGGCCAAGAATGACTTGTCCATCGCTTTCGAAAAGCCCAGAGCAGATTCCAGGCAGATGGCAGATGTTCTTTTCACCTCCAAGGCCGCTGCCAGCACGGCCGCTGCCAGCACGGCCGCGCCACCAAGTCCTCCAGTTTCGGTGCGGGCCACATGTTGGATGGGGGCACACCAGGTCGCCTAGAATCCTTAGAATCCTTAGAATCCTTAGAATCTTTCACCATCGGATGCTTTGAAAGCAGGATTTCGTTGAGTGAACCTCTCGGACAGAATTCTGAACTCGCAGGCGCCCGACGGCAGCGAGCCGTCGGACGGTGGCGAGCCGCCAGGCACAGACATGTTGCTGACAGGGAAACGGTAAAGCGAAAGGTCTACGAAAGATGACCATCACAGAGTCCTCAAGTTGGACGTAGCCAAAGTGCCACAATGGCTGAGTCTTCAAATTCCAAATTGGACAGTTTAACAGTTTAACATTAAAATTTGTGAACCATGTTGATCATGTCCATTTCTGATCGCAGCATTTGCAGACATCTGCGAGCGCTTCGAACAATGGGAGGAATGGGACGTGCCTTGGCAAAGGCTTTATGGGAAGATGTTTTTAATGCATCAGCATGTGTGTGTGTGTGTGCAGATAAATCACCGAAAGGATTGATTTATAATATATACGTTATATACGTATGTAGTCAATATGTACATATATATATATTATTACCTGATATATTAATATGAAATATTATGAACTTTTGTGTAGAAACTATGCCAAACCACCTTGTCCTTTTGTTAATCCACCTGATGCTGTGGAAAGATCAATGCCGGCTGGATTTTTTTTTCACCACCACCACAGACACAGAGAATATCAGCCACCACATTTCCACCCAGATTGCCAAACTGCGGCCTATGACATTTACGACCTTTGGTTCTACATCCAGCATTTGATTCTTTGCATACCTGGCTATAGCTGTAAAAAAGAGGCGAGGCGGAAATGAGCGTGTAGGGCACTTGCAACAAAACTAGGACATATATCGAAAATCTGAAGTAGTAGCCCCAATTGCAGACCTGTGATTGATACTCATATACTATGTTAGTGGTAACGTTCATTGAAATGAAACGAATCTCATACGAGTCTCCCCTTTTCAATCGCTGAGGCTTCCACTCCTCTGTGGAAGCACGCCATGGCCGGCAGTTGTGTTGGGGGATCTCAGTTTGAAGGCAGCTGCATGGGGCTATAGCATGCTATAGCTTTCATATTGGTGAATCCAAAAATGGAAATGTAAACACTAGCAAAGGGTCGAGACAATCAGAAATACTATGCAATAAGACATAATAAGACTTTCATTTCTGGCCAGAATGCTCTTTTGATCATAGTAACACAGATTTTTTAGTGTTCCTTTGTGGGGAAAGCCTAGCCGCCAACGGCTCTAGCTGGCAGATCCGAGGCTGGGGTGATGGAGCACATCGGCATGTATCCCTTGGACACTGTGAAGACACACATGCAGGCGCCGCCATAGATCGCCAGATCGCCATAGATCGCCATGATGAAACTGAAGAATTCTCCAATGGTTGATATGGTTGAGGCCAAAGCCGTGGCTGATATAAATGATATACCATCTGGTTATTTAACAGTTCGCCATGGAAAGATCCACCCATTTTTAATCGGTAAACCATCTATATTTCTATGGGCCATCTATACCATGGCTATGTTAGTCATAGCCAGGTTGGGTAAATGTAGATGCTATTTATGTGCTACAATGTGCTACAAGACTATGTGTGGTCGCATATCACATGTGGTGCCGTCACTGAGGCCTTGAGGCCCGGAGGTGCACTGACCCTCTCGAGCGTGGTGCAAAGCATCGTGGAGGCGCCGACGTCACCATGCGACGTCATGGGACGTCGTGGGACGATGTGGAGACGTGGACGTGCACGTTGTTGGGAGATGTTGGGATCTGTCCGCCACCGCCAGTGCTGAGTAACACCTCCAACTGGATCCCAAGTCTTTCGAAGCATCCACATGCCTCAGGAGAGTGGCGGTCGCGGCTTCATGCGGGGAGCTTCGTCCATCGTCATAGGCCAGTGATGCATTTTTCCAATTTCAACAGCCAGGAAGATGATGAAGATGTCAGTCGAATTTCTTTCAACTTCGAAGTGGTTATTTAACGGTTATTTAATGCAATTGGGTGACCAAAAAATGTCAAAAACAGGAGAAAAGATCGGAAGCGACAAGAAAGGGAGTGGCCGGGATGACCCGAACTCAACAGGACCCAATTGTCCGACCCTTCGAAACGGGGTCGGTTGACCCACAGCACAGGCTGCGTGCCCGCTCATATAGCACTCTTCACCAGTTATGAATACGTGAAGGCACCAACTGCGCAGATGTTCGGAGATGGCAACGTGTGAAAATTGATGGCTGATACGTTGATGTTTGATCAGCTGAAATGAGACAGAGAAAATTGAACAAATTGAACCAGACATGACTTTGCTTTACCAGCGAGAAATCGTGAAATGATGTGGTTTCTCGTCTTTTAGGGTCACCCGCCCCATTCCTTCTCAGATCCATAACCATGCACAGATTAGCTTTGAAATGGATTCATTCCATGACCCTTCTTGCTTGACTGCCTGCCATCTACCAATGTGTAGCCTCTCTCTGTGTAGCCTTCCGCAGGGGCGAATACTCAATGAAAACGATGCCCATGAGCCCGCACGCGCTGCCCTATGTGGTCCGGGTCACCAGAAACTTGTGGATCAAATTCATGGACAGGCCGCAGTAGCCGCAGCCTCTAGAATTTTTTGGTTGGCTTCCAAGATACTGTAGATGTCGAGGCATGGACAGGTGGAGAGATGGGACAGATGGGACAGATGGGACAGATGGGACAGACGGACAGATAGAAATAGAACGATCAAGAATTATATAGAAATGATCATAGAAGTACATAGATATGACATGATATGACTAGATATTTGTTGTATCTATTTGTTGTGGATATTTCGTATAACCCCCACATGTGGCAGTTGCCGCTCCTCTCTCGGCTCCTCTCTCGGCTCCAGCTCACGAAAATTTCGCGGTGCGGTGAAGAGACCGCTGCGCGGGGTGGGCAGACATGGATCCACAGATGTTCTTCTGGCAGCTATGAAATAGCTATGCAGCTATGATCTGATCTGATCAACAGTTAACACTACTTAGATCTACTTAGCATAACATATGATGTTTTTTGATTTTCAACAGGTATAATTGGTTTATCATGATTCTTGCAGTGATGACATAGCCACGTGGCCTCCCACATCCGAACTCTGGAACCAGATTGTGAAATCCCCGCGAACCGCCCCGCGAACCGCCCAGCTCGCGATTTTCGGCCTGCCCGGCTCGCCACACGGCGCAACGGCCGGAGGAGTTTATCGTCGCATTCTCAACATCTCGCAACATATCGCAACATGTTGAATCATATTAATACATATTAAATCATATTAAATCATATTAGTGCATATTAATACATATTAAATCATATTAGTGCATATTTATACATATCATATTAATACATATCAATACATATTAATACATATTAATACATATTAATACATATTAATACATATTAATACATATTAATACATATTAATACATATTAATACATATTCGATCTATTGATTCAAAGATGTAACATGATGAATGAATGATGTTAATACTCAGATCTCAAGAGCATCCCTTCAGATGATTGGCTTGGAGGCTTGACACCTTGAACTCAGACTCACAAGATTCCATGCGCCCAAAATAGGCCATTGAATCTATTATATTATACATGTGTGCATAGGGGATTGGGATTGTGTTGGAGGTCTTTGGCAGCTCAATGTTGCTTCTGTGTTTTGGTCTCAATTTGGAGTTTCCATGTGTTTTCCATGTGTTTACAATGCTAAATCATTGCCAAATCTAGGGAAGTTGGTATTGTTCTCGTCACTTCATCTGTTGGAGATCCTGTTCCTTTTACCCAAAGACGACTTCGACGACTCCTCGGCCTGCGCCGGGTGCGTCACGTGTGCGGCCGCTTCCCAGCGTTCCCAGCGCGCCTTACCATGTGTGTGGTATCGCAGAGAGCAGAGTTGGGAGATGTTTGCGTCGAGACGTTGCTGAAGGACCGGGATTCAGATGATTCAGGGACCATTGGACCATTGGACCATCCAACTTTTCGCAGAAATGAAACAAATGTGATGTAAAGATGTGATGTCAGATGCAACTAATTGATTTAATTGATGCTAAATGGTGCTGTTTCCACTTTCCCCCAAACAATTATATACCAGAACAATGGTGCTGTTCATTTTAGGGCACCGACAAACTTGTGTTTTGGGGCTCTGGGGCCCATGGCAGGAAGATAGTGCTACGTTTATCATGGAGCCGTCCCAATTGATGTTGCTCGCCGTCTCTGCAAACTTGTGCAGGCGGAAGGGACCCAGGATCCAACATCCAACGGAGTGTGCTTCAAAAGCTGGAATTATGTGCTTCACAAATACATTGAAAATACATTTAAAAACCTATGGGTATGGAAAAAGTGGAAAGACCACATATTTGATCGAGTTCTTTTCGGTGCATGCCCTGTATGTCGAATGGCTTGATGAACACTTTCTTGCAACAGCCTGATGTAATAAGCTTACCTTCATTACGATTGATCTAAAGTTTGCACACGATCTTGGCCCCAAAATGATCCGAGTAAACCATAGTAAACCTATGCCCAAGCTGGCCAGGCAGATCCGGCGAAGTTCCTCGGATCTGGAAGGGCAAACCATGGAGATGGCCTTCCAACATGGTCTGCCCGCACATGCGGCCATGGACTCAGATAGGAAAGATAGGAACGATAGGATGGCTTCCTCAGATTCCTCCATCATTCCTCCATGGTCCTGTGGTTTTGTGTGTTTTTCAGTTCTTGCTGCCAATGCTAAGGTGTCCAGATCAGCAAATTCCAAAATCAGAGCGTTGGGAAATCTCAGTTCGGAGGTAGGATGAGCTTGAGCTTCAACAAGATTCCCCCATTGCCACGCCTTGGGGAGGTGGTGAGGTGTGAAGACAAGGATTTCTGGTAAGTTTGAGTTGTCCTACTGCACTGTGTGGATTTTATGCATGGGAAATGCTGCAGAAAATCGCTGTCGCAAAAACGCCTTGGCCAGATTTTGTATGTCAAGAGTATTGGTTTTTCATCGATTAGTTTTCACTAAGATCTCGTTGATCCTTTCAGGCAAGGCCGGAGACAGCAGGCCGCAGGTCCTGATGGGTACTGTTTCTGTCTCCATGAGCTCCAACTTTTGTTCTCCAAGGTTTTGTGAGGCATGCACGGAGCGGGACCTGTTCCGCAACGGCGAAGTCACCTGCATACAGCCTGGAAACCTAGGAGCCCTGTGCCAAATTTCGAAGATCAGAGGGTTTATTGATTTTATTGTCGATCTAATCCGTATTCTTTCCAAAATTGACGCATTTGGAAATCATTTGGATCACAATATTTGGTTCATATTGGTTTCATGCCTGTTCATGCCTCGTGTGCGGTGCGGTTTGCATGGCAACCAGGGCGCATTTCACGTGTTTGTCTGTGTCGCGTACGTTGAGGGCCTGCCAACGTGGAGATGGCACGCGCTTCGTCGCGTATCAACTCTTTCACAGCTGCCAGGCGGTGAACTCTGTGGCAAAATGTCGGTATCACTCCTTCACCTGCTCCGAACTTCATTAGCTTCGGGGTTTTTTCCGACTTCATGTAGCAGTATACCTTTCTTTTCTTATACATGTGTATGTAGCATGTATATGAATGTAATAGATATATGTTATGTTATGTCATGTTATGTTATGTATGAATACTATATATATATACACTATATTATATATATATACACTATATATATATACTATATATACACTATATATACACTATATATACATATACTCTCTATATGTGTATATATATATATTCTGTATATATATATATAACCATACTGTGTATATATATATATACCATATATATACTACACCATATATATATATACTATATATATATATACATACAATACAATACAATACATTACATTACAATACATACATACATACATACGTACATACGTACATACGTACATACGTACATACGTACATACGTACATACGTACATACGTACATACGTACAATATTATATATATATATATACGTTATATAGATAGATACAGACCATGTCAAGTTTGGACAGCCCCTTTGCGTTGACGGCGCCGCATTGTGTTTTGCCAGGTCCAAGGCCGTTGCCTCGTGCTGTGCGTCCGGGGGCCTTGCCGGGCCTTGCCGTTGAGGACTTGGAACAAAACGTGGACGTTTAAAGATGGTTAAGGATGGTTAAATGTGTGGTTAAATGTTTGGTTAAATGTTTGGTTAAGGATAGTTACTGTAAATGTTTGGTGAAACTGGCTAAGGTATGGTGAGATGTGGTTAAGTCTGGTTAACTGATTGAAATCCACCATGATTTGCTGCTTAAAGGCTGTTTATTTGATGTTCCCTGATTTGTTGTTGTTGGTTAAGCAATGGGAGTGACTTGCTTAGCAAAAAGGTTGGAGATGTCAAACAAGTGTCGGTATGTAAAATGAGTGTTCAAGAATCGGAATGCTAACCAAACAAGTAGATTTAATTAACAAAAGTATGGGCCAGTTGAGCAATGAAAACACAGGATATAACCAACTGAAATGGGGATGACCAATAATTGTTGTTTGATTTGGGTATGGGTCAATCCAAACAGGTGCACAGTGGCATAATACATGCCAAACATGAGTTTTTTTTGTAGATTTCCCATGTTTTCCTGGATCATATTTTTAATCCATGCCCATTTTTTTGGTGTCGACCAAGCCATGGCCATCGTTCCCTAGACAGCTTCGAGGTGCAGTTGGAACTCTGTGAGGGCGATCGTCCCGACATGAAGATGAACCTGGTCCAGTTTCACGAGGAACTGACCTGTTTGAGTTTTCCTGGGCAGCGAAGATTCAGGTGTAACATGTCATAACGTGTCATCGAGCATTCATGTTGACCCTGCGGAGATTGTGAACGTCTCCTTTTTTTCGACCAAGATTCTTTTGGTGGTGAATCAATGCAAGTATTGCGAAGTATAATGACTCCAGGAGGCACGAGTACAGCTCCTCCAGGCTCGGTTTGGGGAAAAGAGCCCGTTGTGGTGACCTTGTGCGATTTGTAGGAATTTTAACCACTGGAAAGTTGATATCTAAGAGTAACTCGATTTCATCCTTCACTTCCTGAGATGACCCATTTTCCCGTTCTCCTTTATTCACTGGCGAGTTGCTGCGAGATCGTCAAAGAGTGTAGAGGGCATGCTTCGGAAATGCCTGCAAAGAGTTTATAAGAGTTGCTTGAGGCTGGTATTAAAAAATATCAAACGCATCAACGTATGAAGAATTATCCCTTAAGAAGTATCTCCCACAGTAATCCCACACAAAGTCCCATGTTTTCTCTATGGAACAGGTGCTTGAAATGTCGGATGCCAGGCCTTGAAATGCCTGGGATCTCCCCTCTCCTTGGAGCCACCCATTTTGGACGAAAAGGACGTGGGCTTTCGCTTCTACGGGGTCCCTTGGGTGCCGGTGCTGTGCAGGGCAGGGCAGTTGCCAAGGGATCACTAGTTTCAACATGTTTCAACATGTTTAAACCCAGAAGATGTTCCTTCTAGGCAGTTTCAGCGTGTTTTTTTCATCAGCCATGCTGAGGCTTTGAGAGCATCACATGAAAGGAGTCGCTATCTTTGACCCACAGACTTTTTCACGGACCTAGAGGAACTAGACTAAATTAAACCCAGAAAGGTAAACCGATGTAAATTGTTTAAACTTCCCAAATTCCAAAATTGGGCGCTTCCCAGGTTCGTCTGCAAGAGCAGTCTATGCTCCTGGATAAGGGTCGCAGCTGCCAACGCAGAGAGTTCGACGTCCTGCCACGTGGAGCGCAGGTGAGACGCGAAGTTGTGAGTCGGAAATTTTCTCAAAATTCCTCAAAATATCAATCTTTGAATGCTTTCTGTGTGAACCAAAGCGCTCAATTTTCTTGAGTTTTTGGGTCCCCGGGGAAGTTTTCCAGGTGGTTTTTTTCTGTTTGGCAGGTCTTTGGCGATCGTCCCATTCAGCCTGAAGCTGGAGGTGCATTTAGCGGAAATCAAGGGAGACACAAAGCCGTATGGCACGAGGCAATGAATATGGACGATTCGTGGATGAATATGGACCTGCCGGAAAGGTATCAATTCGTCATATTATGATATGTAGTATGATATGTCATGATGTCATGATGATTCATGATGTCCAAAGTTGCCCCATTGCCGACAGGTCTACGCTTCGCGGTTCGCGTAGAGGCGGCCTCAAAGGTACCTTGGCAGGGCTTGGCAGCTGAGGCACCTTGGTCCATGGGAGTCCATCAAATCTCGACAGTTGTGTGTAAAATTGTGTAAGTGTTGCTGTGCTTCAGAGCAACACGAAAAAAAAAGAAGATACAGCATCTGTGCCTCATCTAAGCATCCTCAAACCCAGAGAACCTCGAACTACATTGGAGAACTACATCGGAACCATTGGAACACCATTGGAACATGAACCTGGTCGCACGGGTTGACTCAACACGCCAAGGCCTTTTGTGGCTTGCCCTTCTTGGGATTCACACGGCAAGTGCCCAGTGATTGCCCGGGAACTCGGGTCTTTAAATCTTGGCAGATTTGTTTGGGACTGCCATTGGAATCCATTAAAATCCATTACACATTACTCATCGTTATTCATCGTTATTCATCATTGTTCATCATTCATCATTACTCAGTTGCAGTTTCCGTGGAAACGGTTCCACCTTTGCGCCGTGAGGCCCAACGTTGTATCCAGATGTGGCCACCAACATGGCTCAGACTCTCGGTGGCATCGGTGGCATCGGTGGTTGGCCCTCGAAAAAAATGTGTAGCTCCAACTTTTGACATCATTCCGACAAACATTTGTACCATTTGTTGACTTTTTCGTGTTGCTGTTGGGGAAATTCTTTGGATTTATTTTACAATCTGTTTTATAAAGCACATATATATATGATCTATTCCTTATATGCTATCGATATCTCTTCCTTTTTTTCTTGTCATTCGGATTTGCGGTCGGTCCAGGAGTTTGCTGGTCGGTGGGGATGGTGGAGCTTCGGCCAGAGATCAGCTGAGCCACTTCAAAAGCGGTGCCTGGGCGCCACGGGGATCTCCATAGAGGCACAACGACCGAAGAGGACCTAAGAGGGTCGAAAAAAAGATCGAAGATCATGAAGATCTGAGGAAATCATGAAAACATACTTAAACATACAGTAGAACATACTGTAGATTACAGTAGATTACAGTAGATTACTGGACGATTTTGCTGGGATATCGGAGGATTCAACCATTGTTGCAATACCTATGGGGAGTCTCCAACCTGAGCTATGCTCCAGAGTCCCGTGTGGTTCCTGGCCTGTCACCGGATCCGTTGCTTTTTTTCCACTGAGGTTTTAGGGCGCCCCCACAGCATGAGGTGCAGACATTCAGCCTGAGGCCCCAGTGACATCCATATGGCGTTTTTTTAATCCCAGCAATGGTTTCACCACATGCGATGGTTTCAATCAAGGTACCAGTTGAAACTTCCTGACGTAGGGGTGAAAAAAGGTAGGCTAATGGCTATGAAACCAGCTCTGTCTCATGGCAGAGTTGGACACAGCTTTGCCTCAAAGTGAGGCACCCGCAAGAGCACTTCAAACAATTGATCATGTCCCGCTAAATCAGCACAGCTAACTCTTGGAAGAATGCCCTACACAGCATAGGCAAGTGCACATTCCACAAGACATTACATGTTTTTGGTTCCATGTTGCACAGAAAAAACGAAACAAAAACAATACAATTGACAATTCCTTACTCTCGCTGTGACCTCTATGGGGTCAATTGATTCAAGGGGAGATTGGTTGCGGCAAAATAGGCCACCGGCCACTGCAAACAAATTTGTTCGTGGGAGGATTTGTCAAAATTCAGAAACTTGCACTGGACCAATCGTTCATTCGTCGCAGTTTCTTCAGCCATGAATTCTTCCCTTGTTATATGGCATGTCTGCCGTGTTCCCAGAAAATCTGTGATGTATCAGATAGGTTGAGGCATATATGTATGTATATGTATCATATATATAATATATATAATATATAATGTATATATATACTGTATATGTATGAAAACAGTGGACGCACGTTTTGGCTGAGCTACAAACATCTCAAGAAATTGGAGCACAGCCGTCGCCAAAAAAATCGCCACATCTCGGCTGGTGACATCAGTTTCTGGCGAAGATGTGGTTGAGGATGTGACGGCTGGCAATGGCTGGCATGGTGACCATGGTGGAAGATGAAATGCATTGAAATGCCTCCAAAAGGTCCTTGCAACTGAGATTGGACAAGGCTTCAAAGTCGCGCTTCGTCACCAGACAGGGCTGATGGTTGTTCCAAGGGGAAACAGCCTTGGATTTTGCTGAAACTGACCGTAGCCACAACTGGCCACTTGGGAGAGATGAACATTTGGAAAGTGGAGCCAATCTGAATGGCCATCAATCTCTGCACTTGTTGCTGGGTGTTGGGGCAGACAAGAACTAGGCCTCGCAGAATGGTATGCTTTGCTCATCTTTGCTCACATGGCAATTCACAGTGGGGAAGTTGTGCGTGTTCAAGTCGGATGTTCAAGTTGCAGGATGTTAAGCGCGCTGGCGACTTGTGTCGGAAAAAATTGGTCGCTGAAAGTTGCTGGCTGCAGCTTTGTGGAGTTGCTCGGAATTAGTTCACGTGTTGCCCAGGCGGCCGCGAGTACAGCGAACGATTCACACAGGCGTTTTGCTTCTGTGGACCTCAAGAAGAAGCAGTTGAGACAGAGACCTTTGCGGAACAGTGCGAAAGTATGGCAGGCGGTAAAATAAAGTTGTGGCAGAGGACAGGGAAAAAAGAGTTCCAGGTGAAACCTACCTCGGCTTCGTACCTGACCGGGTACAACCGGGCCCTCTATAAAAACTGTGGTGATTTGTTTGCTCTGGAAAATCATTTCGGATACTTTGGAAGCGGCAAATTGACTCAGTACTTCCCCATCATGTCCGCCACGTTGGTAGGCCTGGTAGGTTCCATCTAATTTTTATTTCTCCCAGCAACTTTCATACTGAGGTCTGCAACCCGACCTGCCTCGGAATAAACGACAAGCGCCCGCCGAACCCAACGTCGGGGACCGGCAGACGACTCGGCCAGGGCGGGATATCAAACATGTCCAAACATGGCACCCATCAACCAGTCATATTTTTTTAATTTTTTTTTCAGGCCCGGGATGATGAGTTTGCGAGCTGTTTGGGAGCTGTTTGACATGCAAATAGAGGCATTATGGCATTTGCAGATTAATCATGGCATGAAATAAATCAGACCCTCAATGTCTTAGAAAAAGCATGTCACAGACCACGGAGATGGATTTTCGTACAAGGTAATCCAGGAATGATCCCCAAGCCTCAAATTGGATCAGAATCCCACATGGTCGTCACGCTGCCCGGTAGGACATCTTGGAGTGCCGCTATACCAGTGCTGGTCTTCTGCAGATGTTTCTCAATGACCAGGTGCCAGCTCTGAACAAACTGGAGGTGAAACGTCAAACTTGTTTCACTCAGGCTCTCACCGCTGGGATTCGACATATTCGACACTATCAAACTCGTTTTTCATGATGTTGGGTTGTCCAAGATGCACTGAGCATGAGTCATGGTTCATGAGTGCTTAGCAGGCATCAATACGTCAACACTCAGGGTTTAAATTCCCAGGATACCAATTCTGTCAAGTCCCACCCATTGCATTTTACCCTGTTTTACTTCGGCAGTATTGACCTGGAAGCTGGAAACACGACTTCCAACGACTTCCAACGGAATCTAAGGATGTCAGGATACCTATCCCATTGAGTGTGAAAAAAAATGTGTCTAAAAAATCAACATGATCAACTTATATAACTTATATCCCCATCTCTCTGGAGAATTTTCAATACAAGCTGTACCTTCTTTTATTGTTGGACCTCCAGTTCTACCGTTCTATCCACAGCAACGGTGCCAGAAGCTGATGGACTTTGATACTGGTCGACCCCTCCATCCCGATGTCGTTCCTTGGCAAAACTGGCAATGTGGAAGTTGCAGAAGCAAGTTGCAGAAGCAACCGCATCAACCACGTCCATTTGAACAGTTCTTGATATTGGAAGAACTTTATGGATGCCTTGGATGAATGTTTTCCATTGTTGACCTTCAGTAGTCTCCCTGGAAGAAACCTTGCAAGGAAGCTCCTAGCGATATTCATAAATCAAACGATCCTCTCATATAGCCTTTACCATCTTAAACATCCCGAAACATGTCTTGACCGCGCCTTCCTACCTTAAACTCATCCGAACTCATCAGATTCGAGGCCCACTATGCTGTCGTGGATGTGGCCTTCGCTGCGTACCGGCTGTCTTTGGTGCCCCCGACACAACCGTGCCTTGGACAGAAAGTCGGAAAAAAACCTGTGACTGGTTAAACTGGTTGGATCATTTGCTTGGGGTTATTGGTCATTTATTGGTCATTTATTGGTCGTTTCGGTCGTTTCATCACCAAGGTTTTTGTGAGGTTTTTGTGACACAAATGTAACGTACCTACGAATTGGACGCCTGAGAATTGGAGACATTTTTTGGGAGTTTTTCGAATGGTGGCAATGACCAGCCGCCCCTCTTGGAGGAAATGGACAACCACACCTTTGGTGGTTCTGTCATGCGACGCGTTCCCATGGAAAAGTAAGCTAAGTAATGCTAAGTAAGCTTGCCGCCACAGGTTCCCGATGGAAAGATCATGCAGTTCTGGCAAGTCGCCGGAAAGCACCTGCTGCTGCTCGGTGGTGAGTGCATTGTGCCAGTTCGAGATTCGTTTAGACCGGGCACCAGGTTGGTTGAGCGGGAGGCACGTGTGTTTCCCCTTCATTTTGTGAACATATGTGAATATCATCCAGTCTTTCAATGTCTTTCAGGTTTTCCTTTCAGGTTTTCCCATGTTTTCCATTGTTTTCCTGTCATCCAATGGGACAACGGGATCTCTCGAGGTGACGACGAAGAGTCCATTGACTTGGACCCGTTGGGGACACCTGGTCCCATCGCCGTTGGCCCACGAGAGTTTCTTCGATGGCAGTGGCTCGTTAAACACGTTTTTTCACCACGTACTACTGTACTACCATCAAATTTCTACTTAAACGGTTACTTAAACAATCTTACACGTTGTAATGATGTAATCCTGTCGACTTTGGGCCGCTTTTTCAGAGAAACCCATGAAACATCAAAACATCACGGGTTTTGTAACCCTCCAAGAAATCAAAGATAGATTCTGCTCGTTTTTGAAACGGGAAGCTGAAAGCCGGAGAAGCTGTGAAGCCACGCTGAATCTCTTGGAGTTAGCGAGGTCAAACTCCTGCGCATGGTCGATGACCACGATGACCACGATGGCCACCAAGTCGGGACCACGGGAAATGACATGAAGACTCCGTTTGGACAGTATTCTCCATCTGTTGAACTAGCACACGAAACATCGATCATGTTATCAATTTTATTCGAAGATTTTCGTGGAATTCTTTGATTCCATTGCCCTTTTGCACCATGCCCACGTGTCGATGCTTTTTTGGCAAGTTGCCCTTGTGATCTTCGGTATCCAAAGATTGATTTGAGTTCCCTCTCAATTTGAAGTCGCAAGGGGGTTGGACTCACACCGGTGCAAGGCCTTCAATGGAGCTCGATGGTTCTCCAACCGGTAGTAACGGTAGGTGCAGGGCCCGGATGGCGATGGAAGTTGCAGTTTGCTGACGCCAAAACCATGGCAAAGAGCGTACGTACCAACTATTCTGACTTTTCTTTATATGGCTCTTTTAAAAAGAAGAGTCAAGATCGCAAATGAAGAAGCCACTTGGTTTAATCAACTTCTCGTCCCTATCAGGGACATTGAACGCAAAAGAAGAATCTATTGTTGTTCAACATAGGTGCCCTATTACTGAGATACGCCCGAGCTTGGGTGGTCATGGTAGTTCTACTGATTCCTTTGCTCCCTTAAAAGCCCACATCCCCAAGCATTTTTTGGACAGGCTTCTGCAACTGGCTTGTGCACCCTGGCAGAAGGGGTGAGTCAGATGCATCATCCTGCAAGTGTGGAAAGCTGTGGCTTTGGGGTCTCAAACAAGGAACATACACCACACTGCCCAGCATTTTCAAGACCAATGCTTTCAAGCAAAAAGTTCTGCAACTCTCCATGAACAACACGCTGCAGCCACGCAATCATACACATCCTCTCCCAGGTAATGGGGCTGACAAGGATGATTCAGAAGAATTCACAATGTTGATTGACACAATTTGACATGTCAAAATGTAAAACAAAACCACATTGACATCAGTCGATGCCCAAGGTCTTTGCAGTCGTTGCCGCAGGGTTGGCACTACGACCAGCATGGCGGCGCTGAAATGGCAGTCTGCCAAATCGCGACGGAGACCAGCTGAGGTCCTTCAATCTTACACGACTTGTTGTTTTGTTGTTGGATATTGTACTGATAGTGTTGGATATTTGTTGGATATTTGTTGGATTTAAGTTGTGTTTTTCGGATACCAACTTCATAACACCTTTTGGGGGGAATCGAGCTCTGGCTTTCAAGGTTTCCAGCCAGTCTAACTGCGATGATGTTTGGCGGAGTATCTTTGGACGGAGTCTGTGTTTCCTTCAAGGCCTTCAGTTTTGTAAGATCCCCAAGTAGCTTGGGACAGCCGGAACCGAATATCCAAATTCAGTACTCCGAGGCTCTCTGAAGTGTTGCATGTTTCTGCCAGTTCCACCGCGCGATGGCACATTGCCTGCCGCTTGACCATTTTCATGGTGACACGAATGCTGTTCGCCAACCTTCGCCAACCTTCGCCAACCTTCGCCAACCTTCGCCAACCTTCGCCAACCAGCCTGCTGAAGGTCCCTGAGTCATTGGGAAAGTTTGAAATGCGACGACGCGAGACCGAGAACCATCGAGAACCACAGGATCCCTTGACGTCAATTTCTGAGATCCACCACTGAGAAACCCTTTGGAAGCCCACCTGGTTCTTTGCACATCTTTGTACTATAAGACTATAAGTGGACATTTTCTAGTTTTACCATCTTTTACATCTTTTACCTACCCTGTCTCTGAATCAGAAGTTTTTTTGATGTCATTTTTCGACCCTGATTCCTTCTGAGCCACTACAAGTCAACTGTTGTGAAAGTGTTTGTTCCTGACAACCCTGTTGCTACATGGCAAAAAATCGCAAACACGCTATATTACTATAATGTAGATTAATGTAGTATGTTTTTGCATCAAAACACACCGAATGCATTCAAATGCCAATACCTGCTGATTTTGAAGTCAAACTTGGCACATGACACATCCTAGGTCTCGAGCCGTCGATGTTTACAAGTGTCGCACACCTCTTTGTTCGCAGCAGTGAAAACGCTACTCACAAGACTCGCCCGTCGTTCCCACAAGAGCATGGAAGCCACATCACGACCAGGTCCTGACACTAGTGGAACTCATGGCTTCGATGGTTTCATCGAAAAGGTCGGTCTCACTCAAACGTGGTCAATCCCGATGCGAAGAAATGTTTATATCACGACAGATACATTAGGATCCTTGGTATCACTGGGAGTCCTCACTTGGGAGTCTTCACTTTGTGTATCCTTCCATTTTGGCCATTTTGCAGTTGCCATGGAGACGAGCTACGAGCAGCCCACTGCGCGCCAAAGAGGTGTTCGGTTTTCTCATGCCGCACCTCGACTGGGTGATCAGCAATGATTGTAATGATGGGTTTACCAGCTGTTTTTGGGCACTCAAACATCTCCAAGCCATAATTGAAGATTCAGAGCTGGAAAACTTTGCTCTTTAGCACGGTAACATTTTCGCATGAGAAAACGTGTGTGCCAAAGAATTGGTGGCGGCTCCTAGTGTGCAGTGGAATGACTCCAGTGGAAGTGGCTTTGCCCCAAAGTAACATGAAATCGCAGGGGTTTCAGCGGGTTGAAGCTTCGAAGATTTCCAAATGTCATCAATGGGTGAAGGGCAGCCCAAAAGTTTGCTGGGGAAAGACATTGGCAGGTCGTCAAGGTCACTGGTGATCTCCATAAGGGTAACGTCAGGGGCACAGAATGGATCTCCTGCGCCGGCCAACAAAGACTTATGATAAGTGAACGTCAGATGTAAACACGCACCACAAGATAGAAGTGCTGTTGATGTATCCTTGGCAACTTCATTTGCAATAGCCCCTGCATTGTGTTTATTTTCATATTGTGTATGCATACATGTATACCGCATGCTTCATGTGTGAATGTACATGAAGATTGACAGAGAGGGCGAGACCGATTTGGATGGAAACAGATATGGAGAATTTGAGAACAGTAGAAATCTACAGAAATCTACATGTAGATGTCGAACATGGCCATTGGTGTCATTACCCGCTGCGCTGTCGCTTCCGTTTCAATGGACTTTTGCTCTGCGAGTGACGCCAGAAAGGGCGCAGTGCCAAAATTCCCAGGGACTGGCGTTGCCCGGCGTGCTGAATGCGTAGCGGCAATTTTCACTAACGCAATTCCTGCTGTTGGATGTGATTTGGACCGAAGGCCGAAGTATTGGCCCAACATCTCTGAGATGAAGTATGGAAACCTGCCTTATGTCCCCCTCCCAGACTCCGATTTACCCTTGTGTCTTTGAAGCCTTCACAACCTTCACCATGGCCGACTTACACCTAGCACTCCGACGATTAAAATTGCGCAAGGCGCCTGGCCCTGACCTCGTTGGTGCTGACTTGTACAAGCTTCTCCCGTTTGCAATGCGCCGCCCTTCTGCTCGAGTATTTCAATGCCTGCTTCCTGTCTGCTTCAGCTCCAGACCATTGGAAATTGGCAAGAGTGATTATGATCTTCAAAGGCGGGTCGAAGAACAGCCGTTTGCCCTCTTCATATCGGCCAATAAGCTTGGCGAACTCTATTTACAAAGTTTATGCTGCTTTGCTCCAAAGCAGGCTGGCTCCCCACTTCGATCACCGCATCAGCGACTTTCAATATGGCTTTCGAGCTTGTCGATCCACAAGTGCACCTCTCTTCCTGATCCGTCGAATGGTAGAACTGTTTGAGCGTCATACCACATCCTTGTATATTCTCTTCCTGGTCTGGTCTCAGGCTTTTGACAATGTTAGCCACGAGCACTTGGCTGCTTCCCTTGTCCGTATTGGCGTGCCTCTCCCTTTTGTGCATGCTATAGCAGCACTCTATGTAGACAGCATTTTTTTTGTTTCCACCTCTTCTTATGTCTCTGCCACGTACTCCCTTTCACGTGGGATCCGCCAGGGATGCCCTCTCAGCCCATATCTGCTTATCATAGTTCTGACGGTTTTAATGCATGATGTCCGATTCTCCTTCGAAGCCCGGTTCCACTTCACCCCGTGGACATTCTCTTCTCGTTCTCCCATGACTGATGTTGAGTATGCAGACGACACAGTTCTAGTTTCCCGCACCCAACTTACATTACACCGCCTCCTTCACAGTCTCCAGCATGAAGCTAGCAAGCGCGGCTTGCTTCTCAACCGGTAAATGCCAACTTCTGCGCCTCCATTCCAATCTCTCCATTCATCTCTCACCTCATGTCACCCCACTTCCCCTTGCTCCTGCCTACATTGCATGGGAACCGATGATTTCGGTGTTCAAATCCCACCCCTGCAGTCAGCCAAATATCTTGGGCCTACGTAGCTGCAAATGCATCTTCTGCACCGGACTGCAATTATCGCTACTCTCAAGCAATGGGCGCGTTTCGCTGCCTCTTTCCCGTCTTCACTAATCCGTCCCTCCCTTCGCGCCGTAAATTGCAGGTGTATGCGCAAATTGTGCTTGCCATTTTACTTTCTGGGAGTGAATCTCAAGTTTTTACCCCTGCGCAGATCACAAGGTTTAATTCTCTTCAAGGTTCTGCGACAAATCTTTCAAGTTAAAAGCTCTTATTACCATCGAGTCCTTCACCCCTCTCAGGGGGACTGTTCCAATGAATGCTTGCTCTCCCTTGCCAACCGTCATGCCCCCCGTGTCCTGATACCCAGTCACCGTATTTCTGTCCAGCGATTGCGTTACCTCGGTCATGTTCTGCGGCATTTTGAAGCCTTAGAGCATAGGATAATCTTCCATACCTCCCATGCCCTCCGCCGCCTCTCTTCTCCATTCCGTCTTGGTAGACCTAGGGCGCATTGGCCTGAAATTGCTCTCTCAGAAGCTTTTCACCGTTCTGAGCAACTTAGAAGAAATCAGCATCCCACCACCCGAGAAATTTCCCATCCAATGTACGCCACAGGCACTCAGTCCATGGTTCACATATACTTTGGACCTTCCCTTGCAGACTGGTATGATACCACTGTGATCTGGAACACGCTCTCCCCAATAGCAATGGACCGCGACGAATGGGATCAAATTGTTTTTCCGAGGAATTTGATAGTTCACTCGAACACCGCTGACGTGTAGTTCATACAGCCTGCTTGGACTGCATTTCGTTTGGCCAAAAAAAAGTGACGCCAGAAAGGGCGCAGTGCCAAAATTCCCAGGGACTGTGGCGTTGCCCGGCGTGCTGAATGCGTAGCGGCAATTTTCACTAACGCAATTCCTGCCGTTGGGTGTGATTTGGACCGGCAGGATTTGACCGGATTTGCTTTAGAAATCTTTTGAGTACGCTGAAGAAATAGATGAACAAGCGGAAGTAAACCTATATACATATATAGATAATAGAGTCAGATAGAGATATAGTTGGGTATAGATATGAGGTGAAGGATGCCGATTCCCAAGAGGCATTGCATAATATCCACAGTTGGCTCTTCAAGGATTAAGTGTTGCTTTGAATCCAACTTGGAAGATGACCGTGAGAACTGGTGCCTTCCTAAGAAAGGTACTTAGGGAGCCTTTCATGAAGCCACGGTAGAAGCAAACCAAGAGACAAAGAGAGTAACAAGAGGAGAGGAACACTCCAGGAACAAACAGAGTAACACGAGGTTTTGTATACTGATCCAGCCGGACCAACTCACATCGCGGCAAGATTTTCGACCGCCATTTAAAGGCGTGTCCTTCAGGATCAAGACATTTGTGTCTCGGAACCTGTCCAATAGATGTTGTAGGGAGAAGAGATCGGGCATTGCTCCAGTGTATCAATGGCCAAATTGCGCAGATCTCTGCGTAGTGGCATATAGTGGCGATCTTCTTGGATCTGGCCCAGCTTGACTTTTGGTCAAGATCATGATCTTTGCTCCCCCAGCGCTCAAAATCTTCAACAGCCGCAGCGGACCACGCCCGCCGATTGTACGCAAGGACTGCGGGTCGCGGGTCGCCGCAAATTGTACAGTGCATCTTCCGCTCAACGAGATCCGAAACGAAGTTCTGAATTTCTGATTTCCAATGTCACACCAAATCAAAACCTGTTGAAATTCGCAACAGTTCCCAGACTTCGGTTTTTCCAGAACCTAAATGGGCAAATGATTTGAGAACGGAACACCGTCGAATCAAGCCATCTTCACGGATGTTGTGAGAGTCGGTGTTGTAGGTAGCTTGGTACAAGCCTGAGCATGAAATATAGCTCGGGTGACTCATCAAAGTGTCACAAAATTGATCAAATGAATTGATAAAAATTGCCCAACTATTTGCCATGATAATTTCCGGTCATACCATACCACTAACTTTGCAGATGTTTTCTCTAGAATCAAATTGTCCGCCACTTTAGGAACCTCGCCGTGGTTGGCAAAGAATCAGGCTCAGCATTTAGTTTCCCCACCCTGCACACCAGGATGTAGGGTGTTCATGGATTTCCCAATGTCATTGAACTCAATGCTTCATCTGCAGATATGACTCAGATATGACTCAGATATGGCACCATGTTTCGTCTGCAGGGCCACCCGCAAGGGCCACCAGGGTCGCCCAAGGATTTCGTTTGTGCCGACTGAGTTTCCACCGAGCGCGGCGCGGCTGGGCTCCGGTGAAATGGTCTGGCAGAAACGGCTTCGCGTCATGGAGCGATATGTCAAGGTTGGAAATGGAAGTCACAGGAAGCCTTTTTCTGGGTGACCCGTATCTGAAAACTGGGCCGTCCAGATGTCCGTAGGGCTGTCTTGGTGCACAGCATTGCACAGCACTCAAAGATACTTAGAAATACTTAGATGATTTCCAGGAGGTCTGCTGCAAATGTAATGGAGAAGCACATACACCCAGTGAACAGCATAGAAATGGGGAAGAGAAAACAATCTTCGATCCAAGATTTCATCAAGTTTTTGGTACATATTGGGTTTTAGGCATATGGATCACATGAGCCACATCGTTTGTGTCAGACCATTGAAGGTGTTATGACACCTTCCTAGGGGATCTAAAAGCGAAAAGCATCTGGTGCCTTCTGGCACGTTTGTTGCAGGGGTCACTGCGACATTCCCTGGACCCGACCAAAATACCAAAAGGATCCAAAAGGACTTTGGGCGCTGGTTGATTGCAGTTGCACACAATACAAGACAATTACAAGACAATACAGTATTTAATACAAGACAATATGCCAATGCATATTCTTTGGAAGAACTGTGTGTTTGGCACCGGGCCATATTTGAGTTGATATAGCAACTGAGACTTGAATGTATTGTATCACTCTATCAGCATATGTCACACAGCGTGTCAAATCTCGTCGCGAAAGATTTCTCAAGCGATCTTCTAATATTCATCTTGGCATTTGGCAGCGATTTGACGACGCTGTCGGAGCTGTTGGATGTTGATCTGTTGTTGATTTGTTGATCTGTTTGAGGCGCCAGCGCGACACTGTGTCACGATGCCATTTTGACACCAATGGATGCACGGGCAACCCGATGGGACGAGGGCGACCCGATGGGACAAGGGACCACGACAAAACCACGAGGGACCGGAGAGAACTGCAGGCATTGTTTCTGCTGGCAATCTGCAGGCAATCTGCAGACATTCCCAATTTATGGAATCCAAACTCCTTTTGACTGAGCTTAGTGAGCATAATTTTTTGTCAAACTCTGACGCAGTGACATCTGCTGTTGGAGGAACTCCCAAAAGCAATTCGTATTGCGAACAAAATGAGTTCAAGAGTTTCAATTGATGTCTGGACAGTTTGGACTCCCAATTTCATATCAAATCCCATCTCCCGTGTTTTCAAAGACAAGGTTGTGAAACAGCGAATGCAGCTGGGCCGCTACAAGCACGTAGGTGCGGCCTGTCAAAGCCCAACTCGTGGCAGCAGCATTCAGATATTTGCAGACTGGTGACTGGTCCTTTTCCTGCTGTTTTGGTTAACCATAGAGGTCCCAATAGATCATTCTGCAGATTTTGTTCGTTCCGTGCTCTGATTCTTCCAAATTCTTTGGAAGCCAGTGATGGTGTACTCTTAGTGGTGGTGTACTCTTCAGTGCAAGATCAATGGATTTGTGATGCATTCTTATCCAAATAGTGCCCCTCCTGTTGTTTCCAAACCCTGAAATTGCTTCGTTCGAGTGCCAGCACTACGTTCCACCTGCAGGCGATTGTTTGCGCAGCGTGCTGCGGCGCGAAGGGGCTTGGGGCCTGTACCGCTCCATGCCCACGACGCTGGTTGGGACGCCCCGGGATGTGGCGGGTGTATCTGGTGATATCTGGTGTAACCATCAGGATTTTCCATTTTCAGTCCTTGTGACACCAATAGGTTTGGCCCCGAAACACACCCTAGACGTGCCGCTTTAGCTTCTGGCGGATTTCAACAGCGTCATCTTTCAACAGCTAATTGTTCTGGGACAGACTGGTTGGAAGAATCACTTGAAAGTATCGAAAGTATGATTCCTTGTGTCAGATACACCAAGAGAAGATCAAACCAATTTGCAAACGAGTTTCAAAGCGTGTTGGCCAAATCTCTGTCAGAGAAGATTGCAAGATGGCAGAAGTTCCAACCTATTGAAGCAAGTACCTTGTCAGTACTGTATCTCAGCTTCAGAAATTCCAATGTCCACATATATGGTGTATTGGAAACTGCATTAGAAACTGCAAATTACGGTGGTTTTTATAGTGTTTTTGTATGTTGTTTGTTGCCTTTGAACCAAGCTGTTTCACACGTTGAGGCCATGAATGTGCCGTATGGCAGCATCCTGGCAAGCTCCTTAGAAAAGTCTGGACCAGGTGGACTTGGAAGAAATCCTGCATCACCTTGGTTGAAACATGTTGAAACCCTATAAATAATGGCGTAAACCGACCACCTATCAACTGGTGCAGGATTTCGCAACCATCCACCGTAACATTGACATACTAGCATATTAATGCATTTTATATCATTTTTGTGTATTTTGGTGATCTTGGACGTATTGCTCTCCTAGTGGTTTGACTGTTCTATTTGGGACATGATGGAGCATACTCAATGATATCGCAATTGGAATCCGGAATGCAACCCTTTGTAGATAAAGTTTCACCTGACGTGGAAGCTGCACTTTACTTAACAGATACAAGTTAACCCAAGTCCACAGAGACATTCTGAGCTTCAAACACGGAGCTTCACCTGACTCCAAAGCACGAAAGATGCGAGAGATTTTACCTCCCTCTCCATTTCCGAGACATTGTCTACAAATTGTCTATAAATTGTGAAATCTGTTCTGTGTTCTGAGTATTTCTGAATCGTGATTTCGAGATATTTCGATCGTCACCTTGAGGTGGCCTCGAATGAGTCCATGAAGCAGTTCCTGGGCGTCCGAAAGATAAGGAGCGCCGGGCCGGGGCAGCTTTCGTTGCAGCGCACCGGAAACTCAGATGAAGCCGGATGAAGCCGGATGAAGCCGGATGAAGCCGCTCGCAGATCACCCGCATTGGATTTTTCTGCAGAAATAGAAGCGACAATGACGCACTTTCATGTTCAGCCCCATTCAATTTTAGGTCTTGTCACCCTATAAAATGCTTAGAAGATCGAACAGAGAGGAGCCCTAGAGCCCTATGTTCCTGTGCTGAAAATGTGCGAATTGCGGTTCCAGGCAAGACACCAGAAACTTGCTCCCCTGGTTCGAGCCTGAGATGCGACGATGCGGCCGTGAGTTGAATCTGATCTGTGCCATTCTGTGGCTTTCCCATCATGCCATGGAAGACCATATTCGAACAACGTTAAGGAAACCCATGGAAACCCATGATTTCTGGGTTCAGAAATGAAACGCACCATTGGAGAAGTTCCTTTTGCCTCGCCCGTCCTACCGTCCTACCGTCCTAACCCGGCGTGACCTCTTCCGAGGTATTTCCTTTCAGCCGGTCTCAGTGGCGCAGTGGCCTCTGCCGCAACCCAACCGTTGGATGTGGTGAAGACTCGGCTGCAGACACAGGACTGCCATCTCCCGGGACATAGCGATGGGACATGGATAGCCGCTGCCAGAATCAACTACTTGACCAACTACTTACATATTGTATGAATAAATGAATTATGTTGTATATTATATATATATGATAATACTATCTATTTATATATATGTCTCTCTGTACACATTCATGGAAGTTTATATAGAGCTTTCAAATGTCAATAAAGCGCACGCTTACTCAGAATGTAAAAGAACACATACTGCTCAGTGAAATTAACACAGAATATGTCATCTTAATATGCCATAAGTAGGTTTGAATTCTCCAGATTCTCCACAGCAAAGCCATAGAAATGGATGGTTTCTCCATGTTTCTCCGCGCCAAATCGCTTGAAATTTGGTGGCCGTTTCCAGGACTGCTTGGTGAGACCCAAGAGGTGCTGCGACGGGATTCAAAGAAAGTATCAATCTATAATATATATATATATATACATACATGTATATGTATACGTATATGTATATGTATGTATATAGAATGTTCAAAATATAAATCTTATTAGTATATAGTCTATGGCATTTCCAAGTGATCCGTGTGCCAGGCCAGACGGCAGCTCCATGAGTCTCTTGGCGATTGCGGATTTTTCAGTGCCAGCAGTTGATGTGTGGAGATCCATGGAGCGATGGCGAACTTGACGTCAAATCTGAGGAGAACCAGTGACCTATGCAGGCTCCGGGAAGATCTGTGAGATCTCTGGTCCATTTGTCAGAGGACTGGACGTCACAAAGATGTGCTCCGAGCTCACGTGTTCTCACGTGTTCTCAGTGTGGAAATGTCCCTAAGTACTGGCAGGGTTTGCATTACCGCACAACCGATCAGGTGACAGCACAAATTTGTGCGCGCCGAAGTGCCCCTGTCACCCCTGTTTGGCGTCTTCTGAAAAAGGCGAAAAAGGTCATTCATACCATTGTGACATAGGTATACATTTGTGACATAGTCCCAATTCCTTTGCAAGCTTTCCAGAAACGACTTTGCTTTCCGGCAAACTAACAATTTGTATCAATTTGTCCAGTTTTGCTTGTCCTTTTTTTGTCACCGTCTCGCAGTTCTCCCCGCTCACAGGTACTCGGGCTTCCTACCTGCTGTTCGAACCATTGTAAGAGAAGAGGGCTGGTCCTGCCCTCAGCATGGATTACACTGATTACACCTTCAGAATTCCTTCAGTGGAAGCAGAATTTCAGCCGGCTGCAAATCTTGCATGGAGAGTTTCTGACGACTGTCACCCTTCTTATTAGAAAATGTACATGTTTTGAGGTGAAATTAAGCATGGGGCCGGGTCATATAGGTGCTGTCAATCTCATGATTCGAAACAAAATAAATCAACGTCTGCTTCGGCTATTTTTGTGGAGCTTCAGTCCGAGTTGTGAATAGCGAAAAAATCAATGTCTACAGCTTGCAGAGATTTTTGCAGCGATCACTCACACGTGCCAAGTTTAGATTTACAACTGACAGCAGATCTTATCAGATTTTCCAAAAAGGTTCACATCTCCCAGATTCTGAATAATTCTCAGATGAATTCAGCTATGTCATGGCACAAGTTTTTTCCACCAGGTTGGCACTCTACACCGGCACTATGCCTCGGATGCTTCACGCCGTACCCTCTGCAGCAATGTGCTGGGGTCCGGAAGCTCAGAAGAGAGGAGCCATGACGGGGACGGGCTCCAGTGGAGCAGCAGGGACAATCTGCAGAAAGTTGGGAACTGAATGGATATGTTCAGAGATATGAGAGAAACACATCATGTAAAGACACCGGTGACGATACTGTTCTAGCATTGAGAAGAAAGTGGTAATTGAGCGCTCGCACTCATGTTTGGGTTTGATACTGCTCGCATGGAGGAAATAGATAGCCATGATGTATTATAGAAGGGGAACATGTTTTGCAATAAAGAACAGCAAAATGTTTTGAGTTCGAATGCATTGCGGGACATACACGGTTGACGTGGTCCCCAGTCATGTCGGATGTTGATGGATGTTGGACGCTCGGGCACAACGGGCACAAGGTACCTATGAAGTGGTGAAGAACTTTCTGCAGGACTATTGAGGTACGCTCGCTATGCCATGAGGATTGAGAACTACTGCCATTCGATGTGCTCTGTGCCACAGGTGGCAAGTTCGTCGCGGCCGCACTGAAAGCATTCGAAACGGATGGATTGCAGAGAAATTTGTTAGGCTGCATCTTTCCAGTCCAGCAGCAGCAGGGATGATACACTTACTGATTCACTATGATTCACTATGATTCACTATGATTCACTATGATTCACTATGATTCACTATGATTCACTATGATTCACTGATTGTTGTATCTTGTCTTGTATCTTGTCAAGTTTCATTCATTTCGTTTCCAGATGTCCGGGTTCTACGAATGTCCTGCTGCGACGTCTGGGGTCGAACTCTTCGGGTTGGATGCCAATGCCAACCGGCGCGCTGAGAAGGGACGCCGGGGGCGTGACGTTTGAACCGGGGATGCTGGAAACCCACGAAAAAAACCACTTCAATGGCAAAAATATATGCAAACATCATTGAATATCATTGAATATCCCCATTCCAATACTTTCATCTATTTTCCACCTTCAAAATGATGTATTTCAGCCACTTGTTTCAATGTCAAGTGGCCGCAATAACTTTCAACATCTGTCAACATCGCGAAGCGGTGAAAGCGGTGAAAGCGGTGAAAGCGAATGCACCATGTTTCAACCCTTTGGATTCGGGTTTCGCAACATCCCAAGGGTCGTGCACCGTGTGGCATGCTGACAGACCTGGCACCAGGCATCGGTCGCAGACGGCAGCGAATTTCATCGAAATGGGTGTCGCATGGTGATGCCAACAAAACATAACAAAACATAACAAAACTATATCCGTGAGAAGATTGGAAAGAAATCATGGAAGTCCAATTCCACGTGAGATAACTTCGTCTCGGACCTTGGATGTCATGGTTGCTTTGCCAAATAAGGCCTTGATGGTGTGGTGCGAAGACCGTAGCAGCCGTAGCAAATCTTCTGGAGCCTTTAAGTCGAGTACAGACGACAGCTAGCATTTCTGTTCGATGTTTTTTTGGCAAGAAATGGCTCCTTGGGGAAGATGAGGGGCATGCTAAAGTTTATACATGTAGTTGGATGCCGCAGACAGCGAGGGCAACCAAAAATGCAGCCTGGGCCCCAAAATAGGGAATTAAATGGAATTATATCATATGAATTAATCTGGTACAGCCCCACTCACATTCCCATATGACAACCCAACTAACCCCTGGATCAAAACATCATGTTTGAAATATTTTGAAACACAGATTTCCATCATTTCCTATTGCGCATGCGCCCATGCGCCACACCGCACTGTGGATTCCATCCTCCGTCCTCCGGGTGCCTCTGTGAATCATGTCCGTCCAAAAGGAAAGACAAAAGGAAAGACTGAAATTGAGAGCAAAAGGGGTTGGTCTATTCATGAAATTTCTCTATTCATTTATTGCTGGGGTTGGTCTATGTTGGTCTATTCATTCATTCCATTTTATTCCATGTTATTCCATGTTATTCCATGTTATTCCATGTTATTCCTGGGGAAAATTGACAGCATGAGTATTACTGAAACTTGACTGAAACCATGAAACCAGCATTAAAGTAGCAGTTGCTCTTCGTGATGTTGCCAATGAGGTATACTGGAAAAGATGCCACCCAAACTCTGATCTGGTAAAGGGATGGTACAAGTATGTACAAGTCTAGTCGTTACGGAAAAGCGCGTAGAGTCCATGAACAATCTGCACAATCCCAATGAAACATATGAAATTGCAGTTCGCAAAGTGACACAGGCACCATACGACAAGGAGGATTTGGTTGCGCTCCATACCCGCTACCGGTTCTGCACCCGAAAAAGCGATGAGCAGAGGACCTCAATCAGACACGCGTTTGTTTGCTCAACAATTGCCTTCACTTTAAGTGGCCTTTCTGGTTGTGCTGCGCAGATAGAGAGACCACGACCTATCATTCTTGGGCAGGGGGCGTCATCCCTGGATGGTTCCAGGCATTGTTTACCTGCAAAATTCAGTGGATGTTCCCCCAGTTGGGTCGAAGCTAAAAGCCACTTGGTCGTTCAAGCTCTCCAGGTATATTCTTGGGGTCCAGCCTGTTTCGCCCATTTCTTACTTTTCTTCTGAAACGAAATACCCAAATGAAGACAACCCAGTCCACGTGAGTCCACATACAACTTGTGTTGAGATTTTTCGGCTCAAGGCTCCCACCTTACCCGACCATGGCTCCCCGCCTCAGCCACTGGGGACCCATCAGTTCCCAACAATCCGACGGCTTCAGAATTACAACGAGGCCGAATCCAAGAATGGGAGACGTGTGAGAGTGGGGAACACTTGTTGGACCTTTCAGCTGAGTTGTGCTTGTCGTTTCACTTGACGGCTTACGTGGCAATTTTGCGGAAAAGTTGGTTGAGAGTCGAGAGATTCCCATCCTCGCGGCACACGGGATGTCGACGGGCTACTCGGTGGGCCAACCTCGTCGGCGATCGTAGGGCCTAGTGTAGGGCATCCTTTGCCTGTCAGGACTGATACAACGAAATCGTTGAGGGAAACGAACATGAATGTTGGTGTTGGGTTACCAAGTCACATTCAAATCGTCCACTTTGAATCAAAAACGGTTTTCGACCACTTTAAACTTTAAACTTGGTTTTAAAGTCGAAGGTACGTCATATGTATATGATGTATATGTACATATGTAAACAACTATAGACAAATTATGTCCTCAGAAGTTTCATTTCAGACTTCAGTACTGAGGATACTGAGGATACTGAGGTCACAAGTTACCAGAGCCAGGTATCAGATCCTGCATGTTTCATCATGTTTCATCATGTTTCTAAGCCTGTCCCTATTTCAGGGAAATTACTAATTACTCATTCTTCGCTTATTGTCCACGATTCTACAACTGACTTCAGTGCATAATATAAATCACTTAATTTCAGTTCAAAGATGGAACGGCGTGTGAGCGCAATCGTTTGGACCTGTGCTCAAACTTGTTCCCCTTGCGCCAGTTCTTCCCAACGTTCGTCAGCGAAGAGTTGGACTTGGCGAATCCTAGGTGCCATGGGTTGCAGAGGAAGACTGGGAAAGCGTTGAACCGAATCTCACCAAGGCTCTTCATATGAGAATATTTGAGAATTGATTTTGAATCCTTGGCAATGAATTGGACTTTATGTGTTTTCCACATGAGAACAAACGGCATGCCGGTGGATCAAGCAGTGATTTAGCTTCGATATGGATTTGGGGTTTCCCCCAATGAGAACTATTTTTTGCTCACAGCGGTCAAGCTGAAGGCCAGTTCTTTGAGAAAGTATTCAGGGCTAGAAGTGTTTGACATGTGCAGTGTTTGCCATGAAAACTGTTCAATTGTTGTGTGCACAAAGTTTGCTAACCACTACTGACAAAACCTTGATGATTTGATTTTGTTGCAACTGAATTAGAGTTCCGCATCGCGAACAAATCGCAAAGTGCTGCTGAAAGACAAGCCCCACGGACATTCCTTTCACTGCATGGTGTTTAGCAACACGAAAACTAAGTCTCTACCTGCCTTATCACAGCGAGTTTCCCAACATGGTCACAGATGAGACATCTTACACCACTTATGTGCTGTATTTACAAGATTTTACAAGCTTTTACAAGCCACAGTATTGAACCATCTGTTTGCCTAGGTCATGCCGGAGGCCGTGCCAGAGGCCTGGGTCCTGGATGGGTGTCGGTGGAAAGTGAAAACAGCGTGACTACTGACCCCAGTCGCCCGCTCTATGGGTTCCAGATGGATTGACCGATGATTTTGACCCTCATTTTGGTCGTTGGAAATATACCTTCGACCACAACGGCCGTTCCAAAGAGCAATGTGAATCACAGGAAGCTGATGTGGCACTAGCGATGGCAACAGAACTGGAAACTCAAGTTGTTCAAGATATATTTCAACATGATCCATGAAAACATGGGGAAAAAGGTGAAAAAGGATATAAATCATAAATATATATAACATATAATATATATAACATATTATATATATATATAAAACACATATCTCAACACATATTAACATACTTCCACTTCGGACTTCAGGCCACGGGACTCCGAGTGCCAGGTGGCCACCCTGAGCGGCCCGCTGGGCGTGGCCGAGCCATGGCCTGTGAGAAGCTCAGCGAAGAGGTTGACGACTGAAGTGACGATTGAGTGACGATAACGGGATAACTGAAGTCCATTGGGGTAAAAAGCGACAGTAAAAAGAATGGTTTCGGAAAATGAAGTTGATTTCATGGTTCAATCTCATCGCAAGTCACAAGGGTCTAGTTGCATAAGTGACAGGAGGCTGATTGTGGCAACTCCGGTCCAAGACATCATGAAAGTGTTTCAGCACATTGCCAGACGCGAGTCCTCGCATCGTGTCGAAGTGTCGCTCAAGGTACAGCTCTTCGACGAGCGATTGCGGGGATCGCCGGGATCGCCGGGATCGCCAGTGCTCCTTGGTGAGGACAAGCGGCTGATGGCACAGAGTGGCACCAAGGTTTCAGCGATCAGCGATCAGCGTATGTTCCAAATGTATCCAAATGTATCCAAATGTATCCAAATGTATCCAAATGTATCCAAATGTTCAAATGTCCATAGTTGCAGCTGTGATTTTTTGGAGGATTTCTGCCTCACCATCGAAGAGCTGCATCTCCGCAGCCAGCGCTTGGCCTGGCGCATCAGCGCAGAAGGCATCGAAAAGTCTGCGGCCCTAAACGGCCCGAACCATCGCATGGGGTGGAAGCAATGTTTGTGAAGATAAAATTGTGAAGTGTGTGAAGTTTGTGAAGTTTGTGAACATACTGATATGATCACTGATATGCTTTATGGATCTTTACGACATTTATGACATAGTTTGAATTGTTTGCAGCTGTACTTGGCTACTCAATGTGTCCGTGAAGGTGTCCAGCTCACAGATCACCGAGGTCAGAATTTGTGGCCGTTTGCATGCCACGAGGTCGACTCAGCCCGTGACAGTTGGACATGTTGGACATTCTGTTGGCGATTTGGACATTGATTTGTGAGGAAGACAACCAGATGCGCCACAGGTCCTGGTTTGGTGGTGGCGTTGTTGGGCGTTTGGCGAGCCGGCAAGGTGAGAAAACTGTTTGAGACTGTCACCAGACATCGTTTTGGTTTGTTCTTGGAATCAGTGAAGCAGGAAAGCAGGGACAAGATGGGCCAAGGAACTTCGATGTTTTTTTGTAAAAAAAGTGACCGAAATGGTTTCCTCACTCTCCGATATCACCTGTGGGAGGCCTATGTGCCGTTGGAGCCCAGTTTCCCACCACAGCGCCTTCGCTTTATACTAGAAGATTCACAGGTACCTTGGAACATCTTGGAACGCTGTGGGCGGCGGATTTGGTTATTTGGTTGTGGGAAGATAAAATGGGAGGCGGCTTGTATGATCTTGTGTGTTCCTTCCCTAAAGAATCTTGAATGCTCACCTTAGATTTCCAAGCGTATCCAATTTTGAGACATACTGAGTTGGAATTGTTTGATCTCTGTCCGAAAGCTGCTGGCACAAGCTTTGGAAATTCCGGGCTGTGGCCTCGTGCCGTTTGGACCTCACCCTGTCCCATGGAAGCGGCGAAGTCGTTGGCCTCTTACACGACCCAGTTAGGGTTTTGGAACATCCGTGATGTTTCGGAACCCTAACTGGTTCGTGTACAGAAAGCCGTTGAGGTCTTCGTTTTGCACTTGCTTGTCACTCAGCATGTCATGTGATGTCGTTTGTTTTTTTCTGCCCGTCCACCCTGCGGACAGCCACAAACTGCCTTGACCATCAGAAGGCTTCTTTGGTCACAGGAGGTCCAAAGGCCACCTTCGGATCTCCTGTGACCAAAGACGTCTTCGGACAAGGCAAGTTCAGCTCGCAGCCGCACAGCCCTTATTTTGCAGCAGTTTGTCTATCACAATCGAGAAAGGATGGGCGTTGGCTTCAGTCAAGTGTGCATGGTGGTGAGATGCGGTGATGCACAAGAGGCCGCTTGTTGCGAGTGTTTTGGGTGTGATGGTGGAAGGCCTTCTTGGAAGCTTTTGTCCTGTCGATTCTGGCAAGGAGTCTACAGTGTGAGAAACGCACGCTATAGACTCCTCTTCAGAGTTGACAAGGCTCCCCCTGCAATGGTCGGATGTGGCCACACTCATTGACACCGACTTCTGCAATATGCACAACAGAGACACGCAACTGAAACGCTGTGAGGCAGTAGATCAGGAGAGTGTGGCGGAGCTGTTGTTTCAGAACTTAAAGGCAGAAAGTTCCACCGTGCGGTTGGTGCCCGGTGGTTCCTGCGATGGTTTGCAGGCAGTCTTGGTGCGGGATGATGCCCTGGACCTCACCCTGTCCCGACCCAGTTCGGGTTTCGGAACATTTCAGCTTGAAGCCGTGATGTTTCGGAACCCTAACTGGTTCGTGTACAGAAAGCCGTTGAGGTCTTCGTTTTGCACTTGCTTGTCACTCAGCATGTCATGTGATGCTGCCTTGACCATCAGAAGGCTTCTTTGGTCACAGGAGGTCCAAAGGCCACCTTCGGATCTCCTGTGACCAAAGACGTCTTCGGACAAGGCAAGTTCAGCTCGCAGCCGCGCAGCCCTTATTTTGCAGCAGTTTGTCTATCACAATCGAGAAAGGATGGGCGTTGGCTTCAGTCAAGTGTGCATGGTGGTGAGATGCGGTGATGCACAAGAGGCCGCTTGTTGCGAGTGTTTTGCGTGTGATGGTGGAAGGCCTTCTTGGAAGCTTTTGTCCTGTCGATTCTGGCAAGGAGTCTACAGTGTGAGAAACGCACGCTATAGACTCCTCTTCAGAGTTGACAAGGCTCCCCCTGCAATGGTCGGATGTGGCCACACTCATTGACACCGACTTCTGCAATATGCACAACAGAGACACGCAACTGAAACGCTGTGAGGCAGTAGATCAGGAGAGTGTGGCGGAGCTGTTGTTTCAGAACTTAAAGGCAGAAAGTTCCACCGTGCGGTTGGTGCCCGGTGGTTCCTGCGATGGTTTGCAGGCAGTCTTGGTGCGGGATGATGCCCTGGACCTCACCCTGTCCCGACCCAGTTCGGGTTTCGGAACATTTCAGCTTGAAGCCGTGATGTTTCGGAACCCTAACTGGTTCGTGTACAGAAAGCCGTTGAGGTCTTCGTTTTGCACTTGCTTGTCACTCAGCATGTCATGTGATGCTGCCTTGACCATCAGAAGGCTTCTTTGGTCACAGGAGGTCCAAAGGCCACCTTCGGATCTCCTGTGACCAAAGACGTCTTCGGACAAGGCAAGTTCAGCTCGCAGCCGCGCAGCCCTTATTTTGCAGCAGTTTGTCTATCACAATCGAGAAAGGATGGGCGTTGGCTTCAGTCAAGTGTGCATGGTGGTGAGATGCGGTGATGCACAAGAGGCCGCTTGTTGCGAGTGTTTTGCGTGTGATGGTGGAACGCCTTCTTCGAAGCTTTTGTCCTGTCGATTCTGGCAAGGAGTCTACAGTGTGAGAAACGCACGCTATAGACTCCTCTTCAGAGTTGACAAGGCTCCCCCTGCAATGGTCGGATGTGGCCACACTCATTGACACCGACTTCTGCAATATGCACAACAGAGACACGCAACTGAAACGCTGTGAGGCAGTAGATCAGGAGAGTGTGGCGGAGCTGTTGTTTCAGAACTGAAAAGGCAGAAAGTTCCACCGTGCGGTTGGTGCCCGGTGGTTCCTGCGATGGTTTGCAGGCAGTCTTGGTGCGGGATGATGCCCTGGACCTCACCCTGTCCCGACCCAGTTCGGGTTTCGGAACATTTCAGCTTGAAGCCGTGATGTTTCGGAACCCTAACTGGTTCGTGTACAGAAAGCCGTTGAGGTCTTCGTTTTGCACTTGCGTGTCACTCAGCATGTCATGTGATGTCGTTTGTTTTTTTTTGCCCGTCCACCCTGCGGACAGCCACAAACTGCCTTGACCATCAGAAGGCTTCTTTGGTCACAGGAGGTCCAAAGGCCACCTTCGGATCTCCTGTGACCAAAGACGTCTTCGGACAAGGCAAGTTCAGCTCGCAGCCGCGCAGCCCTTATTTTGCAGATTTTTGCAGCAGTTTGTCTATCACAATCGAGAAAGGATGGGCGTTGGCTGCAGTCAAGTGTGCATGGTGGTGAGATGCGGTGATGCACAAGAGGCCGCTTGTTGCGAGTGTTTTGTGTGTGATGGTGGAAGGCCTTCTTCGAAGCTTTTGTCCTGTCGATTCTGGCAAGGAGTCTACAGTGTGAGAAACGCACGCTATAGACTCCTCTTCAGAGTTGACAAGGCTCCCCCTGCAATGGTCGGATGTGGCCACACTCATTGACACCGACTTCTGCAATATGCACAACAGAGACACGCAACTGAAACGCTGTGAGGCAGTAGATCAGGAGAGTGACCATCCTTTTGAAACGAAGTGGTGGGATATGTTGGATGCACAGCGTGGTGGGTTTGTGGAGAAGGCTGCTTGTCATGTCATGCTACTATTTGTCAGATGTTCTCAAAATCACTCCTGAGACTTGGGACTGCAGTCGATTTAAGAGCCCAATTGGTTTTCATTCCCTTGGTGAACATAGCGATTGGCACGGCACGAACTAACACATTCAGAGTGCGAGGCGTCTCCCAAAAAACCTCTGAATTCCTTCCCCGCTTTACTTTTCACTTCTGGCAAGAGGAAGACTTGGACATGTTTGTCAAGTGGGGGCTGGAGAAGATGTGGCACTGGCACCAGCTCAACTGGACATTGCTTAGCTCTGATTTGTTCCCTCAGCACGTTTGACTTTGCGAAAGCAGAATGTGAAGACTCGTGGCAGGAACTTTGCCGCGCTTCCCAACAATCAACTCGCATCATAAAAGCCCAAGCCCGTCGATTGATGCGCTTTCCTGATCACAGATTTTGGGTTCAAAACAAAGCCAGCGACAGAGGACAAGTTACTTCAGAGAAACTCATATTCCAGCTACCTGAATGAGGAATCGATTGAAACCTGGGGTTTTGTAGATTTATGTGTGAAAGCTAGGTAAGCATGCAATGGAGGCAGTGAACCCTATCGCAAAATGGGCCTTTGGGAAACACCAACCCAAAATGGACAGAGGAGTTGCAACAAAGACTGAAGAGTGAATGACTATCTATTTGATACTATTTGATACTATTTGGTACTATTTGGCAGCTTAATGCAGTTTCGCAGATGCAAATTTGGGTATTTTGGCATACTGAATTCCGTCATCGAAATGTTCGCTCTGAGGCCCAGCTGCTTCTGGCTTCTGCTGAGCTTGAGGTTTCAACGGTTTCAACGGTTTCAACTCCGATTCTCAGGTCAGCATGACGGGCTGTCACGAATCACGAATCCAAACTTGGAGGCACCAAGTTTTTGAACCAAATTTCAGACTCGGCATCTGAACCTTGAGCCTGTTTCAGGCCATGCCCAAATGATGTCAAGTACTGAACATTCAATCATGATCAATACAACTAGCATAGTTTGCATGGTTTGTCCCTATAGAGATTCACAGATGCTTCTCAGCCCACAGTGTCAATTTGTTTGCTTGTTGTTGAAATGCACAATTTGGCGGGTCCAGGCCAGTCTCAAGTTGTAGCCCCTGAATTTCCAAAACCCAAAAAAAACACGTTTTGAGTTGTGTCAAATAAGAGCATCCAAAAAATTGGAACCAGCAGACCGATCTGCTTTGACCAATTCCTCAAAATTCTCGAATTGTTCACCCAAGCAGTCTGCAAATGACTTAGTTTACCTTTCGTTGATTGCAGAATGTCAATCCCAGACTGTCACAGACATGAAGCGACCTTCTCTACGACATAGGAAACCGGCGCATGATAATGCACAAAAGCGCATGTTTTGGGACGGTATACAAAGGATTATCTCCCGAAGCGGTTAGAGGCCTTAGAGGCCCTGTTGCGTGAAATCCACTTTAGCTGGCAAAGCGAGTCCAATGATCTGTGGTGAGAAAGCCCCAGAAACGGGAGGATCATCTCGAAACAAGAACAATCATTGGGTTTTTTTCGCCATTCCTTATCTGGTTCGCCAAATTGGAACTGGTCAGTTTGGCGACCTGAAAAAATTGAAGAAATGAGATCCGTTCAGATCTATTCATAGTATCTAGCAGTTCAGCATGGAAGCGGCGAGGCTCTTACCAACTGGCGAGCTACCTGCGGACGTCAATGGTCCAGATGTTGAGGTCTGGGTGATAAGGAAATTGAGGAACTTGAGAGGGGTGTAAGTTAGTACACTGTGCGCACTTCATTCTGGATAGTCAACTCTTGAATTTCATGAATACATTGTTTGGGCTTTCCAATGTCGTAGAGCACCAAGTTTGAATCATAGCGTGATTATGGCTGCCAAGTTAACAAGGGCACAATGACATGACCCACATTGGCAAATCACGGATGCAGTGCATTATGCAATTACGTTGGAAAATGGAACAAAAAAACATGTTCCCTGAGGCATCATGGCTTGCTCAAACAGGTGAAATAAGAACTTGTGTTTTGATGTCGATGTTTGCTGGTTGCTGTGCACCCCGGGACAGGTGCAGCCCAGATCCCATTTGGCGTACCTCATCTACACCTCTGGATCAACTGGAACTCCCAAAGGATGCCACTGTTTGACCACTAATGTGAACGGTGGAGCAGAGATTAGGGTTCTTTCAGACAAACATTGTGCCCAAATGAGAATATTTTTGTGTTGTGACAGACATGATTACCACTATTTCCCATATACAATTTTGTTTAGACAGATGAAAACAGGAATGTCCTGCTTCCACCATCACCGCGAGGAGTTTTAGTGTCACAGAGCAGTGTCTGCAATGTGCTTCACGCCTTTGAAAACTCACTTCGAAAGGCGCGTCTGGATATTCGCCTGGGTTGTTTGAAAGTGGAAGAGTTTCCATGCTAAGCTTCCCAAGTCTCCGTCGTTGCGATGCTATTGAAATTACTTAAAAGCTGGTTCTCCATGAATTTCGACCACGGACAGTGAAGACAGTAATTCATTCATCCACACCGTGAGATATTTTGTGACACATTGCCAGGCCAAAGCAAGTTGTGATGATATCTTTGTCTCTGTGACGACGTTCTGCTTCGACATTTCGGTCTTGGAGCAACTCAGCTGCAAGAGCCGCTGCATCTAAAGAATATGTAAGGATCACATGGAGCAAAGCAGCAAAGCCGGGTGGGTGTTGTGGGAATTGCTTCAACAGTTTCTGCTCTAGAGATTGTTTCCGACTCAGTCCGGCTCCTAGATTCAGTGTAATTTGTAGCGTAAGATTCCCAGTCATGTCAATAAGATCACTGGGGAGAGCATTTGCCCTGCAGGATGTTCTGGCCACTGTGCTTTGGCTTTCGCCACTTTGCTTCACGGACAGAGGGGGTCGAGAAGCTGCGATTTGTTTATCCAAATGAAGCTAGAAAAGTTCTTCTTCAATTGCTTCATTGTGCAGTGAGTTTTCATCAGCTTCAAAGCACCTCCAGAACTTTGTTTGAAATTGGCAAAAGAGTTGCTAGAAGAACTCTCATGAGCAAATGTGTCTTTTCCCTTTGCCTGAAGTCTGTATGGAAATCTTTGTTGCCGCAATGCAAACTTTAGACGTTGTCACGGCGTCACCCAACAAGTGTTCAAGCTTTGCATTTGAGGTTTGTATTTGTGCTCCAGCGCCGTCACCCGCAGTGGCGCCTTGCTGAAACAAACTCTGGATGACGCGCGAAAGATCGAGGGCACTGTCTTCTTCCAGGCGCTCTCCAGCCTAGGCCAAAGTTGGCCGAACCAGTTTAGGTTCAAAAGGATCATTGGAAACCTACGAGTGGAAATAATCTAACATAATCCAACTCTGCATAGCTCTTCTGTCTTGTTTTGATGCCCGATTTATTCCCCAACCTCCGTGTCAATGGTGGACAGTGGACATCCGCTTCATCTCCAGGCCACTCCCAGCAGTTTTAGGTCCCTGCTGAAAGCAGGCAGGGGGCAGGAAATATTTTAGCTGTGAAGAGATGGAAAGGGATTGAAGTGAGAGCTGAATTTTGCAGAGCCAAAGTCACCGGGATTAAATCAATCTCTGCCAGAAAACCCCCAGATTCCTACGAGATTTGGTGAGATTGGTGAGAACTCAGGGCACCTGCTAAGCCTGCTAGGCTGGGAGGGTGGCCACAACGTGGAGGCCATTTGCGGTGGCGAGGCCTGCTCTGGGTGTTCGGCTTAAAGTGGCCACTCAGAGTTTGAGTTCCACTTGAGATTCGCATCACATCGTCATATCCGGCCAAATCCGACCACGATAGGCCTTTCCTGATGCTTTGGCCGAACCCTTGCTGCTGCGTTGCGGCAAGTTTTGGCATCTCGGTGCAGTGTTCGCCAGCACGGTGCAGATCTTTGCAAAGTCTTGTTCAACCATTCGGACTGATCAAATGTGCCCCCGCCACATGACAAGAAGTCTGTAAAGATGCGAGAATCTGATGTAGATTTGGTGCATATACAATTTACGTACACAGTGTGTATACGATAATTACATAAATGTAATGCACAGATCTGCCCACCTAAGGAATGCCTATGGCCCCACAGAGACCACGATTTGGTCTGCGCTTCACCAGCTGCAGAGTAGTGAGATCCCAGTGCCAATCGGTGGGCCCATTGCAGGCGATCGCATCAATGGAGAATCAGCGGAAATCATCGGATTCCTATTTCAACCTGGTCAAATGTGTGTAAAAGAAGTGTAAAAGAAGACGATTGAAAGAATCCTGTAAACTTCAAAAGTATGACTGTGGCAACTGTGGCATGGTCCAATGGTATGTTTTTTCATCCGTGGCAGGTACAGAACTGCTTGTGGCTACCCTTGAAGGCCTTGGATTTGGATGTCACATCAGATTCCTACGGATTGCTATGGTAAAGTTTTGGGAGCCGTGGACTGTTTCGCCCCTTTTTTGCAGCATTCATGCAGTGCGTGGACAGGGGCTAGTCGGCTAGTCCCTCCTGGGCAATTGCTTTGCAATGCTTTGCACATGTTCATGGATTGTCGATGGATTGGAAAGATTTGCTCGATGGACCAGATGGACTCACTTGTTTGATCCAATTCTTCGTGGCAGCGAGCGATAGTCTCCCAGGTGAGGGTGAAATAGACCTTGCAGAAGGCGAAGGCGTAGCAAAAATGTGTCGCTGGGGCTGGAACAACAAAAATTGGAAATGGCGTGAAATCGCGGTTCAAAACAGATCTGGAACGTTCTGGACTGGGATCTCCAATCTGCTACTTTTTGAAGTTGGCAAAGATTCTGCCTTGGCACTCAAAGCCAATGTCTTGCCATGACAGCGTCATAGCCAGGCGAGCTGTTGATTGCTGGCCTTGGTGTAGCAGATGGATATCATCGTCGGCCAGCCCCATGGCTAAAGAAACACCTGAGATCTCGCGACTTTGTGGCGTTTTCCAGTTAGATGGAATTGCTTTATTAATTTTATCTATTTTGTGAGAGCGCGTCATCCTTGTGCGGTTTCACACTGTCTTGACATTTCAACTTGCTCAGGAACTCACCAGTCAGAAGTTCGTATCCTTTCCAGGCACCGACGCAAAGGGTTTCACCGTTCCCGTCCGCCCCCGCTGCACTGCGCGGCACCGTGGCACCGTGGCAGGCGCAAAGGCTACAGCTGCGACGGTTTTCCGCAGTGGAGACCTGGTGCGACTCACGCAGCATTCGGCGCTGCAGTGCCTGGGACGGATGGATCACCAGGTGCTCCGGCGGTGATCTGTGGAGATTTCATGACATTTTGCCATTGGCCACATACCCGGAATACCATGGAAATACCATGGAATGCCACAATGCTTGCAGCAAATCAACAAATCTCTTCTGTAAAAAATGCGCAAAGCTGCGGAGGTGAAAATCCGTGGCTTCCGTTTGGAGCTCGGAGAAGTTGAAAGCGTCCTAGAGACACATCCAGAGGTGCCGCAACTTGGGAAGATTCTTCGAGACGTAAATGTTGCTGGTAATTCATGCAATTCAACATTTTTCATTTCGAAATTGTCATTTTGTGGTCACAAAGCTTTGGACTTTGGCCCGTAGTCAAAGCCGCCACATGTGAGCACTGTATTTTCACAGCATTCCCAGCCACAGTGAGACCACACTCGGGAGGTAGATGCAGCTGCAGTCCTCTTGCTTGATGCCGGAGAAGGTCGGGCATCAAAACAGATCTCTGTTGGCCACATTTTGCCACAGCTCAAGAACCCGTTTGACAACGAAGTTTTGCAATGTCAGACACATGTTTTCGATGTTTTCAAGTTCAGAATGTGTGGAGTTCGCTGCGAGGCTCCGAGCTTTCTGCCTTTGTGGCGTCCAAAGACGACGCCTCCACACTACGCGACACGCTGCGCTCGCACCTGGCGGCGCGGCTGCCGAGCTATGCAGTGCCACAGCGTTTGGCTGTGATGGACCGAGTCTAACTGGGGGAACGGCCTTGGGAAACGATGAAAAAGTTATGAATGTTTTCAGAAAGTTTTGAGATGTGTATCAGATGTGTATCAGATGTGTATCACTGTTCACTGTTCATCTCGAACCCTCAGTGACTGCCGCTTCAGCTTTTCACCAGGAGTCCTTGCCACTGCTTCCCAGCGGCAAAGTGGATCGGCGGGCCTTAAAATTTGGTGTCTTGGCACTCTCCTTGCTATCCCTAAATGGTCCAGATCCATCTGGTTGCAATGCAACAATTCCGTTTGCAAAACAGAGTCGCATGACACGTGGCAATCGCTAGAGTATTCAGGTAGCGTGTCCGCTGGGCTCAGATTCTATTTGAGATATACAAGAAAGTGTTGTCATGCCAAGTGTTTACCACGCCACAGTCCCCAGAGCTGTCAGTCCAATTTACATCACTCTTCACTGTTGGGCTGTTGGGCAATCTAGGAAGCTTGCCAAATGGATCCCGGTATCGTTTCGTTTTGTCAAACTGAGGGCCCTTGCCACCACCCTTGGCGGACGCGAAGAACGCGACTGACTTGGAAACTTTGGACTCAGTGGATTGGCGCAAGCCGAGCGCAACACAGGTGGGGTACATGGTCAGAACATGGTCGGAAAGGGCGGTGTTCTTTAGTGATGCCGCTTATGCAGGACTCTTCCACAAAGAATCGGTAGGAAATTTAGGAAATGAATGGAAATGAGAGACTTAATGTTGGACCTAGGAATTAGGTCATAAGGCCAGTGAAGTTTGGTAAAGCTTGGAGCATTCATTAAATAAACAAAGTCTCACGCTCCCTGAATGCGTCACATGCTGAATGCCGAATCATGTTGATGTGGACCTCAGTGGACTGCACTCGTTACGTCTGGGAATTTGTAGAATTTCATACCCGCTAGGTGGCACAAGATCTGGAAACTGAGGAGGCACTGCTACGACGAACACTGGTGAAGCTGGTGGCCATGGTCACCGGCATCCAGATCGCGATCGAGGTGCGCTCGCATCGTCGGTTGCGCCGTTGCAAGCCTTAGGACCTTAGGAGCCTTACTTGGAAGCATTTGGAAGCCTTATGAAGTCACTATTTTCACGCTTTCAAACTCGCCGTTATGTTGTTCAAGGGATTTCAAGGGTATCGTGGAGCAGATTAGCAAATTGTCCAATTGCTACACTTGCACATCCTCGGTAGCCTCGAGGACGATGGTCTCATGGTCTCCCTGGGCATTGACTCGATGAGTCGCCTGGCCGTTCAAGTTGTCGATGCAGTTCGTGCAAAGACTTCCAGTGTCAGAACAACATAATATGACTTCAACATGACTTTAATATCTTTGATATAACTATACGTAATTATACGTATAAGTTTATATAAGACTAGATAATATAACTTTATATAAGACGAATAAGAGTTCCGATTTTCACAGGGGTCTTTGTCAGGGGCCAGCAGACTCCTGCAAGGAGAGTCAGGAAATTTCAGGAAACGAAATTCGCGAAGGGCCCGTTTCTTTCGTTTCTTTCGTTACTCGTTTGGCACCTGGTGCAGTGCTGGTGCAGTGCTCGGTTTCGATTTGTAGGTGCCGTGCCATTGGCCGAGCTGATCTCCACACAGCTGCTGAAAGGCGCAGAGATGCCCTTGGAGGATCTCTACGCTCCTCGAATGCAACGGTTGTTGGAATGGTGAATGGTCGAACTGAAAAGAATCAAAATGAATCAAAGAGAGTTGACAAACCCTTCACTGTTTCGTGGTGTCTTGTGACAAAGGGGTTGTGGTTCAAAGTATTTTAATTTTTGATTTACAGTTTACGTGTTCTCATGTTCTCTTTCGTACACGGTGGTTGGTGTTTTCTTGGTTTATTGTTGTCCAAGAAGGTAGTTCAAGCCATGTCCTTTTTTTTGCATTGCCTGGGTTACTTCTCCTCACCAGGATCATTGTTTGGACCGTCGACAAATGAACATCCTTTCAAAACGCAACTTTTCTATACTTTTCTAGCTTCACTGTTGGACTCTGAAGGATTTTGGCAAACTATAGACTCCGATAGACTCCGATAGACTCCGATATTCTGGCACTTCTCACATTCTTTGAGAGGTTTTGTTGCGAGAAGAATGGAAGCATTTACCAACGATCCCTTTTGCGCTTTCCACTTGTCAAAGTTTCAACCAAGGTCTACAACACTTTGAACGGACTTTGTCGATATTTACAAGGTGCGCAGTGGATGTGATCAGCTGAATAGTTCTTGGTTTCTCACCTGCACAATGTTGGGTTTCCTCACTGTGCAAAGCAGGTAGGCTGTCTGAAATGCCGATGGTGCTTGAAACCAAGACACTGAGGGGTTCAACTTCCAATGCTTCAGTCCAGGTGGTTTTGGTTTCTTTAAACTGCGTGTACTCAGGTTGACTGGTTGACTAAATACCAAACAAGTATCCAGAGCAATGTCCCACTTTACCACCCAGGTCTACAGCAGAGAAACGCAGCTATGCACAATTGAAAAAAAGCCTGCAACTCAGAACAGAGAAGCAGAGAAGCAGAGAAGCACAGCCAACAACTGAATAGAATCACTCTACTAATAGTTACCACTGAGTCAGGTCGTGCCAAGCCATCCAACGCTGCAAAGGCAAATGTTTTACAGTCATGGGCCCATGTAAGGGTTGACGAAACTGCAAACATCTGAAGCTTGAGAAAAGAAAGTATGGCTCACTATGAAGATGGCAAGTTTGACACAAGCGACAGGAGGGAATTTCATTGAGGGTTGTTGTACTCTCACAGCATGAAAATATTCATCCCATCATCCCATCGTATCATCATCATCATCGTCGTTGTTTTTTTGACGAGGGGAACTATGGATGTCCACTTCCACAGGCAGAGCTGCCGCCTGGCTTGGAGGTGCTCCGGATACGGCACACGGCCCTTTGATCACTGCTCAGGACCAAAAGGCCAAAAGGATCCAAACTCCAAAAAAGGAGATCCAAAAGGGAGTCGACTCAGGTTGTAATTTTAGTAATCCCATCATTTGAATCACAGTATGTGATTTAGGAAAGAGAGATGACATTCTAGGCATCAGCGCAGGCTTGTCGCAGTGGAGACCTAATCAAGCTGAAGCAAATGCTGTCTGATGGCTCGTCAGGGGAGCCCAGGGAAATCTGCGGAAAGCTTTGGTAAAACTATAGCCGGCCAGCCTGGAATTCTTCACACACTCTTTTCTCCAGATTGGCGTATTTTTTCCAAAGAAATGAAGACACATAGTGGATGCATAGTGGTAGTCAGTGGTAGTGTTCATTTCACGTTGACGTTGCGACAGAGTGTTTTGAATTTGGCAGGTTTGAAACCAGCACATTGGATCGCTTTGGCGGCAGTGTGGAACTCAATGCAGTCTTCACTGGACTACCGGCACATTGGCACCAGAAAGTAAGCGAATCTGTCTGGTGCCAATGGCAGTCTTCATTGATATTCCTCTGAGGCGGTCTTCACTGGGCTGCCAGTGCCGGACACCTGGAGGTGTGGTGAGCACCGAGTGGCAGTGTGATGCGGCTCGATGTGAACATTGACTGCTGGCAATGGCCCTGCAAGGTCTGCCGTTTGCTGGTGGAACACAAGGCGTGTCAGTTCTAGTTTGATCAAGGCTTTTCATGATAACTTCAAGTGGACTGGTTAGACGTGTGGGACAATGCTTGATTCGACGGATTTCTGAAATGCCTGGCTTTGCAGTTATTTGATGGCCCATGGACCCAACAACATGCAGCGTGGCAAGTGAGGAAGGGTGAAAGGTGCATTGAAACATTTTGAATCTATACAGAGATATATATACGTACACATAACTATAGATATGATATATAGATATCCAAACAAATGTAAAATATTATATATATACATACATATGTGCACAGGATTGTATAGGTCCAGTGTAACAGAATGAACAATATGAATCCATTTGACATATCTTTTGCACGCCTCTCGAAGCTTGAAGTTTCAGCAACAGAAGGCTTTGGAGATTTTTTGGGGAAACTGATCACCGGCCCCATGTGGATCATACGGCTTTGCATACGGCTTTGCCTCTGCGTGGTCGTTGGCAGCGATCTGGTGGCAGACGACGAATGTGCCGATGCGAGCAGCGACGGCGCGAGCTGTTCATTGGATGCGCTGCAACGACGTGCCAAAGTGCAACCAGCAGAGGACGTTGAAGTCGACTAAGTCGACTAAGTCGATCGAAAAAGGACAAAGTGATTCAAATCGATCGATTCAAAGTGTCTTTGTCTTTTTTGTCTTAGTTTGTGGCGTTTGACAAGAAAAACATGTCCTTATTGGGACGCAAATGCAGGTTTTCTGTGATAACTGTGAGGTTGGTGAGCAGGGTAGGGTGGACTCCAAAGAAGAGACAATTGTCAATTCTGAACTAGCTTGTCATGAAGACTGAGTGGAGCGGCAACCAAAAACACAAACATCGGAAGATTAAACATGTGTGATCTTATCCTTTCCCATTCGCACAGGATTTGCTAGGGGGTCAAGCGCGCTGGATGAAATAGCACTGAGCGTGCAAAGCCAATGGCTAACAGTTGAGCAGACATTGATTTGTTTTTAGTTGAATTGGAAGTTTGCAGCTTTTGGACCTATTTTATCCTTTTCTCTCTGTGTTTTTGTCATTTTTGTATATGTTTTTGCCGCATCGTTGGAGTGTCCAACTGATCACAGCTGATCACAACGATGCAGGACCTCTCAATGCTGTGCTCCAGAGCTGCCTCCGTGTGCCGCGACAGCGACGACGACGGCGCTGAGCATCTCACCGTGCGGAAACTCCGCGCAGTGTTGGCCGTGGCCAACAGCACCTTGCAGGTCGCGAAGTTCTCAAAGAGCGCACAGAATTTGACACAATTGGCTATCTCCTTGGAAGTTCTGTTTGGTGCCATTGTGATCCCAAAATGAATTCTAAGGAAAGTGTTGGATTATGCGCAGCTTTGCTGGATTTCATTCGCAGCTTTGCCATTCCACTGTCATGGCACGTGCAGCCAGGCATTCTTAGGCGCCACGGGGTTGCATCTCCTGGAAGAAGACTTGGTGCCCTGCAAGGTGCGCCATTGGCACATCGGAGATCATCGGAGTATGACATGTTTCGGGTTTCCGCATTTTCTGCATTTTCTGACATCGGTTAATTCTGTTTAATTTAAAATATTTAAACATTTCTGAAGCCATCAGGTGTTGTGTGAAGCTTCGGCTGCTTTGGTGCAGAAGTACGGCGTCAAGTTGCCTCCGGCACCCGACGTTGGCTGTTTCCGCAATGCGGCAGGTGGATCGATTTCACCGAACTTGCGCAGTTCTTTACAGAAAATGTATGAAAGTGTGCTAATTGGCCAATTGGCCAATTGGCTAATTGATAGAGTGCTCCAGCCTTGGTCATGAGGGATGTCCTGAGGTCAGAACATCCATCAGAAAGGACATTGCCTCTTTTTATCCAAGAATCTGTGGAGATTTTAGACGGGACATAGTTTGCCTCTTTCGACCTCGGTTTTCAGGCAAAGATCTGTGTAACGTGGATCTGTCATCCGCAAGCCTGAAGACACGCTTCAACCTGGAAGACGAGGCAACGTCAAAGTCAGCCATTTGAGTTGAGTCAGCTGTGAACAGCTGGTTTGGATTTGTGTTGGATTTGTGTTGGCTGATTTTGCAGAGACAGCAGATCCACAAGATCTCGCAGTTTCCGCTTCCTGCTATCTCTGGAGGATGTCATGGAAGGGATTGCACCGAAGAGACGGTTGAGCATACGGCACGTGCCTGTCCGTTGGCAAAATCCGTTCCAATACAGCTTTGAAAAAGAGGCAAGTCAGTGGCACCAGGGTGGAACATGGTGGAGAAGTTCTTAGAACTTGCAGAAGGGAGCATGTTGTAAATCTTATGGGCAGTCTTGCAGTGCTTGATTGGAACAGGTTGGGACATGTTGGGACATTGCAACTTCAGAGAAAGAACCTGGCTCCGTGTCTCTTGTCAATGCCAAAAACATCAGACCTAAGTGATGCGTTCCCTTTTTGTCCTTCCTCCCCGTCTGACGCAAACGCTGCCCAGCAGTTCCCTTCGCCCTCAACTTTGCCCCTTTTGTAGGTGCAGACCTACAGTGAAGAGCTGGCGCTGCGCATCTTATACATGATCCTTAACTTGCATTATATCACAGGGATTGCAGGGGTTGGAGTGGAAATTCTGAACAGAATGGTGTTGACTCAGAAAGTTCCTAAGTCAAATCCCTAAGATCACAAATGTTTATCACTGTCATGTCCTGCGTGAAAATTCCCAAGATCTATGATCTAGGAATCTAGGAGGCAGAGGTGGTGTCTGAAAGTCTGAAAGTCTGAAGAGTTGATGCGAAAGTTGCAGGTTTCACGTCTATCCTCGCGCTTTCAATACCTTCGTGGCTTCGAAAGATGCAGCGCCAGAGGATTGGCACGACAAATTAGCGAATTTCAACCTGGTTGCCCGGGTCTTCATCGTGAACGCCATTCGCTCCTTGGACGGCCTGAAACATCAAACCACAACAGCATTCGATGGCGGACTCGATTCACATTTCCACAACATTCCAGGATTTGTTTGGCTTCTTTTTGAAACATTTGAAACAAGGCAACCTGCGTTTGCATAAAACACAGGACTGGGGATGCGTGAGAGTGTGGGTCCAAGTTTTGGAAAAGTGGAAAGTGCAACAGTCGTTACAGTCAAACAGTTGAAGATAGTTGAAGTATTTGCCAAGTCGGTTGCCATTTTGCCAGTTTTGGATGCTCATCTTGCGTTACTTCCGCTCCCAAAGCACCGACCGCACCTCACAGGATTCGCTGTCAGTGTGGTTTGGCCGGGCAGCCCTTGGAGATAATTTGGAGGACGACTTTGCACCGGAAGCGGTTAAGATGCATACATACAGACTTTTTTAGATTGTAATAAAGCACACATGGTACATACTATGTACATATCATACATATCATACAGAATCGACAACAGGGATTCAGAACTGTTCACAATGTGTTCACAATGTGTTCACAATGTGTTCACAATGTGTTCACAATGTGTTCACATACAGGGGCCAAACAGGTCGCTGACCGTGCTGACCGCGCTGACCGTCGTGGTTCGTAGGACACTCGTCGGGAGATCCTGCGAATTCTGAACTCTGCTGTGCATGTCATGGACAGCGCTGAGACCTTCGGCTGCACGTAGGATGCAGGATGACAATGTGATGCTGATGATGACAATATGATGCGTATGCAACAGGATATTGTCAACAGGGCCCTTCTAGGGAAAACAAGTAGGAAAAACAGTTGCAAAGGGATGGAGGATTCAAGTCATGTGAGCTGTGTGCGGCAAGATGTTTGATATGTATAGACTTGGGACAAAGAAGATGATAATTCGATTAACAGATGATACAGATGTCAACCTGTCTCGCAAGTTGCTTCTGGCTGAAGTCCTTGAAGTAGGGGTGTTATGTATCGGAACTTGGGTCCTCCACTCTGGCAACATGAAAACCTGAAATTCTAAAAGCATCGACATTCCAAGTCTTCAGGTGAGAAGCTGCAGGCTGCGTTGTCTTTTAGTGATGTTTCTTTTCGGAGACAGCAGTTACAAAGCACCAAACCAAAACCTAGATCTGGTTTCACTTGTTGGCGGCCCGAAGCCATTCCAAGGTTCATGTACAATCACAGTGCCTGCGACGAGGACACCTTTGCTTTTGTTTTTCCTTCAGGTAGCGATGGCGTTCCTGAACTGCAAGGCAGTTTCCGGAAGAACCAGAAGGGACAATACGTGATCTACGTTTGTCCTCTGACCGTCTATGCCGAAAGTATGGGGCTACTGGCTGAAGCAGTGCAGACAATGGTGACTTGGCAGATGGATGCAGATGGCACATTGCAGTTGCACAATGCATCACTGGGTCACAGAAAATTTCACGAAAAAGCTGTGAATATCTGTTAATTAGTTATATTTTTATAATTAGTTAATTCTGAGTCAATTCTAAGATTGTTTTTTTAGATTTTTTTAGATGTATGGAGTTTTCGCTGTTTGCGCACAGGTACACGAGTCCTCGCACCATGAGTTTGCCTACACTGATGATGTCTACTCCTGTAGCAGAAGCCATTACCTTTGGCTCCAAGTAGACGGCCTGTTGGCTTTGAATGGTCGCTTGGAGTCACTGTGAAACTTTGAAAATTTTGAAAGCGATTTGTAAGTGATTTGTAAGTGCTTTACAGCTGATGGTTTGTAGATGTTTGGAGTTTCAGGGCACTATCCTCTTTGTTCCTCTTTGTTTCAGCATCGGAAGAATGTCAACATATTTGCCACTTTGTAAGTTTGTTTTTGCCCTTGTTTTTCCTTTTGATCAGCCAGAGGACTCTCTGCACAAACAAAGCAGAAAACGAATGAAAGGATAATGAAAGTCAACTCTCAAACCTCAGCACAAAATCCACCCCGCTCCGCACTTCTTCCACTGAGGTTCTACCTGTTCTGGGTCTCTGAAGCCACGCTATAGCATTGGAGGAATGAGTTGCAGTGTCCCTGGCCATGAGATTCTGCAACTCTCCAATTGGACCAGGCGCAGAATTCACCAGTCATGGAATCTACAGAATAGCTTTCGACTTCTGGGCTGCGCTCCTTTAACCGTTACTTTAACCTCATTGTTTTGTGGGTTTTGTGGGTTTTGTAGTTGCCTTCTCAGCTTTGTGCCATTCTCGGCTTCGTTGCTTGGATGGTCTTAAAGGTATCAAGAGTGATTCAGCCAGCTGCCTCCAACTGCGTAGGCAACGCTACGAAGTTGGTTTGTGGAACGATCCCAAATGTCCCGCGAACATGATTCCGATCAAGACGGCCGAAGAATGCCGTGGAGCTTCGGAATTGGTGGGGCTCGACTTCAAGAAGGACACAGTGGATACAGTGGATACATTGAGGATGACCTATCACAGCCGCGATACCAAGGTTAACTGTTAAGCGATAAGGCGACAAGTGTTAACATGTAAAAATACATAATATATATTAATATACTAGACACGCTGGTACAGATTTGATTGCCAATGTGCCATTTTTGCAGGAGGAAAATGCAGCCGATTTTCCTCAGGGTTGCTACCACATGGATATCGGAAATTTCGAAGGCAGGTTGGATCATTGAACATGTCAAGAAAGAGAGTTCAGATTCCAGTGCCACATTTCCATGCAAGGGGTATTCCGTTGGTTAAAGTGAAACTCTGCGAAGATTCATGTCAGGCTCCCAGTCTTGAAGATGTTTTGACTTGCATTGAAGTTGGAGAGGCGTTTACTTCAACAACGGAAATGGCACCAATGGCGCCAATGGAAAGGGCTCACAGATGCTTTGCCAGACACTTCCAACTCTGCCTGAAGTTGGCAATCTTTCTGGTTGTCCGCCAAAGTATAGCATTCGACGACCTGGACATGGTCCCTTGGCGGCCTTGGCAGCACCATACTGCCACCATAGTTTGCCAACATAGTTTCATAATGTTTCATAATGTTTCATGATGTTTCATAGGAGGTGTTACCAGTGTTACCTTTTCCCAGGTTGGCACGCCTCCATGTCATGAGGATGTGAGCTGGCGTTGCCCTTTGAAATCGCGGAGCCCAACATGACACGGTGTCCAGACGATTTGGCGCATGTCGTCAAGGTTAGCTATTGCAACTCGCTTTGCAACTCGCTGAGACTCGCTGAGACTCGCTGAGACTCGCTGTGTTTGTCCTCGTTGCACAGTCGTTGTCACGGTCGTTGTGACTGTTTCACATGGTTTCACATGGTTTCACATGGTTTCACATGGTTTCACATAGCACAGTGTGTCACACACTGAGGCTTGGAAGCGGGCGATATTTTTGGATTGACTTATGGCGGACATATTGCCAGCGAGAATTACCCGTACGGCTGCTTCAAAGATTTGCAGAGCAATTTCATCACGCTACTGAGACAACAAGCTAGGCATGAACATGAATGATATGAATGTTTGTGTTGTTTGTGTTGTTTGTGAGCCATGTAATGGCTCGTCTTTTGGGCCTCTGACAATTGCTTGGCTATTTCAGCTTCTTTGATGGCTTCCCTGTGAACATCTGTGAACCATATATGTCCGAACTTTGTTGCTGTCGTGCTTGAAGAGACAAAATAGGAAAATTCATTAGGGCTTGGAATCTCGTGGCGTACGTACTCTTGCAGATACCCAAGTTTGTGCTTAGGTTCAACATTTTGGAGGGCTCTGCCAATTCACAAGCTTCGTTGGTTTGTCGTCAACCTTTCTCTTTCAATGTGACTTGGCAAATTGAGAACACACGAGCACTGTATTGAATCACATCCAATCGGAGTCCATGGAAAGCGAAGTTGGCATATCTCCAACGTTCTTACAGTTGTCGAATCAAAAGAGGTAAAATGTTCTTGTTTGTTTTTGAAGGCCACATTTCTTTGGCGATGCTGAGGTTTTCGATCCTCGGTTGATGTACACCATGACGGCTTTGCGGTTTTCCCAAGATGGGGATGCTGCATTGTTTTCGCTTCAAGATATGGCCTTCAATGCGGACCATTGCTCCATGGCCTATGGCAAGTACAAATGCAAGGTGGGGTCGGATAGGTCGGACAGGTTGGACACACAACACGTCAGATACGTCAGTTGTAGTGCTTGGTGGGAAGTGGATTACCCATGGGCAAGTGCTGAGAAAGTGGTCTGAAAGACTTTCTGAAAAGGTTCAGAAAAGATAACTTAGATAACTTAGATAACTTTTTACTTTGCTCAAACGGAAATCATTCCTTGCACACTGTCCTTAAAGTGCACCTTGCCTTGCCGGCTTGGCCTGCCTTGCGCTGCCAGGCTTTGGCTAAACGAAATGCATTGAAAGCCCTTCTGAACGCTGACAGTTTCGCTTACTATGTTATGGATGCTGGCGCTCCAGAATGAGTATTAAGCATTCCACCAGCGGTTTCAAAGTGCATATCACATACACACAGATGCAAGAGACGCTGCAACAAGCCCCACAAAATTCCGCCTTCGGACAGCTTGAACTGTTCAGGATCTTTAGTCCAGAGCAATGCCAACTGAGCATTCTCTGATTTTATTCATGTTGGATATTTTGGATTTCGGGATGGCCGCTGTTTTCTGCGAGGTCAGAAAAATACATGGTGATGTATGTGACAGTATGTGGCGTGACAGTGTCATTCATCAGCGTTGTCCATTTCAGTGTGGCAGTGTCCATTGCTAACTTTGTGCAATCGATAGGCGTCAGTGGACTTTGCTGACAAGAAATCTGGCCGAACTGCGTTGCACTGGGCTTCAAGCATCTCAGCTGTTCATGGAACATGGTTGCTGTGGAGCTCGCATTGTAAACCAGAACGGCTCCGACTTGCACTCAATGCCAATTGAATCAGACTTGAGAGGGCACGGAGCAAAATGAACAACGAAGAAGCATCAAAATTGAAATGCCAACATAGCATCAAACCCAGGGGTCCCATGGGGTTCCTAGAATGAAAACAATGAAAACCAAAACCGAGGAAATTCCTGGGTTCTTTGCCAAATTTTCCGATCTGAGGACAAGGACATCTTGAGGTGGTGCAATGGTCACTCAGCAATTTTTCAATCACGGTCTTTCTCGCGTCGTCATGGAAGCATTTCCGCAATGCATATACGTGTATGATTATATGATCGTATATGATCGTATATGCACATTTGCTTTCTTTTGCTTTTTCAGCCAAGGCTTTTGGCTGAGCATCAGATTCCCGTGGACGTGCAAACCAAGGACCCAAAGCAATTTGCAGAAGGTGCATTTTGTTTCATGACCATGTTTCATGATGTTTTCGGACATGGAAGCTTCGAAGCACAGAGGATGACACTACCCCATTCCAGCTTGCTGCCTGGGGTGGTCATGTGCCTCTGTGCGAATGGCTCCTGTCACAGAAGGCAGCGCTTCCACGGTATACCACATTCAAATCATCCAGAAAATTATGAGAAGACAAGGCAATCAAAGACAGAAGAAGGTCAAGAAAAAATGTGAGCCAAGCCTTTTGGACGCAGGCAGATTTGCACCATCGCAACTCTTGGTCTTGCCTTGCACATCACTTTGCTGCTTTAGCAGGCTGGACAAAGGCTGCGAATGTATATCCCTGCCCAATCTTTTGAAGGAATTGCCAGCATGAAGGCGTTGAGCAAACGATGCCTTTTGGGAGTTCACATATTTCACTTCAGTTTAGGGTGCTTCATCTTGTTGATTTTCAGCTGTCAAATAGGGATGGGCGACTGCTGCAAATGGCTTCACCAGCAAGGGGTTGACCTTGGAGCAACAAACAATCAAGGCCAGGCAAGAAAAAGTCATAGACAGATGCAGTTTTGCAATAGACGACAGATGTGCAGCACATGTGCTGTGTCGTGTCACGGCTCAATGTGAGTTTCGCTAGCTGAGGACACAATGCTTTGCACAAGGCCGCGTACGGTGGTCATGCAGTGTTGTGTGCGTGGCTGCAGGAGCCCATCAGGAAAGACGTGAAAGACATGGTCTGTTTTTGTATTTTATGTATTTTATGTGGTTTATGTGGTTTATTTATTGGTTTATGATCTTCTTGACCCTTGCCTCGTTTGTTCCATTTTTTTCCAGGAGAATGCAGATTTGGATCCTCATCAAAAAGACGTCAGGCATAGAAGTCTCGTGTCTTGAGTCTTGAGAAAGGAAAGCAAAACGCCAAACAGAACACAGCTGCACAAACTCTTCAAATCATTTTTGGAGGGGGCAGACTTGTGCTGCCCTGGCCAAAAAGGCTGGCTTCGAGGACGAGGGGAAAGCTTGATGAACAATATGACTTCAAGACGTTTCTTGTTATTTTTGTGCAGGATCTATCATGCCAACTTTCTTTTCAAAATCGACAACCGCACAAACTGAAGAAAAATACCAAAATAAATTAATTCAAATTCAGCATTATTCGTACTTGCAATTACCTCCTCCTATCCGTAGATTTTTTTCACAAACCATTAACTTCATTATATAATCACATAAACCACATTCCCTTACTTAACGAAACATCGCCAATTGATCCTTTGCCAATCAACACCGGCGATGCCTCAAGGGCTGCTGTTCTGCCCAGAATGTTACTCGCTTGCTCTGTTTCTGTTGTTGCCATTGCTAATTGTTTTTGCTGCTATTGCTGTAACGGCCAAAAATCCTTAAATAAATAATTTTGTCTGAAAAAAAATGAAATATATGTTGTGATTTGCGTGTAACACAAATGGCATTTCACACCTTTCAGCCTTTTGCCTCCCTGACATCCGGTTCAAGGGAGGGAATTCTCATGAGACAGCCTGATGGCTTCGTGGTGCGATCCGGAAAGATCGCTTGCGCGCTGCTGAAGCCTCACTTCGAGAGGAGGTGACTGGTTGGGGAACTTTGGTTTCGACGCTACCCAACTAACATTGGTAGCGGAGCTGAGTCTCCGTTGCCAGGGGCCTGGGAACTACTTGGTGGACATCATCAAAGCCCTGGCCTTGCTCTATAGCATCTTCACCTACGGCGACTTCATCCCATGTTGGTGACACCGTGCGGGACAACTACAGCCCCTTGTTCTCCAACAAGCCCCAGGACTACAAAGAATGGCGGAAACGCATCAAGCTTTACCAGAAGAAGATGGATCTGCAGAAGAAGAGCAAGGAGGCCACGATCATCCTTCTGACGTCCTTGACTGGGATTTCATGGAGGCAGGTGGAGCACATGGTCGACAAGATATCAGAGGATGAGACTGGATTTGACCAGGTGTTGGTCCAGTTGGACAAGTGCTTCAAATATGATGATCGTGTCGAAATGCCTCGGGCGCTGGAGAAATTCTTTTATGGATCTACGCGGAGAGGCGACCAGAGCCTTATGCAGTATTGTGCAGACTATGGTGAAGCTCGACACGAGTTGGAGAAGCACAAGATTACCTTGCCGGACACGGTGAGCGGTTGGCTGATGTTGAGAAGGTCAAGCTTGACCTATGAGCAGAGGCAGATGGTGCAGACCCAATGTGCTTCCTTGGAGGAGGTCAAGGTCGAAGAAGCGATGTACTACCTCTGCGGCCAGGACTTTCGTGGACGCAGTGACGTTCGATGGGGAGCCAATGCACAGGCTGCCAAGCTACATCAACCATGGCCTCGCCGACAACATGCCTACGCTGCCGAAGAAGCCTATGAGATGGTGGATGAAGAGTTCATGGAGGATGACTACATCCAGGACTATGCCGAGACGGAGGACGCCTACTATGAGGACACCATGGACCAGGACTATGACACCGCTTGGGAGAACTATGAGGCCGACGACAACACCGAGGAGACCTACCACCAGGCTGATGAACTTCAATGTAACTATGATGGAGCGATGGAAGAAGCCTATGCTGCCTACTTGGATGCCAGGCGCCATCCGCCAGCTCCTGATGCAGCTGGTGGTGGACCTTCTTCGCAACGTCCAGTTTTTCCTGGCGGCAAGAGCAAGTCGAAAGGCAAGGGCAAGAAAAAGGGGTTCTCTTTCAAAGGAAAGGGCCGAAATGCCAACCCACCTCAAAAGAGATCCATTCCATCAAGGACTTCTGCATTCTTTGGTGGATCTGCAACGTGCTTCGTTTGTGGAAAGGCCGGACATTTGGCGGCACAATGCCCCAATGGGTCACCTACTTCGAAAGGAAATTAATTCATCGACGTCTTCACCCTCTAAGAGGCCAAGGACTGCTGATGCGATGATGGTGACTGATGAAGCCCTTCATGCAGACGATGGAGTACCTCATTTGGGTCCAAAAGTTTGGTTTGGAATTCAGGATGGTGGAGCTTCCAGCATGGTGATTGGGCACAACACCCTGATGAAGGTCATGGACCACTTGGGCGAGAAGGGAGTGAAGACTGCCACGTACAAGTTCCATCCCACGGAGAAGGTCTTTGCGTTTGGTGGTGATGCTCGACGTGAAGCTGCTTGGTCAGTTCGTTTGCCTGTTTGGGTACAACAACAACAATAACAACAACAACAACAACATGGCTACATCGAATGCTTCGTCGTCGAGGGCAACACTCCTCTCCTCATTGGTCGTCCAATCCTTGCTGCGTTGCAGGTGAAAACGGATTTTTCATCCAACACCATCTCTGTCTTGAACAACGAATGGAAGCCTGCGGTGATTGGAGAGCGAGGTGAATATCGTCTTCAACTGGATGATGGAGTTTCTGAAGATCCTGAAGGAGCCTTGGTGAACTTCGACTACATCACGGATGAGACCTACGGCCACAACGAGAACACCAAGGACACTTCTGCCTATGTCACTCTGGTGGACTACTTGACGGCCACCGGAAGATCCCCGCCTGAGAAGGCCTTTTACCTCAACTACATTGGCACATCAGCGATGTCCCCCAAGGAGAAAGTGATACCCGAGCTTTCCGAGCCCAAAGACATCCGCCGTGAGATCACCGACAAGCTGATGAAGACCATGTACATGCACTTCCATGTATCGGGAAATCGAAGGAAAAGCACCACAGAGGAGATCTTGAACACCCATGTAACTGGCCAACGAGTCTTCTGGGAGGTCTACAGCGGCGATGGTTTGCTATCCAAGACCTTTGCGAGAAATAGATGGAAGTTGCGAAGCTTCGACATTTCCAATGGTTGGGACTTTGAGAAGGCAGCCAACAGACGAGCCTTCATGGAACTACAAGATCAAGAATGTCCTGACTTTATTTGGTATGCACCCCCCATGCAAGAAGTGGTCGACCCTGCAGAACCTGAATCTGCATACCTTGGCTCAGATCGAGGCGTTGGAAGCTGAACGTGCTTTCCAAGAAGCTACACACCTACGGCTTTGCTACCGTTCCTTCATGAAGCAGAAGCGAGAAGGACGGCTTGCTGGTTTGGAGCAATCCAGATATGCCTTCTCGTGGAAAACCAAAACGCTGCGATCTTTGGAGGATGACGCTTTCGACAGCATCTTGGACCAGTGCCAGTTTGGCACCATGTTGCCCGACAGCTTTGGGAATTGGATGTTTATTAAGAAGCCGACACAATTGAGATGGTCCTCCTTCAAAACTGCCGAGGAAATGACCCGACTTTGTGTTGGAAATCATGAACGCCTTCCAAGCGAAGGTTCAGAAGTTTGTGGGTTAGCCTTTGGTCCTCAGCTCAGGCGACAGATACTACTACTGGAGAGATGGGCCTGCAAATAGCCCCAAGCTTCGATGGCGTGGACCTGCTGTGGTGATGATGAAGGAGACATCAGAAGCTACATCTACTGGTTGGCTCATGGCACAACCCTACTTCGTGCAGCCCCAAAACATGTTCGTGCAGCGATGCATCCTGAAAACGATGAATCCAGAGCGATGGACTCCATCAAGCTGGCTCTGATGAAAGTCCACCATCACGGTGTGACGCATTACATCGACTTGCCCAAGTCCAATAAGCGCAAGCGAGAAGAGGTGGTATTTGAAGATGAAGCTGAGGAGCTTGACCACGAGATGGGCGATTTTGAGGCTGATCCCATGCAAGATCGATGGCAAGCTAGTAATGATGGAAGGAAATGCAATAACTCTTTGTGCCGGACCTGCTCTATGATAAGGTTCCCTTCCACCTGTTCACCCACGAGCGCGTCGTCACCCACATCCGTCGAGGAGGTCCCAATCCTGAGACTTTGGTGGTGCGAGATGAATGGGATGGCCCTGATGCCGACCGGAAGATGCACTACAGTTGGACTGGGACGACAACCTTTGTGATCGATGCTGGATTAGAAACTAGAAACAGCGACTCAGATGGGGAGATGCGACAGCTCTTCAGAGGAGATGGCCCCACTTCTGGCGGCGCTGGTGGACCAGATGATGGTCCAACGGCCCCTTTCAGGGGGCGCCATCAGTGGCTGAGCATCGCCGATGAAGACAGGCCCTACTGACAAGGCAACAACACCGGCCCCTTTGGCCGAACCTATGGATGGACCTGCTGGTAGGGTCCTGGAACCAATGGAAGAACCACCAGGCCAACAAGCTACACCACATGGACGATGACCACCCCTGCACTGCTTCCTGAAGACCAACCTCTTCCAGTACAACTTCAACAAGTACCACAACCTGCACAACCAGCAAAACCTTCTCAAGTACCTCCACAAGCTGGCCGACCGACCTTTGAACAACAACGACGACAACAACAAGAGGCAATGGTCCTGCCACGAACGGATGATCCTGCTCCAAGGACTTCGCCAAGAGCGACACCTTGTTCACAACGACCTCTACATGATGAAGAAGATGGCCAACTCTCTATTACGGTGGACCTCAATGAGAAGACCAAGTTGCCCAGAGGATGGAAACATGAACATTGCCACATTGACCTTGACGAGAGTGTGATGGATGCTTGGGAGCTCAACGGCAATTTCTTGACCCGACAACACTTTGCCCCAAGACAGAAGGACTACATCCCTGACGAGGACACCTGCCCTTTGCCATTGCACTTCCTGGACAAGAAGAAGGTGGTGAGTATGGGGACCGTTCCGTGAAAAGTGGAAGAGTAGCAAGCTGAAGAAGAAGTATGCCAGCAACCTATGGACTGGCTACACGCTCTTTCAGCAAAATATGGAGCAGCGCTATGCCCAGGAGTCGAGGGGCTACATGAGCCTCGAGGACAGGATGGCCTTCAGAGAGGCAAACATGAAGGAGTTGCGGTCTTTCTTTGACAACTCCGTTCGACAATTTGACCAAGGACAATGGGTTCCAGAAGACCGCATCTTGAAGGCGAAGTTCATCCGGCTGGAAAACAAACCAGATGGCTCTCCTAGGCAGATTCCAGATTGGTTGTTCAAGGCTTTCGTGACCCAGATGCCTTGAATGGATCTTTGTCAACGACGAGCCCTACATTGACCAGATAGTCAAGGGAATTGATCCTTACGGTGGTAACTATGATGGGTATGGGGCCGTTCACAAGT